CAATTACGGACTTTTCGTTAACTTTCTAGGTATCACCCTGAAAATTTCAATATTTCCAAACACCCCAATAACTATAACACACAAGTTTCATTTTTTAATTTTATGATATATAAAAATTGTATAGTAAATAAATAATTAGGGGAAAAAGATCAGTTCATAGATATCAATATTTAGACACAAATTTAGTCAGTTAAAACTGCACGTACAACGTTAAATTATAAGTGCAAAATACGGATGTAGCAATACTTTATATACAGTCACAAATATTTTCAGGTAACTGCTAAACTTTATAATAAAAAATATTTCAGATGAATGCAAGAATATTAAAGATTTCGAAAATTAAGCCGCCACTTGAAGAATATCTAGGCCGATTTCGTCTATATTTGGCGTTAGTTAGAATAACGAAAGTGATTGTAAATAAAGAGGGGATAGGTCGGGGAAAGGATACTCACTTAACTCATCAAGTCAGCCGTAGGCTAAATTTGTTTCGGAACATTTGAGTGAAGTTGAGCCAAACATAATAATTGCGGTGTGTTTGACAACTATTCATTCAGTAAGAGCTACAAGGTTTTAGAAAACTTGACATCAACAAGGAAAAAGAAAATGCAATTAAATATGGTGGAAAATCATCATGCTATCATTAGAGAGATATAAATTGCTAATCAAAGGTCTTTTTAAAATTATATAGATAGATAAAATTTAATATGCATTTATTTGAGCTGGTCATTCAAAACAGCATGAGTAGCACAATATACATAGAGAAAAATATTAAAAAAGTTATTTAATCTCGTCTTTATTTTAATTACATAAGATGTTAATCGGTTTAAAATCATTTTACACATTTTCATGAGATTAAAATAAAATGTAACAACATGCAGATTTCTTATAGAGTGTAATTGTACTTGTTATATCATTAGAATTCATATTGGTTCAATAATCAGAAAATCGTTATATTTCATTCGATACACTATTCAAAATTTACTAAACTCATCGAACGTGTCTGCAAGTATTTACGTACATAAATTGTGCTAATATGAATAACAGACCTGTGCATGACTTATATTACTATGCTTGGATGGGTATTGTCTATCGGGCATATACTGATTTATATGAGTAGGGTTATGGGGTATCACAGTTTATAATTATGAATATTATATATTCTTGTTATTCACATACTTAAATTTAATGCAACTTATAGAATAGATTTTAGAATAATGGGAATATGATTTTTACTGAGTGGAATAACTTATACTAATACGTCTGTACGATACAATATCAACAAAAGTACGTACTATTTTATTTTAATAACTTCTTATAGTATACAAATGCAATAAATTTTTTGGTATATAGTTGGATATTGTCACATCCACATACATAACCCAGTACATCGGTGGTCTGGTAGCTGCCACAAGTTGTTGCAACTCAATCAAAATGTGGTTATAAATGATTTTTGTTGAGTTGTTTAAACCGTTGCCACTTTTAGTTTGGATAATTTCAAATATATCCATTTTACTACCTTAACTAATTTGTATTTTCGATGCGAGAAAATACAAGTGAAGGCATGTAGCTAACAATACAGACATATTGCCCATGGCTATCGTCATATGGATGCGGCGAAAAGTTTTGTGAATTCGTTGATAGTGCGGACACTGAATGAGATCACCTTGCTCAAGTGAACCCACTTCCCGTCCACTGCCGATAGCACCTTCAATCCGATATTTCTCGTGCATCAGTCGCAGCATTGGCGGTGCGAGGTAGAGTCGTATAATAATCTCAATAAAAACAGTGACACTCAGTGCTATCAGCTGCACTATTGCGGTTGCATTCCATGAGGTGAGGAAGTACTTCACAAAGAGTATCAGCATACTTATGCTCAATATTGAGCTCATAGCAAAATAACGTGGGAACAGAATCTGTTGACATTGCCCAAATATATGTCGTGGCAACGAGAAATATAATGATAAACCTGAAAGATAATCAAATTATTAATAATAATAATTAATCAATTATTTAAATAACTTAAGAACTGTATAATCGAGTTAATATGATGTAGATATGTATGTACAAATATCAAAAATGTTCACAATTACGAGAATAACTGATTTTTAGTGTTCGTCTGTTCACTTGTAGCCTAAAGAAATTAGGTAGGAAGGTCTTTAATAAGGATTACTATGATAGCAAAAATAGAATACCGATATTTTCTATTTTTGCCCACAATGTCTTTCGCGATGAGTTTGTGACACCTACTTGGCAGGTTGTATATACTGTACATATACTTATCTTCTATATATAATTACGCTACCAAAAAAGTTTGTGTTCCCTTTTTGACTGTGTGTCCATATATGTCAACGGCAATATATGGATAAAGTTTATACCGTTGGAAAGGAGGAGACGTGCAGAAGTGTACAACGTTATTTTTCACATGTACGTCAACGGGAACACAGGTAAGAAAGCCTTGACGCAAATTTAACGACTACAACAAATGGAAGCGCGGTGGCGCGTTTTCATTACATTTCATTTGACTATTTCTCCTTTGCGCATCACACTTAACACAGTCGCATACAGAAGTACATTTCGTCGCTGTTTTGTATAAGTTGCAAATACATATATCGGATAATTGTGTATCGTTTACGGCGAATTTGTGGTGGCGAATTTTTTCCACTTTTAATCGTGTTTGGACTTTTGTTACAATTACATTTTTACAGAAATTTCCAGATTAATTTCAAGTGCATTGTGTGGCAGTTAATTTTTTGAAATATTTTTTCCAAGGTTAATTTAATGTGGTTGGTTGAATCGACAATATCAACACCAACAACGAAATAGGGAGTGATTGAGCTTTTTCCCGTTTTCTTTGCATGCGGTTGGTTTGTTGCATCTTTTAACGAAAATTTAATTGACAACGTTCATTTTATTTTGGTGAGTTATAAATTTTATAGGTAAATTGTAAGTGCATTGTTTGATAGTTAAATTTTTTACCATTTTTTCCAAGGTTAATTAGCGACATCAACAGCACTTTAATTCGAGAGAGATTATAAAGAAATAGAGAAAATATGCAATTGAGTATAACACGAAATGTAATTAACATATTTTGTTGATAATAATTCAGTTCCTTTGCGAAGTTCGTTCAAATATGCTTTGAACGCGATTCATTAGATAATAACGGCGATCAGTTGAAGGTTAAATGCGATCAATAAAAGGCTCAACGCGATAAATTGCGTCAGAATATTGAACTTCTTCAGAAGAAGGTGCTGCTCTACGAAATTACTGATTCTGATAACTTTCCGATATCGCCTAAAGATAATTTCTTTGTTAAAAAAATTTCAAAATGAAGTATCAGATCGGGGCTTCATCGATACTTTGGCATCCTTTCGCAGGTGCATACATGGCCACATATGACGACAAATTCAAATTGGCCGATTTCATTAGACTGTTCATTCAAGGAAGCATTAAGCCAAAACCAGAAACGGATTTGATTTTGCATGATAATGAATTATAAATTTAAAAATTTTTTAAAATTTATTTTTGTAAATGGTTTTCTAGAACTTTCTTTAGATTTTGTTCAAATTGTTCAATACAATTTAAATACATTAACATTGTTAATAAATTGTATTTAATGTATTACTATTGAATCATATGTATGTATGTATGCATAATTAACTGCAGATAAATATGTTAACTGCTTAGAAATTCCATTTTTGTAAACCTTCAACACATTTCACACATACAACCATATAATCATAATATAGAATAATCAGGAATAAAACAGGCTGATGAGACATGTACATACTTATGTACCTGATCATATTTATAATTAATATTGTTGCCTTCGTTTTCCTCAATTAGATAGGAGAGATAAACACGTGTACTATTTGTACTGTACCGTTACTGAATTGTTTAATTGCTGATCATTATATTTTGCTAGTTCAAAGTTTATATTTCTGTGCACCTATTAATATATTTATGTACAAGTATATATAAATAACATACGTATCACAAAATTTATGTAATATGTACTTGATCGATTAATTTGTTAAATTTTCTACCAAAAATTGGTTCGCCTCTGCACTACTGTGGAACAAGTGTTTTTTGGATCGGAAGCAGTTTGACCTTAAATGTTCATTATATCAAATATATGAAAAAATAAAATGTGACTTCCGTTTATTTTAGAAAAGAAATTCATAAATTTTCTACAGACTGTACGCGTATTTCACTGAAAACTGTTTTTACTTTACCTGAGATGAATGTCATCCATATCTGGGCACCAAAATGCGTGGCGAATGCTCCCAAGTATGCGATTGCAGCCAAAGTATTATGTTGTTCATTTCGGTCTTGTTCCGAGATTCTCCTACTAGAAGCATTACGGGTGTCTATTATGTCTGGCCATACCGTGAAAGTAACAAAAGTCAGCACGCAGACGGCAACTATGTGGGCTGGTTGCGTCGTTCTCGTTAGTAATCTGTAAATGATTAAATATCGAGTGTTCGTAACTTTAAACACATTCATATGATTTTAAATTATCAAGCCGATTATGGACGGCTGATGGTTATACTTCCCCATTTCGTGAAGCAAATTGTAAAACGGTTATACATCCAATGAATTTATTATGTTGAAGGAATTGAAAAACTGTTATGGGCCTTAAAATTGTTTGATTTCCTTAGGTAATATTATTTATGAACACACGATTTTTGTAGCTTGCAAAAACACCAATCTTATAAAAAAAGCTTGAATTGTTTCTCTGCGTTGTGCATATTTATGTGCTTAGAAGTCGCAGCGGAATGGCGTACGTGCGAAAACGCATGCAATTTAAATGAGGGTAAATTTTCATATGAGTTTTGACTTGGGACCAGAACGATTGTGCTCGTGCGAAATTGCTGTCACCTTCTCAATATACAGACATACTTTCCAAATTTAACATTCATTGGTACTGCATTTGCATGGAATGTGCAGATGAAAATATTGCAGGAAATTGAAACCGTGATCTACAGGAATATCAACACTCAATTGATTAGCTGGATAAATAATAAATATAAGTGTAAAATAGACTATAAAAGACGCAATGGCAGGTGGTTCAAGGTATAAATGTATTTTCGTAATGAGCTCGGAAAGATGCTAAATTAATTTTTATAAAATCTTAATAAAAATGCTATAAACTTAATGGTGCGATGTTAAGGCACATTTCAATGTGAACTATGCACTTGTGATCTTTATTGTGTCATGATCTAATCAGATTGTTTGCGCTTAACATTTATAGTATAAAGTACGCACATGAATAAATATACTCGTACTTGAGAGTGTATGTGTGTAAACGTCACATGACACTATTGGGATGATATTACTTTTGTAGAAATTTATAAAGTGCTTATGTATTCACATGTAGGTCTGGCTTTATATAATATAATATATGAGTTACTGCAGATGATAGTTTATACATATGTATATGTTCAAATTGTGTGAACAATGACATATTGAAAAGCTATATCACTTTTTCCCCACTATTCATTGGCTGTGCAGGCGAAGTTAGCCCTTACAAGCACACTCAATGGTTTTAGAAGTTTTCTTTAGTATTACTATAATATAACTGTAGTTGGGTTTAAATAACCCAAAATGTAGTATACATGTTGAAAAAGGAGTACGTGTGCATGAATGTGAAATAAAAAACAATGTATCTCAAGCAATTTACTATTGAATATTACTTAAATAATATCGTCACAGAAAAGCCACGTGTTGACATACAAATAACACCTACATGCAAGCGATGTGTAGAAATGTGTATGTGTGTATGATTTCAAATCGACTATCAATTGCATTGTTTTTGCAGGCAAAAACTTTCCAATAGCGGGCGCGTGAATGTATGTAGATAAAATTAAAATTTACACAGCTTTTGTACCCGCACACATTTCTTAGGTGCAGACGTACATATATATGTATGTGTGTAGGTACTTGAAAGAGCACCTGCCGCAAACTGATCTAATTCTGAATGTCAAACGGTGGCTGTCGTGACGCTGTTATCGTTCACAAGCTCGTGATGACATTGCCATTAGGACACTGCGCACATAACATTCATGCTGAGAAAAAGAATATTGTAAATATGTTCATATGTCAGACGGAAAAAAATACCGTATTTATACGTCCTTAGGTTTAATAAGTAAATGAAATTTTTAATCGTTCAAGCGTCATGACAACAGAAAAGAAGTATTCTTGCTTGTGCATATATATTTATCATGCACAAAGTCTGTATATACACACACAGAATAATATAATATCAAAATCTGAAGCCATTACACCAGTAACGCGCTGTTGCCAACTTAATTACTGGCAATGCACAAATCATGCACAAATTGGTATACCATGCGTATTGAAGACTTACGTATATAATTTGCTGTTTTGCATTTTTCCCACAATGCCATACATTCGTTGCACGAAGTGTTTCGTCATTTCAGTTGTTATGGCGAGGGCGTCCATGTTGCCTTGAGGTTTACTGCCTTGAATATCTTCGCTGCCTGCAGCACCGATGTTGGTAATTTTATCCTGCAATGAAGCATCGGACTCTGTTGCTTGATTGCGGAACCGCCCGCACATGCGAGGAATACTTAAAGGTTTAATCTGGTCCGTAGGAACTGGATTTAAGACATTCACATCGTTTATATTATGTGTATCCATGTTGGTATTGGGGGAGTTTTGTGCAGCCGCACGTTTCCGAATCGTATACTTCACTGTCTTAACAATTTTCTCGGGCATTCCCTGCTCTATGAATTTCCGAATTTGATCACTTTGCATACCGGGACCGGAAGTTTGACACATATTGTTTTTTTTTAAATAGTTAGTTGAGGGGAATATGGTATGAGCGTCAGCACATTACATAAGTGTAATTTTTGTTTATTTGTTTTAATATCACTTTACTCTGTTTGCTTCATATAATTGTTAGATTAAGAAATTTGTAGGTACACTGGTTGGAGTTTTAATTAAAATTAAAGTGGTTAGTGGGTTTCGATCGATTCACTATTAATTTCGATAAAAGCCTTTTCACACTTGCTATTCCTTTAGTGATTTTCCACTTTAACTGCCTCGAATTGACCGTACCGTAGCTTTCGCACGATACTTAGACTAGTCGAAGTGTTGAACGCTTTTGATTCAATTATCACTGCAGTGAGGTTTTATATTCGTGCACATTCTTCGCTCGCACCGCCGTCGCCAACATTGTCGAAGATCACATTGGCTGTCATTGTTAGGTGTTGTGCGCATGACGCTCCGAGAACCTCAACGTGAGCGAACTGCTCATGTTTTATGTCCCATTTGCTACCATTTTTTCTCTTCGGTTTGCACAAGTGCTCATTCGCTCGGTTGACTCAGATCGACCGCTGAATTGTCGAAATGTAAGAGTTTTGAAGTATAAATCGTAAGTAAAAATTTCTCTTGGTAGTTAGATATTGGGAAGTCAGATATAGTACGTATATTCACATGTGTATACCCTTCACTCAGATCATGTTTATGGGCCGATTTGACCACTTCTCTACGAGTTCAATATACATACATACATAGGTAATATGTAAGTTAATCTTTATAGATATTTATATGTGTGCTATAACTCATACGTTAAATATGGTATACGAAGTTAGAATACCGCCATGAAATTACGTGAGATTTACAGCTTTCTAATATGGAAGTGATGGTACTTGTCTTTATTACCACTATTACCGACATTGTGATTGTCATCATTCCTTCATGGGACAGTGTATTAATGTCACTTTACTTCCAAATTTTTTAGTGGCATGAACGCAAGTAAAGCTTTTCGAATGGAGCGCAAAGTTATTTATTATTCAGAACATTATAGCACCATATGTTCCTATGTACATATATCATATATGTATATTCACACAAAGGTTCCAAAATAATAAAACAATTGAAATTCATAACTGAACTCAACAGTTTCCTTTCTAAATTTTCTTAAGTACATCATTTAATTCGGCAAATTTGGACTCATAGAGGAATGAATGAAAAAGATTATCTTACAGAAAATAAAACAATTTACAAAACCAGGGATGTATACCTAATAATGATTATTATTTAATTTTATCGAAGAGTTGATATATACATACTAACATACTATATGTAAGTATCCCCAATGTTCTCTCTGGGGATGTAATTGACAATTTACGCAACGTAATTCTATTATAAGGTGTACAATTTAGTGATTCGGTTCATAGAAGTTCTTGAAATTTTGGTTTAAATCATGTAATCTGTATAGTATAAATTTGAGCTTTATGAATCATGAGCAGAGTTGCGAGTTTTTAATTCAAAAATTTTGGATAAAAAAATAAATTTAGTTAAATTTTTATATTTTAAATCCGGATGTTAGGATTAAAAAATAGATTTTCATGTACACAAAGTTTACTGGGATCCCCGATGTTTTGGCTGCTCAAAAATGTAATACACTCTGCGGTTGCAAAGTTTCCCACAATACATATATATGTATACACACAATCATACCCAAAATCCATAAATACAAAAAAAAATTCATCAAAATCGGATAGTGGTCAGTAACAAACATTGAATATTTTTACATATGTTCATATCATAATTATTTTTTAGTAGCAATTATGAAAAAGTAAAACAATACATATTGTTGCTTGTATTAGCATTACTTAGTAAGTCTAAATGTTTCCAAACATTTTTTGGTTTTTCAAAAATAGACATACTTATGTATACATGTAAACTTAAAATGTATTAGTGAGGTGTAAAATAAATATATGAATAACATTTACCTAACCCTAATTAATTACCTGATAGACTAAATTTACTTCTCATGTTTAAATATATGTGTGTGATCAAAATGCCGTCCAAAGGTAGACACAGCTGCTCATTATAGCTGTCTTTAGTGTCAATAGCCGCGTCATCTAACATATAAGTATGAAAAAATCCCCATAGTAACGGATAAGATCGTTAAAACATTGTGTACATAAATATCAGCGGACATACATAAATATATTCTAAAATTATTCGATTTTGGGGGGCGTATTGCACGGGACGATCAGCAAGTGAGCGTCGTTGTACGTAGTTTGAAATATAATATTTACGAAATTTTTGTGAAATTATTGAAATAATTTCCCTGTGTTAGTAGTGCTCTAGATAAACAATCACACAGTCGTTAATCACATATTTTGGCGATAAGTTATTGGTAAATACATATGTTGCTTCTATGGCTCACGTGAGACCTTGTGCGATTTCGTTTTTTGTACGATACCATGGAGGGAATTAGTGGTGAAAAGTAAATATTTTTGCCAACTGCGTTTCCCGTTGTTGTTGAATTATATTAAATTGAATGAATAAATGTGATGTTATCACTGTCATTAAACCAAGGTTCATACTCATTGTGGCGAAAAATAGACTTTGTAATTAATGGGTATTGAGTCAGTTCTGGAGTTATACATATGTACGTATGTATGTATTACTTATTCTAACGCTCTGTGACCTAGGGATCAGAATTTCACAGCCTTAATCATTCAATAATATGTGTAATACAAAATGAAAATTTGAACATAATGTGGGGTACGGAATTACATGCCTTGTATTATTGTCATTTTTTTCCACGATTCAATCAAGATACATATGTAGAGCAGTGGCCTCATAAATATACATATGTATAACTCGTATATATGTACATACATTCATAAATAAATAATTATTTATATAAATATTTACGAATTTTATTAAAAAAATCAAATTATTAAACAAATAGCTTGTAAGTATGTTAGCTGTCTTCTATTCGATAATGTGGATAGTTGCGAATATAATAAACAAAAACAACAAGATTATAACACTTTCATGTGGTATCCACAGATTTACTTGTAATGAGTTTCCCTGAATAATCGTTGTTGAGAATTCGAAATCCTCTAACCACACACATGCCCGTTAGTAAGACTACTTGTAATGAGTGTTCGATCAATTGTTTGCTAGACTTTAAAGGGCTTCATACATTTTATCAATAGGTATATAACCATACTGTTGGATAGTTTGCGATTATTACAAATATTAGGTCAAGTAAAAAGTTCGTTCGGGTTTTATCTAAGAGATGGCGTTATTGCCCATAGTACTTAAAACGTGTTTATTCGCGCTAAAAGTTTGTCTTTGACAGTTTTTCGATTGATTGACTCAGTACTTTGTGACCGCTCGTCAAAGATGGTCAATCAATAAAAAACCGAGCGAACCTTTTACTTGACCTAATATCATTGCATTGCTCAAAGTTGCATTATTTTAGCAACCGCGGAATTGAATTTCAAAATAGTTCGAGTTGTGGAACTAAAAATTTCTAATATACATATACATATATATAAGTACATAAATTCTACTTTATCTACCGGGTTCTCATATTATACATTTAAATGTACTTACATAGTATATATTGCTTGTTGCAAAGAGTGTGGCATCCAAACTTGATAAAAATTGCAGTAAATTTTGAATATAAGACCGGTCGATATTACTCTGAAATTTGGGCAGCCGTCAAGAATTCATCTTATTTACCTTCAAAAATATAATTTGTGTGGAGATTTGCTAAGGACTAGTGGCTAATTGGTGAACACTTCATTCTTGCTAAATGCACTTATTGAGATTTTTTAGTTTAGAAAATTCGTTCACAAATACATTTTACTCCTTTTCTGATTTTTATTGAGGGGTATTAAAACACACCACACGCATATGTACTTATGTAGAAATATGAACGTTCTCATTTCCACCATGCAAAGCATCGTAAACTATTCATTCCAAAAGCTATGCTCAGATATGCAAGTGGGTGGTTGAACGGTGATAAAGGATGTAACGCGTTTGTCGGTGCAGGAGGGTTTGAGTGCGTTTTTGTTGTTGCAGATGATTGTATGAGATTCTCCGCAAATTGTTTTGCGCTCCATCTCGATCGCCTGGAATTGTGGCAAATCTGAATATTGTCAGCATAATACCTCGTCGTGCTCAGGCTTATAAGATTACTCAGGGTGAGAAATGCTGGATATACCTTAAATTGCTTGGTATTGGTAATTACAGTTGTCGGACAGTGGTATTGTTGGATCATTGGCCGGTTGCGAGTGGCGTACGTGACTCTGGTGTTATCAGTGATGTCTGCGCTGGCGATATAAGCACATTTGCGGATCTTGAAAAGCAGTTCTGTAATGCTTGTTCGCCTCAATATCGTTGGTATTCGTGATACTATTCGTTGACCGGTATTTAAGGTAATTTGACTTTTAATGACATTATGTCTTTTGGAGTCGTGTGTTCTGTTGTCAGTTCATTGCCTGTTCATTGTTTGACTTTAGCATTTAAGAGGCAAAATCATTACCATGCCATTTTGATGGCCATAAAGTGCAAACACAATTAGTATCAATACTTTTATTGCCTATGGTAGGAATGTGTATCATTAAATGTGATATTCGCTTTCTTTAGTTAGCAGGATACTGTTAGATAAATTGCCTAGACGATTATTTAAAGCATTCACAACGCACAAGAGTGCGTAGTCAACCTATAATTTTAGTATAATACGATCGGTGCTTGCCTACATATTTCGTTTAACATACGAGTATTCATTGTTTCTAACATTCCCAGTAAAATGAGAAATGGAAAATATGAGTCTTAATGTTTTATGAATATAACAAGTAAGGAAAGGCTAAGTTTATGTGTAACCGAACATTTTATGGCCCCGCAAGGGTTAAAGCCGGAGAACTAGTTACTTTCAGCTAGGTCAGGCAAAACTATATTAAAAAATGTTGCGAAAGATTTCAACAATCATTATTCGACGAAAGGTTATTTGCATATTTGGATAGTTTATGCCTTACGAAATAAGATACCAACATTTAATCATCCGGTCACTGTGTTTTCAGCTTATTTTGCGTATGTTTCCCAGTGGAGAATGTTTTTAGTAACTTTTAAAAAAAAACGAATAACTCGCTACATATGTAAAACATTTCATGCAGTGGTTTTGGTTAAAAAAAAATCACAAAATTATCGTGGTTACCATCTGATTTCACATATTAAAGTGGCAATAATATCCGACAAATAAAATCAACAGTTTTTTAGAGGGGGGGCTCAAATTTCTAGAATAGATCTTCATTTGTTAGATAACGTCAAGACGCACAACTCCCAGAAACGTAAGAGGCAAATATGGCGTAACATACTCGTATGTGTTTGCTATTTGAATTTGACGGTGCTGTGCAACTAAGATTACGCACTGTCATTGCCATTCTTATATGCAAGCACTGACGAACAATTTTAACATTTCATTTTTCTTGAATAACAATGAAGCGCATTGAAAATGATCATGTCATAACGCATAACCGATAAATATTAACTATCATATGAATGTATGAAACAAACCCATGTAGTCAATATAAGTTTATATTGCGATAACTTTTTAGTCTTTTAGTCTCGATTTTTGTCTGAGTTGCCTGCCTTCAAATTAGTTTATAAGGAATTATAGACTTTATCTATTATTTTGCAATAATTATTCATACTGCGCATATGATGCGTATTTTTTATAATTATCTCACTTTGCATAGCTATATCTGTAATATTCTGACATACCGCTTATTGGCATAGTTGTATAAAATGCCTTCGAACGTAAGAACCTATGGTCATAGGAATATAATTTGACTGTATGAAAAAATTTTGAAGTTGTCATACATAGATGATACATGTAGAATATCTATGAAACTATGAAAGAAATTTTGTAAATACATTTTTTTGAACTTAACGAAGTATGTACAATGTGAGTTGATGATTTCATAGATGGTTTTAAATGCTTTCAGGTATATGCCAGTTTATTTAAACCACTTCGTGTGACGAGACATCAGTTCAAAAAAATTTTGAGTTGTATGAAGCTCGTCCGATCGTTGAAATACCAGGAAGTGTATGCGCAAGAGAAAATTACCAAAGTTGACAGTCTATCTCTCGTTCTGTCTGGAAAGTAAGTTGAAATATTAAACCCAAACATTTCTTTGAGTGAGCTTCTTATGATACAAGTAATCTATATTATATATAATATGAAATATAGAATGGCAATAATATTTGACAAGCAACCTGAAAAATTTAACGCATTTCTATTAAACCTAAACTAAAAAATTTTATTTCTTATTACTTATCGTTCCATACTCTTACATACTTACATAGATTGGTTGTATCTCAGAATCAGAGGGCTTTACATATAGTATTTCCTCATCAGTTCCTAGATTCGCCGGAATGGTTTGGAGTATCAACCGATGATTACTTTCAGGTATATTTTTATGCTGCGCTAGAAACTATTTGCAATCGAAGTCATTCACTTAGGTCAGAATACACCTGGTCCCACATACAAATACTATAGAATATGAAAATGTCGATATGTAAAATCAAATACCCACACTTGCACAAATATACTTCATTACATGAATTACATACATTACATATTATTTGCTTATTGCTTTCTACCAAAGTGAGTGGCTTGTGTATGCATTATTGAAAATATTATATATACGCAGAATTATAGCTTATTTTGCTTTGTTATTCTCCAAAATTTTTACACAACAATTGAACGTTTTCGTATGCAACAAAACATCAGGTATCTATTATGGCTATGGAGGAGTCACGCGTTCTTATTTGGCATCGTGATAAATTAAAATTATCTATAATGGCTGAACCGTTTTTACAATCAGTTTTTGATCACATTTTGGGCCGCGACGTTGTCAAGAAGTTGATGCAAGTCACACAGGTTGGTGTTTAGCATTCTAATAAATTTTTTACCTGCTTTTCGAACATTCCCAGGTAAGCGAATCCATAGCTAGTAATGGATTTTTACCATCGGGCAGTTATGATGATGCCGAGGACAAGCCCATGCTGATCATGAAGAAGAGTGTGGAGGGACATGGCCTAACGGCATTAATAAATCGCCAGCTTCAGGGTAAGTTCATGAGATTATTAGAATGTGTTATTTTCGTGAATGTACTCGTACACGTGCTTAGTATAGTTTGCTTGAGAAATATTTTCGGAAGTAGAAAATTGAATGCAGATTATAAGTTCGTATATCGGAAAATTGTCAGCAAATACCTATAAACAATTGATATACACATGATCTTATTATAATATAGGTATGTTCATTGATACCATATATACATACATATGTATGGTAAAAATTGAGTATTCTTATTAAATTTAATTAGTTATCCTCTTAAGGCATATTAAGTAGTGGTAGCAGTATGTACATATGTATGTAATTGTAGATAATTATTTGCATCGCTTGATCCATTCGATTTATAGTTGTAATATACTTATGTATGGTATGTAAATATGTTACTTTTGAATAAATCATCTAGTTAAATTTTGTTATGTCTAAACTTTTTTGTTGTTAAATATTTGAACTATTTTAAGTGTTTGCATTCAGTACATTGTACGTAGATAAATAGTAAACATTTACTAACAATGCGATAATGATTTCAACCACTTTCAAACAGCAAGAGGACGTAATGGTAAGGCCGGACCATACACATTTTTCAACAACTTGATTTTCGTGATAAAGAACTAACTTTATTTATAAATGTGTAAAAAGCAAACAATCCTATTAGACAATCTGAAATATCTTTTAATGTAATTTGAAGAATATATTATATATGTATGCACATATATTTTTATACTCTCGCAACATGTTGCTACAGAGTATAACGGTTGTCTGTAACTCCTAAAACTAATCGAAATAGGTATATAGTTATATATGTATGTATTAATGATACTACAAAACTTGAAATCCGGGTGACTGAGGATTTAAAATTTTTAAAAGTGGGCGTGGCCTTGGCCCCTACTAAGTTTAATACAAATATTTCACAGTCCACTACAGCTTAACGCGGACATTCTTATAGTATGACTTTGTTAAAATAATGCCTGTAATGTATGCCATTTCAAGTCTGAAAATAGCCAAAATCGGATCATTGTTTTCATGCCCCATTGCCGAATTTGTTGATCCTAGTGGCTCTGGCTGACCTTTTACCGAAAATACCGGTCAATCTATGATATATACTATTTAAATTTGGAATATTTTGGCATAAGAGGGCTTTATTATTTAATATTTATTTCCATGGCACTGCGAAAATACGCGAAATCGGACTGCAACTAGTCCTGATTTCTAAATAACACGCCTTTAAATTCCATCTGATTTTTTCACTTTCCAGTATATAAATCAAGCACCAATGAATATATCGGGATAAAGCTTTGCTCAAATAGTGCCTTTAAGGTATAAAAATTGTAAAAATCAGACCATAACTTTTCAAGGCCCCAGATACAGTAAATGTGGACTCCAGAGCCTATGGCATTGACGTGTGAAACAATACATCCGGTTGACTTTACTACTTATATGGTATATTGTTTATGGTATGTAAGATACCTTAATGAAACTCAGGGAGCATCTGTTTCTGTTATTAGTAAGTGGTATTGCCAAAAAAAGATACAATTGAATGAATACTACACCTATCTCCCACATTCCTAATACAAAATCCGCTTGGCCTTATACTGTACAAGTATATATCGCTCAATATGCAAAATTAACTGAACGTATAATATTAGATATTCTTTAGTTTAATGCCGAATATATGTGAAATTATATTATACTACATATAATAATCTTCTTTATTCCATTAATATAGTTTAGCGCTGAACATGAATGATCTTTTGGTTTGTTGGTCTAGATTTTGGTCTTAATCTCATATCGCTAATCTGTTTGGCGTTTTGCACATTAACTGAAGATATTCAATTTAGCCTCTTTGGTTAAGTTTATGTCAGATACATATATCTGGAAGTAAAATATACCATAGTTTTTAACTAATTGAGTCTATGACCTATAATATAACTTATTAAGTATCAAATTTGATTGTAATTCATTCACGATTTCGTCGAATAATGAGTTTTGAATTCTTACGCAACATTTTTCCTTTCTTACTTGTTTAATATAACGTTTTGCCAACAACTGAAAGTATTTTCCCGGCTGTCATCCTTGCGAGAGTATGAAATGTTCGGTTGCACCTGTCTTTCTTACTTGCTCTTTTTCAACTCAAATATAATAAGAAAACCTCAGACAAGGAAAAATATGTGCAAGTACAAATATACATGAATAACAAAGATTCGTAAATATATACTATGTCACCATAAAGAGAGATAAAGAGTATGACGCAGAATTGTCGATGCATGTGTAAAAATCAGAGGCTGTAAAAACTATAACTCTAACCAATTTAACGTAAGAAATAAGATAGAATAGTCATATGTAAATGTATTTGGTTTATGTGTATTTTGTTTTGTTTTTGTGATTGCCATATGAAGCTTTATATACAAGTATGTATATTTTCTCTTATGCAGATTGTCAAAATGCTAACTGAAACATCAAAGTAAATGAAATATTCGTTTTTTTGACCTTGTGCCAACGCGTTAAAAAGCAAACCTAAAAATAATTGGCTTCAGATACCTTTGGCTCGAGAAATTTAGATATATGTACAATTTAAAGCTTTCAAAAAATCAGTGGGTTCTTATAATTCTCGTTTGTTTTAGAGGAGAATCATACTCATTTTTATTTTTGCGCAAAACGTGCTTTTTTAATACGGTTGGCTTGATTTGTAAATGTAAATATCAATAGTAATTAGGTTTTATACATTTCCCATACACACATACATATTTATGTTTGCATATATAATACATTGAGATGAAATTATACGTACATATATAATATATCAATATTAAAGCATATTCATATGAGAGAGAGTATTTGATTTTGCTCCAGTGTTCTCTTTGATATTCCAGAAATACAAATCTACGTATGCACATACATAAATAATATGATTTAAATGCACATGCATCCGAATATATTTTAATTTATACCATATGATTTTATCATGCCTTATATTTATTTATTTATATTTTATGTTATTATTCTATTTTAGAAGAGCATGTACCTTTACTTGGCCGTACCTATAAATCTAATACACTGCATATGGTGTCAAATCAGCCAGTACAAGCGCCAAATCAAAAATCTGCTTTATCATCTACTCGGCATAAAAGTGTCGTACGCAGAGAGTTAACGTCTCCATGCTAATGGACAATTAATCACTCAGGCTAAAAAAGATGCGATCGAGCGCAGCACAAACTCAAACTCACATCCAAACGTAAATTTGAAGACGAAATGCATTTGCTGTGTAGACGTTACACTGCCGCCAACACCAATGTTTCCACCATCGCCTCAAATATTGAAACAGCCATCACTAACATACCCACCATTATTTGCAAATATTCATCTGATCACTTCACAGTTTTCTTAAGTTCGAGACACAACACATCAAATACACCTTTTATGTACTAGATATGAGTTATTTAAAAAATTAGTTCTTCAAAAAACAAAAATATTGTAAACTTTTATATCGCCATGTTATCTATTTGTTTTTTTTTTTTTTGATTCTTTTCTATTATAAATAAATGTAGTAGCTTGAGCAGCGATGGAAAATCCGCTCTAAAGTTCGTAATATCTTTTAATATTAGATCGATCCCAGAAGCGACAACTAATGAATCGAGTAAACAATTTGAAATATACCAAAAAGTTAAAACACAAATATATTGTAGCTCTTGTGTAAACTATATGCCTACTTTTTTAGTATAAAGATATGTATGTATATAGGTAAATATATGTATGTATGTAAATAGTGTATACAAAACTTATTAAAGCGTCTAGAAGCTCAATTTTGCGAGTTTGTGTTTAATGTATAGTCTATGTAACTACATGGAAATAGATGTAAGAACTTAATGACAAATTAAGAAAAGGAGAAGGTTAATACAGTTTCGGAATATGTTCAATTCTCCGTTAGAAAATATACAACTAAACTCAGTTTGCGATGCTTCGCAAGTATGTACGTTTCTATGCGCATATTACTCTTAAGTTTAAGGTTGCATTACATGAAAAGGAGTTTCAACTTAATCATTCATTATTATATCTTATTTCGGTGTTTATTATTTTATTACTGTTAATATTTAAGGAGTGTTATCCTTCTCTATTAAAAAATTAATAACAAGCATTAAATACTTTTGTAATAACCGCAAATACGTTTATTTTAATTTTTAACTAATTCGCTGTTCCACATCCATAAGTTCAAAAAACATAAATTTCTTTTTGTACCCCTATTACGGTTTTCAGCTTTCAGGTTGATGTTAAAGCAATTAAACTTCAGATCAACAAAACTCTGTTTTGGTATTACGAACTTCAACTATTTTCAGCAAAGTTTCATTGTGGTTGCCAACCCAGAAAGTAAAGATTTGATAGACAGTTAAGCGGTTGAAAATGTTTAAACGAAAAATCAAAGCTTTTCTCGGAAAAGTAAATAATTATTAAAATTGATTTTTGTTCTAATTTATATTACGATGAACGTTGAGGCCGACGTGCTGCACATACGAAAAAACTTTCGTGATTACTCGGATCCATTGAAACTTCCTAATTCCAAGTAAGCCAAAGTTTTATTGACAATAAAATGGCTTTAAAATAATATCTGTTGCAGATTGCAAATTATGTTACATTACTGCAAACTCTCCATTTCCGAGCTGACGGTAGTTAAAAAAAAGGCAGTTTACATGATTTTAACTTTGCACTGGCGCAGACTACGATATATGTACATACGTATATGGTTGTTAATATGGTTTTAAATATTATGGATTCGGTATTTGTGCGCAGAATAAAACAGAAATTACTGAAGAGAAGCAAAAAGCTTCAAAAATTAATTTTACCCAAACAGTATATTCCTAGAAATAGTAGATTATAGCCACTCTTTATATTCGAAACACTTCAAATGGGGGCCAATTTAATTTAATTTTTACTGTTTCCAAATTGTAGTTTGCCTCGCCCAGTTTCGGTTTTTTACTCCACGAGCGCAACAAATTTTCCATATTTCTATGTAGTTGTACAAAATAACTGATTAAAATAGTTTAAAATTATATAAAATAGTTTGTTTCCTCGTTTTCAATTTTCTATTAATATTTTTTCTAAATAAATGCAGTAATGTTCCACTACACTGGTAAATTTTTGATATTCTAGTCAGTTCCACTGGCAAAAAGTTGAAATCCGTAATAAGTTTACCACAAAAAAGTTGAAGTTTGACAACACTTCAATCGAAATTTTATTGACTGATTGAGTTGATATCGACAGTACCGATTTTCAAAACTTCAACCTAAATGCAGTTGAGTTGAAAACCGGAATAGCGGCTTTACAGATAAAAATACTTGTACATGTATACGTGTATCAGGATCACTTTTTAGTTGTAACTGGATCTTAATACAACCTCAATCGAACAACAGTTTATTAAATAAAATAATCATTAAAAAAAATATAATAATTAATAGGATCATTAATCAGAAGCTATAAAATAAACCAATTATTTCGAAGAAGTGATTGCTTTGTCTTGGAGAAAGACTTTTGGATGAATATCGGCATGTTTGTTTCACAAACAGATGGTTTCGAATTGCAACTATATCGCGTACAGTGTTTATGATTTAGTAAACACATACAATCAACTACTTTATATGTACATTTAAACAAAAAAAATATAGACATACTTTGTATTTATTGTTTGAATATTACAGATTATATTTATTCTTTTGTTTAATTTAAAATTTTCTCTTGTTACCGTTTCTTTTTCTCACAAAAATATTGCGTTAATACTCGTATACCACCAGCCATACCGAGGATATCGAAGTACTATGATTGCGGTAAGTTAATAATTAAATTAATGCATGCTTGTGCATGTGTGTGTTTGTATGAATACATGTATATATGTATGTACATAGACATATTTTCAAACTTTATATATGCATATATATGTGATTCATTTTCTAGTTAAATTTTTAGAACGCACCTCGTAGAAATGTGTTGTATACCATATTGATTACTATATGATTAAAGAGGAGCAATATAGAATTGCTGGATTAGAGTGCATTAATACACATATTAAAAATTACGTTGACTATTATAAACCAAAGATTATAAATTCGGTATCTATAGAATATGATTGGTATATGATATATCTTTAAGGAAATGCATATGCTGAAGTATTAGTGATTGAACGAACAACGAAGTCAAACCTTCTGATAGTGCTGAAATTTGTCTCAATTTGAATCTTTATTTTTTATTTGATACCAAATATTATAATGATCACCATTGTAGCATTTTTCATATATGGTAGTGGTACATGTGTAATTATAAGTCTATGAAATTAGTAAAATATACGTCCAATGCAAATTTCCGAAAACGCCTCTGGCACATTATCTTACATGTGTTCAATGTTTATATATGTTATATAACATTTTTCACTAATTACATTAAAAACTGTTTTGCAGCGGGTGATCCTAACTCCTGGCGATTAGGTAGAATTGATGAGACTGACCATGAGACGGCTGTGTGAGTGTTACATATATATGTATAAGTATATATATGCCATAGATGCAAAAGAGTTGATACGAGTGAAAGTAGCAGAATATATTCCAGCCCATGCTGAAATAGATATGTAAAGGCAGCATAATTGATGTAAAACAAGGGTGGCAATGGAGTCAAAGTCTGCAGTTCTTCAAGTGCGAATGGAATTTTTCTAAGTATTATTAGCAAATAAGAAAATTATATAATTCTTGCATTGTTTGTACAGTAACGACAGAGATCTGAATACATAAATTTGATTATAGAAAAAAACGAAAATAACGAAATTTTAAATTATATATCCATATGTACAAATGGTACATATGTATGTATGCAAGATTTATACGAAGAAATCATACCAACATTCTTCTGTAACTTCAAAGTTAAATATTCTTTAGAATAATTTCATAATTCATAATGTCAAATGACATCAAATTCAATATGATTATCAGAGCAGTCGGTATTAATGTTTTTGATTTTATTCAATTTAATTTATTTCGTTAACATTTTGGGTTTTAACTAATGATTTCATTATACGGCAAAAACAAATTTTTTCTGTGTATTGGACGAATCCAATATTTTTCAAGTGATTCAAACACTTTCTGCGTTTTTTGAAATTAGCCTCCAAAACCGAAGTAAGCCACATTTGAATCTTAACTTCGATTTTGTAGGTAGAAAATACTTTTTTCTTATGACTCAAACCCTCAGAAAGTATTTGTTTCGTTCAATACTCATCCGACCCTGTACGCCGTTTTTTATAACATAAGGTACACAATTTTTTTTGCATACATATCTGTGTGGATATCCATTATATATACCAGCGAACATAGGTTTCATCGATTGTTTATCTAATAATAGATAAAGTGTAATAGGCATATTCGTTTTCTTTTCATTAAGTATGTATGCGTACATCTGTATGCATGACAATAGTAATAACTAATAAGAACCCTTTAGTAATCGATAAGGTGGTTTAAAAAACTTCCAAATTTTAGAAGCTTTGCCAATCTTCAACAAAAGTTGATGACCCATATTTTAAAAACTGCGAAGGTCAACACAAATATATGTTATCCCAAAAAGTCAGGAGAATATTTTTTTATCGTGAGACGTCTTTGACGTTTAGACATCAAAATAAATTCGCAGGATTCTTATATTTGGATGTATATCTAAAGTTATACTGTATAAAAGTATTACACCGCATTAAAAATGTGAGCATTTATTTATTTTATAAATAAAATTAAAAAAACTAAGTGTATACTTTTATTATTAATTTTATTTAATATTCGCATATAAATTATATGTTTGTCCTTTTTTAACGTTAATTAATTTATTTACATATACAATTTTTTATCTCTTGTGCTGTTCAAACCGAGAATCAATCAATAAATGTACATAGGTAAATCAAATAAAATAACTTGTGAAACTTTGAATTGAAATTTTATAGATCTGTGTTATACAAAAATGTTTTTCAAAACGAGGATAAACGGTAAGTTCATCTGTCGAAGCTAAAATACTCTCTACAGGCGCATTTCTTATATCATAAAAGGGTATAAAAAGATCTTTATCTTGACTTCATTCTGTCAGTTTGAATAGCAGCTATAGTGGTCCGATCTGAAGAATTTGTTCGGAGAATGGATCGTTGCGATCGGCGGAAAGAAAAGGACGTGTGCAAAATTTCAGATCGATATCTTAAAAATTGAGCGACTAGTTCGCGTACGGACAGACGAACTTGACTAAATCGACCGACCTTATCACGCTGATCAGATATATATGTATATATATATTTTAAATCGTCTTTCCGTAGAGGTGTTGCAAACTTAATGCACCCTGTTAGGGTGCTTTCTATCTTTACTTATCGAGCCCACTGTTTACAGAAATACATATGTTCATACATATATCGGTATATATGTAAAAATAAAAATATTTCTAGCACTAATATAATATTTTCCGCATGTACTTACATAATATAATATTTATTTATAAAAATATAACTGCGTTAGCATGAGTGTATAATGTTTCGATCCAACGTTTTTGTTAATTTTATCGAAGATCAATTTATATATGAATTGCCTTTTATCGAGACACTATAAGCAAAAGATGTAGAGGTGAAAAATGTTACCTTTGCATAAATTGTATTGATACCATCACAAAAAGGATATATTTACACGAATGTTCATAATTATGTATATGTATAAAGATGATGTGCAAATAAATATTTATTTTATTATATTATTTTAAGGTGTTTTATCTGAAACAAACTAAATTTCAATAACCTAGGGACCGGACATATACGTATGTACATACATACTCGTATTTGTCCATATACAAATGTATTTGGACAATTTTATGTATATAGTAATTTGGCATATACTACATATATTTATTTATGACCCTAATGTTTAATTCTTACTTTCGTGATGTCGTAGTTTCAAAATTTTAAAATTAATTTGTGACAAATAAGAAAAGTCTTGTTACTATTTCTAGTATAAAATACATTATTATATCTGTTCTTTCGTAATTCAAGAACCTTCAAGACCACGCTATTTTAATGCGTTTTGTTGCTATACTCAAATATTCATCAGTGAAAGGGTGAAGATGTTTGTAACCACATATCCTTTTCTCACATGTAATGGATTTTCTGGAAGTCGATTCGTTAGATGTTTCAGATAGTTGAGTATTTTCCGATTCATCAGTTTCCATTGAGGTCACACTATTATCTTTTAAATGTTGCCTGCTTGAATTATTATATTCCAATTTACGCCTGCCACGATGTCTTTCCCTGCGGGCTAAAGGTAGCGCAAATATTTTATATAAACGCATTAGTTCATCATTCGACATTTGCTGAATATTTGGTAAGTTCAGCTGCCGCTGTACGGAACAATAAAAAAATATAATAAATTCATAATGTTAAAAATCCTCAGACCGCACCTCTATTAAAATGGTCAACAACTCCTCCCGTGTTAATAAATCAGCAAACAAGTAGTCCATTTTTTCACGGGATTTAATGCTTAATCAAATCTTTTCATATTTTTTGTAAAATGAAGATGAAACATATACATTGAAGAAATACTCATATTTAATTGCATTTTTATATCCAAGTCTATAACAAAAACGCCATTATTTTATATTGCTGTTTATAACTAACAAAAACATTTAGAGATGGTCGATCTGACGATTCGATTTATTCGATAACATGTTTCGATATATGGATCTGAAGTCAATAGCGTATAGCCCCCAATAATTTCGTTAATAATTATTAGGCGATTATGTTAAGGTTGATTTTCAGCTAGCACTTTTTAGGAAATACATATAAAAAATATCTCGACGTAGAGCTACTGTTGTACCAATTGATTTGTAGGTGATTTAATAATGACATGTTGGCAGCACTTTTTAGTTGACGTTTTTTCTTATTTTGTTGTTGGTATCACATCTGGCATGTCTTTTAAGTGAAACGTAAACGTTCTAAAATCTAAATTGTTCTGATATTTTTGATATACCACCATAATTTAAAATAAAATGTTTAAAAAGTGGGTTATATTCTGTTGAATATTTTTGGTAAATGTATAGTTTAGGTCCCCCAACGAAGGAGGCCTCAAAAATTAAATATTTATAATCGTTTAATTTTGAGGCTAAAATTACAAATCCGTGAGCGAAAAGTGAATATTTTCAATAATTTATGTATACATATATATAAATAATATTTAACTAACTTTGCACATATTTTTCAAGTAACATGTTGTTGTTGTAGCGGTAGGATTCGGATCACTTAGCTGTAATTACAAGTTTAACGAGTTGGACATTTTCTTGTTAACAAATGTACTGAGTAAACGTAATAGTCACAATTTCTTTTGCTTCGAGTTCTGAATGTATGGACGAATAGAGAACATCGTCGAACTCCTTTCCGCACTGGCTTCAAAGAAATACCCCTGGTCGAACCCACACCGGGGTGTCCATAGTTCTTTTGCGTTCTGAAGAATTCGATGCACCAGGGTTATTTTTTTGAAGCCAGTACGGGAAGGAGTTCGACGCGAAAGAACGTGTGAAAAGTGTAAATTTTTAATTTATTTTGAAAAATAGTATAAAAATATTGAAAAAATTATCTTTCCGCTCACGGATTTGTAATCTTCGCGTCAAAATAAAATGATTTAAAAAAATTATAATTTCCGCGACCTCCTTCATTGGGGGACCTAAACTTTGCATTTACCATATTTTTTCGAATGTGTTTCTAATTATTGATATTATAGGTTTGAAGAAAAGGAAAGTGTTTCGTCACTGCAGCAACTGAAGTCTTCAGTACAGAAAGGAATCCGGGCAAAATTGTTGGAGACATATCCTTTACTAGAAACACATATTGATTTGATATTGCCAAAAAAGGATTCATATCGCATCGCGAAATGGTTATATAAAATTTCTGTCAAAAATTGATAATATTTAATATAAATCAAATTTTAGTCACGATCACATTGAACTTTTAGTTACGGGGAGCGGTGAAATAGCTTTCTTCCGGCACCGGGAGAGTCAGTGGATGCCTACTTTAAGGTTACTTCATAAATTTCCATATTTTGTAACCATGCAGCAAGTAGACAAGGGTGCCATACGTTTCGTTCTAAGTGGAGCTAATATAATGTGTCCCGGCCTTACATCACCTGGAGCACTAATGACGGCTGTTGATAAAGGAACTGTAGTTGCTATAATGGCTGAGGGCAAGGAATATGCATTAGCTATTGGTGTTACAACATTATCTACTGAAGAAATGTAAGATGTATTTTATTTTGCGTACTTTTCAAATTTAATGATATTTTGTTTCAGTTCGAAAGTCAACAAAGGTGTGGGGGTAGAAAATTGCCATTACCTTAATGACGGCCTGTGGAAGATGAAAGTTGTTAAGTAAAAATTCCAGACTGAAATTACTACAAAAATGTTGATTTCTTAATTAAATAAATTGTTTTATTTTATTGGATATATACACATTCCTTTGTTATCGCACACATTCCATTAATTTAAAGCATATTCAATAATATAACTTAGCCACAAATTAAAATACCAAACTGTAATTTGGTACAGTAAATCGCAGTAGAGAGGGACATTTGTGGTTTAAAAATGTTTTAAATTGGGTGTAGTCCCTACATCTAAATTTCCTTAAGACAAATATTTTTGGCACTTCCTTTAACAATGTGAAAATGTGTGAAATTTCGAATGATAACCCTGCCCACTCGTCATATAACTGTTATGCCGAAAATTGCAGAAAGTGCAATAACACATTAAGTAAAAACGTCAGAAGCGTTAAATAATATGTGAATCCAATATACAGAAGGGCCTCATTACAGCCTATAAAAGAAATCCTATATCTATATATAGGATATATTGTGAAATGTGCGGTTCATAGGTAAAAAAAGAAATTTCTCTGTTTTTCGAAGTCAGCCTCCAAAATCAGAATATTTGCCTTCGAAGTAGAAATTGAGTTTATTTTAAACCCACTATTTTTGGTATGGTGTGTAAATTTCTAAAGAAGTAAAAATATAGACATAGTCTACATTTTCATTTTGTTTCAATGACGGTTAAGTTTGTACGTATATTAGAGATGGTATAAGTATTCAAAGTTGGATCTCCAAAAAAGTAAGTACTTTATCAGGGGTGTTGTAGAATCTGATAGTTGTTGGAATCAGAATTTAAACTGATAAAACAAAAATGTTGTAGGTGTCATGAATTCAGATATTGGTTTGACGTTCGAAAGAGAAATTGTATCGGTTTCGGGTGTCACCGAAACCAATTTTATTGGTTTTGTTATCAGAAACAAAGCAAGGGGATAGTCGCTGACAGATTTGAAATGTAAGTTATGAAATTAATTTATATTATTAAGCTTTAATTTACCTTTATTTCTATAGGAGAAAACATAAGAATAAAACACACAATGTCATAATTATTGGGTTTATGGAAAAAATCCAGATATTTAAGAGGATTTACAAAACGTAATTTAACACCAAAATGCGTTTTAATTCAGTCGATAATGTGATATAAATCAGTAAAGTTAGCATGTATACAAGCATACAAGAAAATACTAGTCAAATTTCACATGCGATTCCCCTGGTGCATCAAGTGGATTACTGTAATCTTTTAATATCTTCCTTTTAATTTTTTCGTTGTTTTTTCTTCCAATAAAATATAAGCTAAGAAGGCGTAACTCATTGTAAACTTTAGGCTTTATTCAGTATTTTAAAATTATCATATGATTCCATATTTATTCATTTGTAAGTTTTGTCACATCAGTAAACCAAACCAAACCAAACCCACTACATATTTATGGTATAGTGTGTAAATTTGTAAAAAAAAAAGTAAAAATATAGACGTAGTTTACCTTTTTCTCTTATTTCAATGATGTATAATATTATTCCGTCAAGTGTATAAGTATGTATATAAGAGATGTTACAAGAAATCAAAGTTGGAACTCCGAAAAAATAACAACTTTTTATTTTGAAAAATACTAGCCCGATTAATAAAACATTGGTGTGGGCCAGAAAGTAACGAAACGCCCTTTCTGATGATGTGCGTAAAAAAATTACGAAAAAGTTTATTTACATATATATTGAATTATATGTTTTTTATGAAACTTATTTTTCAACGTCGTATTTTCCATCTTCATAATCAATATCTTATTCATCATTATCCTCGGCCTCATTAAAATTTTTTATTCCGATTTTTAGCCTTCAACATAAGTATATTGGCAGCTTGGAGAAAATGTTCACTGCTCATCAGATTTGCATAAAAGTTGGCTTTCTAACCAATCAAGATGAGTATGCATTATATGAACTTTCAACTACAATAATTAACATGAGAGTCAGGCGTAGTCGAACATTATAAACACTCGCAATTTGTATTAAATAAATATTTCAGCTATTTTATATATTTTGGAGATCTATTGGTCATAAGGGGAATACACCAGCAAAACGCATATCTAGTGGTAAGGGTAAGGTAAACTTAAATGTTTTTTGTTGACTTTATATATAGCATTCAAGTTATAATGGTAAGTTTGCGAAACATCTCAATAAAATTGAACTATATTTGCTATGAAGTTGATAACTCGAATAAGAAATGACCACGTTAGACTAGTTGATCAAGGTCTAATTTGTCGTACCATGTGAATAAAAAAAATAATAAATAGTTTACTTTAATATCTACTTGGAAATCTGATACATAAAATATCTCAGGAGAAATAAAGTAAAACAAAACCAAAAAAATGTAACAGAATACATACAAATAGTAAATGAAACCACCTGTTATGATTCTGAAGAGCCTTGTAAACTTTTAGGTATACGTATGTATTTATATATGAAAGAAGTATAAATTGTATACGCTGGTACCGACTCTGCATCCTTCGGGTAAATTTGAAAGGAAGCTTCAGAATATTTAACACGCTTATAAAACCAAAAGTAAATATTTCAATACTGTATACACCCTTTATATACATATATGTACATATGAACTTGTGTACTTACGTATAAATAGTTGACAATATGGAAATTTATATGGAAATGAAACTCTTGATGTAGCCGCAACAGACATTATCGATTTTTACCGGCCAAATATGGAAAACTAAATGAACTAGAAAGTAAATATTAAGAATGGAGCTGATGCCCGGACCTGCGCATTGACCAACATTTTGTTTTTAAATGGCTGTTAAGGAAAATATTGAGTGACTAACATCATTGGCTTGCAGTGACCGTCAGTTTTACTTGAGATTGCCATTAGAGACAACGTTTAAAGTTGATAAGTTAGTTTCGCACTCAGTAGAGGTCAGGGTAGTAAAAAAATGAGGGTAATATCTTGAAAACTTCCGACGCCTGTTGGAATTTCAGTTATTTCCATACACAAATAAACATCGAATATTTGAAAAAATAACACAAAAATAAAATAAAAGTAAAATAAAGTGAATACTTTGCCATCTTTTTAAAATGAGGGGATAATAACAAGTGAGTGACGTGGTTGGTATTGAATATTAATATGAACATACGAATATATGCATATGCTTTATTTGCAAATATATATTAAAACAGACAAATAAGTGGTAAATTAATTTTAAAAAAATCAATATTTGTATGAGTAATATGTATGTACACATACATATGTATAAGAGCATATGTACATATGTATATAAATTAACGAATTGCAGTTTGCATTATTGTTTATTAAATCGTAAATATTTGAATGTACGCACATAAGTATATAAACGAGTTCTATATATGTATGTACATACATATATATGTACGTGAATTTCGGAAATAACAAGACGTAATGTCAGATAAATTGTTGAACTTAAAGCGATAATAGCAAAAACATTTCTGCTATGATTCTGCTGTAAGTTATCCTTGAAAATGTATCCAAATCTTCGGTTATATTATTGATTTTACATACATACATTTTTTCATACATAATTACTTATGTATGTGAATACATATCCATATGTACAGGATACAAAGAAGAAAGCTTATGTTGAATGGCAAACATCAATCCAAAACTACATTAATAGTCCCAATACACATGCAATACGAATAGTACTTACATCGTCCTCAAAGTCATCGTTTTTCTCAGCATAGTCGTAAACACTGACGTAGTACGTATAAGTATATAGGAATATAGTTACTACAACAATAAGGAGTGCAAAGAGCAGTAACAAGTGCACAATTTAAGCAACAGGAAGTTTATTTCGTTTCAAGAGCATTATCAACGCAAGAGAAGTGATTTACAAATGGAGGATTTATTTTTGCTTATAATAAAGGAGTCCACAGGGACAAAGCATAATGCATTGCGGCAAACTGCGCAAATTGCATATGGTAGGTACCAAGGCGCCTGCAAATAATTATCTCATTTGTTCTATTTTAGTTTAAAATGCAAAATGCTTTACATTTTTTTAATTAGATAAATTATATCGCCAGCACGGAATCCATCGGGATCCAGCTCATGAACTCCGGTCGGTATGCTTCACTGCGTTACAAATGGCTCTAGATACAAAGCGTCCGAAGTTTGTTACAATGGGACTCAATGGATTGCATGTAAGTAATCATACCTACACACTATGTACATACATTCATTTAAACACCCAAAATATACATATTTATAAAAGCAATAGTTTGCAACCAACCGCCTTTAAACTGCAACTCATTTAGATCTTTACTAAATGCATACATATGAATGTACATTTGTATGAATAGATGTGTACTATATACTTACATATGTGTTTGATAATGAGTTTTGAGAAACTTAACTAAAACTACGAGAGACTGTTCTTTGTTGCAAATATCATTAAAATAATAATTATTAGTTTCTAAACCCGGGTATATGCATTTGCACGCAGTTGTATTTCATTAAGAGCTATATTAAAATGACGGCTGAAGTTTATTTAAATTTTTTTGGTTTATAAAGCTCTTCAATGTCTTACTTTTAGCGCATTATCAAAGACGAACGCTTTTACATTGGTTTAGAACCAGAAGATGACTCGGTGTGGTTGCCCGCCCAGTTGTTGCGCGCCACAAGTGGTATTTTGCCCACGACCAGCAACGAAGATACCGTGATCAATGTGTTGCGACTCTTTTTAGCTATGGCTTGCTCTCCTGCGTGCACATTAAATGGTCGCCTTTTAATTGAAACACTTTCACGTTGCGGCGAATGTTGGGAGTTAGGCTCGCGTGCCACAAAAGCAGCCTCCCTAGCAGCAGCATCACAATGCCTGCGCACATTTTGTGCCTTTCTCATGGAAGAGGCCGAAGAGGTGAAGAAGACTGCTCCACCTGGTCTAATGACTCAGACGCAAGCATCAGCAGTGTATAATGAAGTGATTCCGGTAATGCAGTGGTTATGTAGTCGCTTGGTAGAGCCAAATGCGAATGGCTCACCGAACAAAAAGGCAGATAATAACTGCTCGTTATATTTAACGGAATGCATTCTTACATTGACATCAGCATTGCCGCGAAACGTTCACGCGAATCCACACTTTACATCATTCTTATGGCAGAAATTTTGCCCAACATTGGCCGCAGCGTTGGGTTCGCCAGGTCGCGTTAATTTGGATAAAAAATTTACGTATAAGTGAGTTAAATATTTACATACGTTTATACCTATATACGATACGATACATATTTAAATTTGTAAATACCCTGTAGTCAAATAAACTGTTTATAAACTACTATCCAACTATAAGAACTGTAAGTCCAACTAGTTAGGCGATAACTCTCAGATTTCGTTCAAAAACAAGTTCAAAATAAGTAAAAATTAGTAGGATTAAAGTGAAAATTCCTGATATAAAAGAATAACTTACTAAAAATCGTTCTATGATTTGTATAAATTTGATGTTTTCCTTTCTAGTTACATTTCAGATAGAAATACTTAGTTATAAAGTAACAAATTTCTTAACTGGTTTGACTATTTTAATATTTGGTATTTAAGTTTAAGTACGGTATATTATATATCACTTTGATGTAATAAATGTATTTGTATGTAAACTCATCAGGGATGCATTGAATCTGATTGAAAATGAAGCTCGTGGCTTTTTTACTGGTCCTGGCTTAGATGGTCCGCAGGCTCGGTGCGTATATTTGACGGCGATACAGCTATTGCGTATTGCCGGAGCATATGGATCCCTTCGGCCTATGCTGGAGGCCCTCTTTCATCGTATGCTTCTGTTGCCAGCGCCTCAAAATCGCACTGAACCACTAAAGTGTGTTCGCGAAATATTGAAAACTCCGGATCGATTGATAGATTTAGCGGTTATACTTTATGTCGACAAAAGTACAGGTCAAGGATGCAGTGATGAAATGGCGTTATTTCGCCTGTGAGTACCCTTCATAAATTTATGCAACATATTTCTTTAGTATGCCGTTCACAATTTCTAAACATCGTAGTATGGTCGATGCAATGGAAGAATGCGCATTTGGTGTAAGTACAAATTCGGGAATGGAGACCGGACTTCATGCAAGCGTGGAATGTATGGTCGCACTGCTAGATAGTTTGCAAATTCTTTGCAGCGGAGAAGTAACTGAATCAATGATTAGTGATCAGGTAAGATATGATAATGCGTGTGATATGCATATACATAACTTTGTTCAAATCGGTAGATTGTTAGTGCTGTCAATAGTCGTCATGAAACATTGAAGGATGCCGATTACACTGGTCCTTTGACTTATCAATCAATGGCGCGTCTACCAGCTCCTTATCGCGATGCTATTGTTGAATTTCGGCAAAACGTGTTTGAGACATCCTCTGGCTCTGATAGTGATGGCGATCATCCAGAACAAGATGCTGCCTCAAATGGTTCTGGCGATACAGAAGGACCAGAAGAGGAAGAACAATCGACTTCAAGTGATGAAACTTCACGTGTGGAGAACCGATGGCCCTACACTCATCTGGAAGCCCCGGTTATTCCTGTGCGAACCGATATTGATAATGATCGACAACATGCCAAAGAATTTGCAAAAGCTTTGCGTACAGATTTAGTGCCGAAATTGTTACGTCTACGTTCTTGCATTGAGGTGGACGAGGCCATGCAAGAATTCGCTTCAGTTGTCTGCCAAGAGAATACCATGAATTTTTCTGATTTTGATTGTCACCTTACAGCCATAAATGCTGATGGCATTTACTTAGCTATTTATTCGTCATTACTACTCAGCTTGCAATTAACAAAGGTTAGATACTATGATGACCCACAGAAGGAGATACTAATCCCCATGTCCGAACAACAATTTGTCACATCTGTCCAGAATACTGGAGTCTTGGTGTACCTCTCATCTCCTTGGCTTTGTGAATTATATCAAACCGTATTAGTTTCAAATGCATTGGAAGCAATGAGCAGGGAGGAATTGGAAGGCACCTATTCGCGAAGTGCCCTTGTGGATATGTTGTGTGATGCTGGAGGATTGGGACCAACTCAGATGCTCTCCGAATGGCAACGATTACAAATTGCGAATGTGAAACATACAGATGAGCTGGATAGTAAACGTCGAGAGGCCGCAAAGAAGCTTTGTAGACGCTTATTGACTTGTTGCTGGGATTCAATGGTTATAGTTCTGAGCTCGGGCTTAGGCGATTTATCTTGCAGTAATTCGAATAAATTGGTGGCCTTGTCAAAACGCACGCTTCGAGTCAAAGCAAAGACAAATAAAACTAATGGTGAAGCTTTATACGCTATGTGTCTGGATGGTTTACATTCTGTAAGTTATCCAATAGTTTTCGAAGTTATTTCATTCATTAAGTAACTTATTTTATTTCCTTTGAATTTCAGGCCGCCACTTTAAGCAACAGTTTGAATTTGCAGCATTTGGCTGGAAAAATTTTAAGTCTTCTGGCATCAAATGTTTGTCAAACAAATGGGCCAAGAATTTCTGCTAGCCAAGCAATGTCTATGGATGTAGTATTAAATGGAGGCTTGAATTTAGGCTCTTATAGTCCTGATTGTTGGCAATCCGTATTCGCTGTGTGTCGTCATGTCAGCCAATTGGAACACGAAATTTTCAGTTTGCAAAATTCATCGATTGGCACTTCACCAGGCACAGGACGACGTGACTTGGAGACCGGTGAAAAACTAAGCAATACAGTTCAAAATGATAAACTTAATTTATCTTCACTACCCATTGATGATGATGAAACGTGGTAATTAGTGTACTCCTAGTGTATTACATCATATTTAACTTACAACCAGTCACATACATTTATTCGTATACTATGTATATTAAGTGTCTACCACATGGCCTGAAAAGGCTTTGGCGCAAAATCGAAGAATAACGTACATTAATACTGTTTAGTGATTGTTCTACCATGTTCGAGGTAGAAGAAAATTTATTATTAGTACTTAACCGCTGAATATGCTAGACAGATTTGCGGTAATACTTATCCGTTGCTTTGTGTCAACACTTTTATCCCTATCAGGAAACGTTATTTAACCAAAACGCGTAAAACTAAAATACGCTGTAAACAAAAATACCACAGGTAGCGTCAGGTATCGGTATCGGATGAACTGTCATTGAACTTTGAGAGTATTCTAGTTAAAGTTACTTCTCCGCGCCAAAGATATATACTTTTATTGTGAAAGTTGCTAAAGACTTTACAGCCCATTTCTACTAAAATCTACTCACTTGCTAAAATCTAATAGGTTGTAATTAAGTCAGAGAAATGTGTATGAAAATATAAATTTTTCAAGTAGTTTATCACTTTTTCCAAATTCCACAATTTTCCCAAAAGAAAATAAAGTACTTAAATCAATATTTTTTAAATCGGTAAAATTGGATATATTTCGATTATTTAAAAACAAATTTGTTTCTTTTATAGCGTGGATGTTTACAGCTTTCTTCAGGCACCTCTACAAAGTCCCAATACTAATATTACATCTATATTAAAAGTATATTCGGGCACAAATGAAACGGTGCTATTAAGTCAAAGCGACACCTCAAAAGTTCTTTGCGCTCTGTCACACCAGGCTGAAAATTTGTTCTCAGATGCTGCTGAGCGCTTAAGCCTTCCTTCACTATGTCAGTTTTTAAAAAATCTATGTAAGGCATCGAGGGAACAGCTTTATAAGAATACTACTACTCGCAAAGGCAGCAGAATTTGGTGGCCGAGCAAAGGTTGGAAGAAAATCGAAAGCCTACCAATTTCGTTATTATTACATCGAATCGGAGATGTTACACTGAGGGTATTTAAAAGTTCTAGGCCGCTTTTACATATACTAAAAGTATGGGCCATCACTGGGCCTCATCTAATGGATGTGGGTATCTCAATAAATATATTTAATTACATCTGTAGCAAGTGATGATTCACTTTTATCTATTATATTTTAGGCTTCCTGTCATCGAGATCGTGCGATATCAAAAAGAGCCATTGAATATATCCATGACATAATTACAGCACTTCTTGTGGAACAATCTGAGTTACCCCATTTTCACTTCAACGAAGCACTGCTGAAACCGTTTGAAAATCTTTTAAGTATGGACACATGCGATGTTGATGTGCAGGTATGTACATTTATACAACTTCAGAAAGGCATAAGTCAGTAGCTATGCAATATTACTCAAATACTTGTATACACTCGAAAGTTATGGAAATACTAGAATACCCGGCCGCGTGTTGCTATGGTTATGATATAGAGAGTACGGTAGAGAGACGGGGACATCGGGGCCCGGAATTCTCAGGGGAGCCCAGTGCTTTGTAATATTTTTTTGCAATTTTTTTATCAACAATTCACTACAATTGTTCCCATTTTGAATTTCTATATTTTATAAGAATATTTGCTTGTAATGTTATAATTTAAAATTATGCTTCTCTGCGGTCTATTTAATTTTTGAAGTCAGCATCAATGTTTCTTCAGGATGATTTAACCGAGTTATCATATACATATGTACTCGATCACATGTAACATCAACAAAAAATATACGTATGGTAAAATTAAACTAATTATTTCAAAAAATAAATATTTATATAAATTGATGGATCAGGGGGCCCTAAAATAACCTATTTTCTTATGTATTTAATATATTGGTTAGGCTCATAAGCCGCGCATGGTCCTTAATACATGAAAATATTATATACAAATGAAGACGATAACGTTATTTCCGTTATAAGAATCCCAAGTATTACCGGTTCCACATAGTGCGTCCAAGAAAAAAGACCGTCTTGTTTATTAGCAACAATTAATATGTGTAATCTATCATGTCATGTGATGCTGTGGCTATGATATACATTAAATACTTCTACTTATGTATATAATAAACTATTCAATACAATGTATAGAATAAACGATACAATCTATTAAAATACGGTATTAGAATCCAAGGGATTGTATTTGAGGTTTAATTTTGAAAATGATTCATACAAATCTTTGTCATTGAAAAAAAAATAGAAATTTCCATTTTGCGTTTTACTGAAAATTTAATTTAATTTTTTTATTTTCTGAATTTTGAATACATGTTTATGTTTAAAAATATATTTATTATATTATATTTTTATCAATACTTTTAAAATAATTGAGATATAAACTATCCTACATTTCCATTTAGGAGAAAACCCTGGAGAAAACGTGAAACCTAAGTCTTATATACTTGTACAATGTATGTATGTATGTATATAATTGAAGTTCGGGTGTAATAGAACATTTGAAACTCTCAGAATTGGTAGGGATCAAAGCCAAGACTATAATTTCGGGTACTGGCTAAATGTTGCATACTACTTAACATTCATCATTTGACGAAATCGTGAATGGATTACAATTATATCTGATATTTTATTCATTTGTGAGGTGTGTTCAAAAAAATCGTCTACAATATCGCCTTCAAACCAGTCCTCATTCGATATTATGCAAAGAGACTCAAGTTAATGTATTGGTATCGATTAACGGCATTTTATGGGCGTGTAAATGGTCCGATTCTACTCATCTGCAATACAGACTTTCATCAATACTTTAGTGATGATTCTAATTTTTATTGAATAGGATAAAAATCGCGGTATTAGGAATGCGAACAATGTTGACGAAGCACGCCAGGCTCTCTTACATCCAGAAAAAAAAATACTGTTTGGGTATTATTGGCGAAGTTTGTACTTTTGAGGGGAATCGTCAAGCCAATAGTTTAGTTAGTTTTCTAGTTGTACACCAACTCAGTTGAACGGGGAGGTCTTCGTAAGACGTAGGCGTTGTAATTATATTGCAAAAATTTTGATCAAAGGCACTGTTGACTATTTTAATAATTTTATATAATTATATATATGCAACGTAAGTATATATTTATTATTAACAAAAATAATCTGCTTTCATAATTTTCAGGATCAAATTGTCGCATGTTTGTATGAAGTTGTCGAAGCGCACAGGACGGAAATCCGGTCGGGATGGCGACCACTATTCGGAACGTTACGCAATGCTCGTAGCCGCATGCTAAATATGAGCAACATCATCGATATATTCAGAGTCTTTCTTGACTCCGATAACACTTTAGTATTCGCCAATGCTGGATTGGATTGTATTCTATGCTTATTATCTTATCTGGAGATATCAGGTAGTGGAGGAGCAAATAATAATACGTGCGGTGAAGATGAAAATAGCTTTCGGCCTACGGAGTTCCTACATGAAACTCTTCGTTTCCTTGAGCGTTGTTCATCCATTTTAGGTTTTATGTTCAACATGCCGAAGTGTCCCAACTTCCATTCAACTTATAAAATTAAAGGCATTTCCTATACCCACATCATCGATGCAAATATCCCTAATTCAATGGAGAATTTTACATATTTCGGCAATGATTATTTACAAACGAAAAATGAACAACACATGATATCGTATCGGTCGTTACACATCGACAAAGATGCCATCACAAAAATCGACGAAATGGATAAGCCATCAGGAGTATTGAAAGTTTGGTTTCTTCTATTAGATGGTCTTACCAATTCACTAATTGTTTGCCCTTATTCACATCAAGCCCCAATACTTCAAACAATATTTAAACTATTTAAAAACTTACTATGTTGCCCTGGTATCGATTTCGGATTTTACTGCATTAACCATTTATTAATACCAATGATTCAGGACTGGCTACGTTACATAAATAAAACCGGTGCTCCTTGGCCAATGATTGAAAAAAACTTTAAACACTGTTGTTGCATGACAACTGACCTAGTCGTGGAATTCATCGAGAAGTCTGTTACTGAGAGTAGCCGCAGACAGGGTATAATGAAGACACGAATAACACAGATCGTACACACGCCTTCGAATATAAATTTAACTAATAACTCGAGTATTACTAACATCGATAATTCTTTATATTCTAAGTTAAAATTCATCACTGAACGAATTGATGATAATGATAACATTAATCAAAGCAATCAGTATGATAGTTCGTCTTCGAGTGAAGAAAGCGGAGCTAACGTCATAGATTCACCAACTAAAATATCTGGCTCGGCTACGCTGGCCCTTAAACAACTACTATTGGTGTTAATTGAGTGTTCTGCACAGGCGCAGGAATCCGTAGCACGCGTTGGAGTGTCATGCTTGAAGCATATAATCTTATCCACAGGCATGCTTTTCAATGAGTCACAATGGATGATTGCCAGCTCTGCTTTACATCGCGCTTGTACGGTAACAATAGCGCCTTTAAGGCAATTGTCGTTTGCTTTCCATGAGAAGTCAAATAGTTTCTATGGAGATTGTGCTAATGTAAAAGTGGCAGCTCGACGCGATAGCACCGTGGAGGAATTAACTAGGGTTTACTCATTGGCGCAACAAGTTTTCCTCTCTGATAATCAAAGAGAACCAACTGCGAAGGTGTCCAATCACTTAGAAAAACATTTCACCGATGAACGAAGCTACTCATTTCTTCTATATCCTTTAAACAATGGTTTCAATTCGAATCTAGACAACTTTGTTATTCGTATACCTTTTAAAAACTTAGTGGTTGGCTTACTAGCAAATCAAATGCTACTGCAATTAGTTGCGAAGCTTTTACTTTCCCGGTTAAAGTGTGTACCGCAAGCAGTTTCTACATGCATATTTGACAATTATGGCACATCGACAACTGGTCACGATTATGACTTGGACTTTCGTTCCAAAGAGATATTATTGCGTTGTGTTAAACAGTATTTGACAAGTTCTTTAGAATTCGATTCTCGACCTGGACTTAAATTCCTTATGCAAAAGGTCTCCAATACTGAGTACGCAGCTAATTTATACAAACAAATGACGTCATCTTGGATGATCTACTATATAGCTTTAGTCGATTCTTATTTAAATGATATTGTTGTATATAATTTGGGCCCAGAGGACTTGAAATTCATACTAGAATCTTGTTCGCGCCTAAACACAACCACCGTAAAAAAAAAGGAAAATTTTGTGCGATATTTGTTCTGTTTACAGGACGCATGGAACCTTGTTTGTGAGCTATATTTAAATAATTCAGCAATTCATGATATTGAAAATGGAAAACTCCGATCAGGTGACGGAAGTGATAAGCGTGTTTCACAACACAAAGTTTTGACCCCGAAACCAATGCGCATATCAGTTAGCACAAATGGTGAAAACGCAAGTACATCAAGCCACTCAGAGACAATGGCTTCTTCACCCAATAAGTGTACTCAACTCGAAGAAGAAAATGTGACAATGACGACACTGATCAGTGAATTCCAACCGAAAAGCCGCAATAATCCTTTCGATACAAACCGGCCGCAGAAGTGCGAATCAGAGGCAATATCACCGGAAATCGAGCAACAACGTGCTTCAAGTATCCTCAAGGACTCTAATTACAAGAAAGCTGCTTTAGCTCAATTGGTCGTAGCTTCTATGGAGTTACTGCGGTCATTACCCGGCGAAGCTGAGGAGAATCTTAAACTTTTGATGACGCCCACAATACGAGAAGCCTTTAGGCTGGTTCAGTTGCAGGGCAATGAATTGAAGGTTAATCAATTTTAGGCTATGCTCGTTGAGTTTTATTTTGATTTGTAAGCAGAACGGAGATCGCCATCTAAATTCGTTTATGCCAGCCATAGGACTGGCTATGGAATTGATATACTGGTAGAAACATCGGAGTCATTTAAGGCGACTAAATGACATAGATGCTGTCCATATACACATTTACATTCATACATATATCACTTATGTGTATACAATACTCGTATATGCATATTTGTATATCGCCCTTTCTGTTTGGCAGCTCATAATATTATCTCGGAAGATAATAATTAATAATTTGTGATAATTATAATATCGAAATGTAATAGCTCACTGATGTATAATCTTTTACTCCTGGTTTTACTCTGCTTTTTTAAATTTCTTCTGGTTGGCTAAACCGGTCACTAACCATGGATATCTGTCGAAGCCAAATTATTACAAACATCATTATCATATCGAAATTTCACATATTTGAAACCCACGATCGAATGCCAAACAGCAATGGGTGACAGTATTTACTATATACAATACATATATACATTACATACAATATACTACAAATAAATGCTTTATTTTTATAATGGAATATTTGCTTTTATGCGCTACAAAACTAAGTACATGCGTACAAATTATACTACATACTCGTATTCTAATCATTGTCCATATACATACTCGTACATCCATACATACATAGCACTTTTCATGTATTTTGCCAAATTACTATGGATATGAGTTAAAGTTCTCTCATTTAAAATCCACCAAGTCTCATTCCTTTATTTATATAAATGAAATTCAGTACCAGACGCTTAAAGACAAATCTAAATGGTTATACCAAACTAACTGAAGAAAACCACTTTCATTGTGATGGCGGCAAACGGCAACACATTTCAAAGTAAGAACTCAACCACAAATACAGCACACACTTACACCTAACCATTGGATTTGAGAGAATCCAGAGTGTAACTCTAAAAGTGGAAAAAAATGCACTCATTTGCAACAGGGAAAACCTGAGGGGGTCAAAAAAATCTCAGCACTCGAAAGAAATAAAAAGTGTAGATTTTGAAAATGTCAACCCCTCTAGTTCTTAACTTTTCCTCGAGATACAGACATTGTCCGATTCATTAATTCAAATTAATGTGGTTATTTTAAACAAAAGTTAAATATACAAATATAAATATGTACATTAGGATCAACTTATCATTTGTCAGTAATCGTAGATTGTAATTGTACTATATTGAAATAGACCCAATCAGAATATTGTTATTTTACATATAGAATAATGAATCGAGAATACAATTGTGTCACGGGATTCTAGAAAATAGAGAGGCATTTAAATAATACATACCCATAAATAAGCACAAAAAGGTTGGACGCAAATTATAATTTTTTAATCTTTTTTTATGCATATGAAATTATTAAATAATTGTAAACACCAATAAATAAGTAGATGTTTGGGGTCTAACTTCATAACAGAATTTCCCTCCAACTCTGTAACACAGAAGATTTAAAAATTAAATCAAATGAATATAAAATTGTTTTGGTGAGATCCATATGTTTAAGTCTATACTAAAATATGTACGGATGAACATTTATCATATGTATGTATATGTATATATGATAACTATCAACCCGCTTAGTGCTAAGTATAAAAGCTAAAATATAAATTTACGTAAACATATTTGCAAATTTTTGGAATGTACATACATACATGTACGAAGAATTATATACATACATATACTATATAATTATATATTGGAAATCTACTAAATTTATAATATACAAGTATGTACTATTCAATAAATAAAACTGCTTATGTAAAAAGTCAAACGTGAAAAATGAAAAAAAAAATTAAATCATATACATCTTTACATATATTAATACATACATTCATATAGGTATATGTACATAATAACATACACGAATATATTAACATATGATTTATAATACAAAAAATTAAATGTGAAGACTTTTTGTTTTGATACCATGTATGATACAAACTACTTTATTAGAGTACATCTTTCCAGCCATCAGAATATCGTTGGTCCAAGCGGTGTTACGTGGTTATTATTCATCTAAATTGTTTATAATAGTTTTAAGCCAAAAATATATTACTTTTCTATACACACACACAATTAAAATTTTTTTAGTTAAGCTATTAACAATATATATAGTTTTTCTAGTATTTTTGAATTATTGCACACTGTATTGCTTTTCACGTGTCGTACTATCGTCCTTACGTGACAGTAAGTGGCTTCGTCGTCCAGGTCGGCGATGTGTAGAATGGGAGATATCTTTTTTCACTTTGCTTACTACCGACTTTTCCAATATGCTGTTATTACTAGATAAAATTTTGCAATGAAACAAAATCCATTATACTGTAGCCGAATATGTAAGACCATCGAACAGCTTATTAATATTTCCATACATATACTATACCGTAGTCTGATGATTCAATATACAAACAATTCGTTCACAATCTCTCATAAGTTTCAGTTTAATGCGTCTTTTGATGGATATTTAGCTTAGTTTTTTGTCGTCATTTATTATTATTTTTTTATTTTTAGAAGAAAAAAGTATTTTCCAAACCATTCAAATGTTTATTTGGTTTTTTTCCAAAAATGTATATGAATGCACAAGTTTGAAATAAAGAAAAGGATAATTTTAGTAGACACACGTACACAAATGTGTATGTACATACATATATCTACAAGTTAGCTCATAGGGCGAATACTTAATAGACTTTATTTATTTCTTAAATATTCGGGTATTTTAGATGTCGTCACCATTCAAGTCAATCCCAAAATTGATTTGAAAATTATGTTACAATTTAATTTTCATTTGTATGAGAGGCTAAACATATATATATTTTTATTTTAGAAAAACGCCAATAGTAAAATAATTCGTAATAACATCGATTAACTGAGTTACCCGAAACTTTTTCGATTTTTTACAATAGGATATTTTACATTTTTAAGAAATTAATAAATTTCATTTCATAGCGTAGAGTAAATGCGAAAGATTTATACATTTGGACAATATATATATATTTCAACATAAATATTCATTTAACAATAAATACATTTGATTTATTATACACTTATACTTGTATATACTTCTTGTAAACGAATTCGACCATGCATGTATGTATTGAAAGGGTGTGTTGCTGTGTTTAACTTTCGTACTTTTTTATTCTTTAACGCAATGTACTATCTACACTTATACAATGTAGTTTCCGCTTTAAAGACTAAGCATAAAATGTTATTTATAAGATCTTTATTGCAATCTACCAAATTTAAATGCAACACATACTACGTAAATAAGCAAGAAATAAAAATGCTTTCATATTTGGAACCATCCAATTTGATGTAAAAATGTATTTTTAATTGGAAAGGTAAATTCTTTCTATAACTACCAATAACCAAACTTTCGAAAATGACGAAAACCCCAATCGTTTGAAAAGAAGTAGAAAGAGTAACTTTTGAATTGATGTTATATTTAATTCTCAATATACATATTTATACATAGCGAGTTGATCTAATCTGCTGACTAATTTAAACTTGTGAAGAAAAACTCAATTGATTTAGATGTCAAAATTCAGTATGCAAGACAAAACCAATAACAACCTTATGAAGTAGTATTTATATTCAGAGAGCATATATCAGACAAATGATTCAAAATGGTTTTCCTATCCCTCCAGTAGTCTCCATATTAATCTTGTTTTTATTCGTATCGCAATGAAAAGTGACATGGCACAGACTATGTTAATGTGCCATTTCACGCTTCTGATTGACTGGTAGCAATATTATTTCTTTCGCGATAACAAATCTCATCATAAAAGTAATTTTTCTTGTGGCAACTGTCTTAAATAGAAATATTATTGTGGGGTATTCCCATTTTTAACGCTATGGTCGCCGTTATGGTGGTCTTCCTTGACCTATTTAATAAGTCCTTAGTTCCTGTAATGTCATATTTTGACCATATCTGTTTCGCTATCGGCTTTTTCGTTTAAGCGCATCAGTCGGGCATGACTTAAAGGCATCGGTAAACCCTGCACAGGCTGTCCTCTGTATTTAATTCAATTTTTTCATGTTGTATCCGTTCTTTAATGCGGGCCACCAGACCAGCGCCCTGTATATAACGATTGGTTTAATGATCCATATGACTATATTCGGGTTTCTCCAGTTCCTTCTGAGTATTCTCTTGCACGTGTAGTATGCCATATACGCTTTTTTAATACGTTTCTATATATTCATTTTCTAGGTCAGTTTGGTATTTTGCCGTGTGGGATAGAGAAATTGTAGTACCACCGAGTGAGGAAAGATAAAATTGTATTTGCACACCATGTCGCCCATGACTCATTGATCGTGCTTAATTCTATATTGTTGAAAGCTACCTCTATATCAAGAAAGGCAGCCATTATATACGGTTTGGGATGTAATGACTTTTCTATTACATTTATCACCTAGTGTAGGGCAGTTTCTGTTGAACGAGCTTTTATGTATGTATGTTGTGCAGTCGATAAGTTGTCCGCTACTATTGATCTGATGTGTATGTCCAATAGCATTTTGAGTGTTCTTCTGCCTGGTTTTGGTAGCAACACCACCTTGATTCCTTTTCCAGCTTCTTGGGATATAGGATAACCTTATAGTCCCTTTAAGTCTTGGAACTATTGGTTCATTTAGCTACTACAGCATTGTAGTGATCCCATCCGGACCATGAGTCTGCAACGCTTTCCTTCAGCCACTGATGTTTGTGATGGAGCGTCCCTATAGGGTGTGCCTTTCGTTTACGTCACACACATCTCTCAGCAACTGGCTGTTGTCGTCGACTTTTTCCATGTCGCCTTGAAATATTTTCATCCTTGCTTTGCGGATATCAAAACTGATCTTGTTGTCTGCTTACGATAGAGGCTCTATTGATTCTTGGCAAATTACCACCATTATGACTCTGCTCGATTTATTTGATTTCTCCTCTTTAATAAGCTACCAGTCGTCTATTCCTGGTACCGACTTGTTCTGCAGCCTAATACATCGCAGAAGTTTTTCGCATCTCTCTTTTAGAGGGGTCAACCAAATACGAGCACGAGGTCTCTTTTGAGACCTTCAAATGCGTCGCTAAGTTTGGCAACACTACCCGCCTGCTCCGCGCACTCAATTACCCTGCATCCCCTAATGGTTTCCGAAGAGTCAAACTCCAGGAGGAGTTTCCGTCTATTATAGACACTTGAAGGCAGTTCCTAGCCTACATGCAAACGTGTGTAGCTGTTGGTTCGGCTTCTTCCTGCTTAGGTTTATTGGGCAGAGTTTCCAACGTTTAGTTGTGAGAGCGATTCCTTTTCTGACAGTTTGTTTTGGCGGTCTCACCGGGAGGTTCGGATTGCTTATTTTTCAGAAAACTTTCGTACTCCTTCACAATCTGTGTTTGGCGCTTTATCTCCTCCACGGTAACTGAGGCGCCAGCATCCTGCTCCTTGACTATCTTTCCGAGTACAAAGACTGCCCTCTGCTACCGGCTTTTCTTAAGTTCATTTTGAAATTTCTCCTTCTTTTTGCACTGTATTGCCATGCTTTTACTGGCTCAGGAGTCTATTTCAAAGGCGATAATAAAGATTTATATATAAATATGTGAAAATGTAGAAGTTTTTGTCATTCCAAGTTAAATTTGGTGGTAGATAATTACAATTTACTAGAAGGAGGAATTTACTATGGAGGCTGAGGGAAGTTTTGTCCCGGTTTTACCCATTTTTGGCACAAAGACATGCTGTCAGCACAAAAGTATTCTCCCCAAATTTCAATACTAGATTTCACAGATTAACAGATATGTTCGGTAAAAAGCTAGCCATATGCACTGAGTATACAAATTTGATGTCTGGTCCTTTGACAAGTTATGATTCAATTTCGAATTTTTGGGCGTAAGATAAAAAGCTTGATGGCCCAATTTATGCAAGGTCTTATTCTGATAACTTTGTTGATGTTTAATTGGATGAGCGGTACTCATCCAACAATTGTCCAATTTTTACATCTGCTTCTATAAGGCTCGTCCCTATCATCATGGTTGTGAAATTTAATGCTTGTGGCGCATTTCTTCAGTGAGTTATCACACTTTTAGTAGTTTTCAACAAAACCGTTATATGGAAAGTGGGTGTGGTTATTATCTGAGTTTTCCATTATTCCGGCCTTGGCTTATAGCTTATAGCAGGAAATCAGAAAATTACGATATATATGTATATCATATCGTATATGGCCATTTCTCAATGAAACAATAAGCTACTCACAAAGCGGCCCATCGATTAAATCACCAGTTGATTTCCCAACAGCGCTACCAAAGATTTCTAATAAAATTTCTATGAGTTTCTCAAGGCCCAATTGACAATTACTAACCGAAACTCTGTACCAAAACTTATGTACTTGTAATCGGTTGAAAAAAACTGTACAATATACAATAACCCTCTCTGCGAATAAGCCATTAATGTCTCGGACACTGAATAGTTTTACCTATGTCGGCATTACGTCAATTTTTCGAAGAATGTTCCTGTACTAGGAGAAGATTTCCTTGGATTCGTTCCAATAGATGATCAGTGCTGAGAAAATCTCACCAACGTCATTCGGGAGCATTGTAAAGGGCTTAAGCTAGATATGATTTAGTTGTCGGGCAAGCGCTCCAAGAATTAGTTCCCGACATAAAAACTATCCTAGTCCGTAAACTTGATCAAGTGTAGCTTACTTCAGAGTCGCATTTTTTATAACATGCATCAACGCTTTAGTACAGAAATTGTAATGGGTCATAATAGGCTCAGCGCACTAGCTTTGATTTCAATTCATTGGGATATTGCTGTCGATCCAGATGAAGTCATCAAAGTTTTATAGAGAAAAAAATCGAAGAGATTGCTTCTTCAATAAGATCTTGTTATATTAATATAGAATAATTTATCTTAAAATATGTAATATTCATAAAATTTATGTCTTTAGTTGTAGCTCTCCATACGTAAATACTAGTTTTGGGCAATTTTGAGTTATCAATTATGCAAAATCATTAATTAGAACATTAATGATTTCCTATGATTACAGTTCGGGGCCTCTGGACACGGACCTGCAAAACCCTTATGAATTGCACGGTGTTATGTGTTAGCTTCCGCACTAATTCTCTCAATTGGAGTTTTGTTAGCCGTGACGCTAGGAAGTTTTTCGAGATATGACTAAAGAGCATCTCAATTGATGGATTATATATAATGATACAACACAAGTCCAATCATTGTTTATTGTTTATTCCCTAAGTCCAAAGTAAGAAATAAAGACTTTATCCACCTATACAAACAATTTCCCATATTAAAGCCTTTTGATTCCGTAGAAAATTTGAAAAACAATAAAAATATGGCAACCTAACTTTTAGTCATTATAACTAATAAACGCTATAGAGAATTCAATACCGGATCCCGAAATATTTTTATTTTCAAAATATCAAACGCTAATAATTGTATATACTTATTACTTTTATTGCAAAACTAAATAATTAAAGAAATGTTATATTACAGTTATCATACAAAGTTTATCTGATTGCATATCAAAAACGTTAACTTAATCTTAAGTAATATAAAATTTATAATGTTAAAATTTATTTAGACAATATTGCCTCGAAAATATTTTAGTTGCAACATTTCTACAAGAGAACATGAATAAAATGAGAATGCGCAATGTAAAATTATTCTTATTCTCTAGTAATATGTCATACTGAGCATCCAGAGAGAATGTTTGTGTACAATTGTATACAGATAAAGTGAGTAGAGTATAATTTCACATTTCACTTTAAATTCCATATCATTTTCGATTGTGTTAACGAAGAGAGTGGATGTGCAAATTTTGGGTTGTTGTATTTATATGGCTTGTGATTTGGGTTTACTTTTAATTTTCGTGCGGGATCTATTGTTAACAAATTTTCGTTAATAATGAAGTAATTTATTCTGCCAATAAAATACAAAGGACACACATTTGAACTTTATCTCCAAAAGATCTGAGAATTGTTGGTATGAGAATTAAGTATAAACTGTTAAAAAAGTAGTGTGTATGTGACGATTTCATGCATGCTGACCATCGACATCGTAATGTTTGGTCGCTTTCGCCAATACTACTGCTCTTGACGTTAGCGTTGACGTTGAAGATGGCATCGCCGTCGACATCGTTGAGTAATATACAAATGTGCACGTTTGTTGTAGCGGGAGCGTTGCAAGAGTGGATGTAGCAAAAATTTGGAAATGATAAAAGCTATAAACACGCATGTGTGTATATTTATATATATTATTATGCATACATCATTTTAGTACAAATATATAAATAAAAAAGTAAAAAAAAATATACATGCATATGTACATATGTACATTCAAAAATGTATAGTTAACTTAACCAAATCGATACTATTTCGTGGGTTAAAATAAGTGATTGTTAACTAAGTTATATACAAAATGTGAATACGTGAATTGTAGCGTCTTCAGATTACTCCAAAACGTGCTCCTCAAATTCAAATCCGTGCATTTATCGATCGAAATCTAGCATTGGCCTAGTACTGCTTTTGTTTGGCGTCGGACTGATGTTCCAAAAGTTCATATGCCGCCGGTGCATCTTATATTTCTAATCATACTCAGGTACATATGCATTTACACATATGTACATCGCAATATATAATGTAAAATAACTTTGTATATATGGTTTCCCTAATACAATAAGAATCGTCCAATGATATTTTTAATGCAAAATGTTGTTTATTCACTCAAAACGCGTGGCCTGGATGGACAATTCATAGATAATTAAAGAATTCACAGTGGGTTGAAGTGCAAACTGTCATATGCCAGAGAAGGAAATACGTTAAAGAAAGTGATTGACGGTTCTGAGGCTAATGCGTGTGGAGGCCAAATGGCAGAGTTTTCAAGTTTTCTGTTCAATTTATCTGCATCACGCTGACTTCTTCCATTACCGCCAGTACAGTAACAGTTGATTACTATTAAGAACATTCAAAGGTAATTTCTAATTTAATGATATATTTAATGTTATAGGATATGTTTAAATTTTTATTTATATATGCATATACATATTATATGATATATGATAATTTTATTGTATGTATATATAAATGAATACAGACAAATAAAAGCGATTGCAAAATATATAATATCTAAGAAGCACTCAGATACAGTTAATTGCAAACTTTTGTAAGATAAAATTTCTCTTAGTCGTTATAAATTCGGCATCAATCGAAAATAGTTGCGATTTCACGAAATGATTCCAACATTTAATTTTTTTGTACTTTAAGTTGTTCGATTTTAAATGACTGTTCGTGTATATCTCTGAAACCAAGATTTATATTTCTTTACTTTAAAAAGACTTAAATGTTGTAACAAAGATTCGATTATGCTCTTTCTTTAGTCTTCTCACTACTAATACATATGTACTATACCTACGAGGGCGACCCAAAAAATATTTAGCCTTCAGAAGAAAAACGAAAATTACAAAAGAACTTGGTTTATTTCTCAACATGGTTTTTTTATAGCTCGATACACTTGACCCAGCGATGCACCAACCAGCAATTCTTTCACTGTAAAATAGGCCTCCCTGGCCTCCGTAATCTCCTCATTCAACTCAAATTTCTGTCCGCAGAGTCACTCTTTCAAGTTTAGAAACAAAAAGAAATCACAGCGTGCCAAATCTGGAGAGTATGGTTATTGCAGCTGAATTTTGACCATTTTTGCAATGGCGACGGCGGAATTGCGTTGTATTGGTAAAAGAGCACTTTTTCGTCGCCTAAAATGCCATTTTTTCATTGCAATTCGGTGTCGGACAGGCCCAATTATATCGACACAGTAAAGTATAACTGTTTTGCCCTCAGGCCATTAACTTTTCGGCCGCTGAATTAAGTCCACTATTCACATTGTTCTTTGGCCCCAGTGTGCATCATGTTTAACCGACGGTCACTAAACGAGGGAGAAACTACTTCGAATTGCGTTTAAACAGAAGTGGTTACCGGTGACACTTGTAGGCCAGAGTGAGTAAACGCGGCACCCATCGCGCCGATAGCATTCTCAAGCCCAATACTTCATAGAGGACCCATGTGGTTTTATGAGATGCCTACTATCTCAGTTATAGCGCTTACCTTAAATTCGCGGTCTACCAAAATATCGATGATAGTCGTTTTCGGGCCACAAGGGTGTGGATCGTCGAAAACAAAAGTGGGATCACATTGCAACTTGTTATACCAAGTCATAATGGTTGAGATCAAAGGGAAAGAGTCATCAAATAAAGCATCCAAACAATCTTAGACGACGTCCCTTCCAAAACTCGCGGACTCGTTCCTCTCACATGCGGTCAAAACAAAAGCACAAGATAATAAATTTCTCTTGCCATAGTTACGCCATCGGACGAAGAGGCTAAATATTTATTGGACTACCCTCGCACATGTAGGTTCAATTGACATATTGGTGTATGAAATTGTCGTGATTGAGAATAAATGTATTGTATATATAATATGGTAAACCAAGTGAACTAGAATTCCATTACCAAGGCAAAGTATCTTGCGTTATTATTTATACATATTTTGTGATTCTCTTTTTTATTTTATTGTTTTCTGTAACCCCGTCTAGATGCCTGGACTTGTTGTTTTCCGACGCCGTTGGTCGGTGGGCTCAGACGATCTCGTAGTACCTGGAGCTTTTTTGTTAACTACACATCTTATATGGTAAGTTAATTAAATCAATACGCCTATGCAATAATCAAACGTGTTTTTCTCAAAGCTTTGTAATTGTGCTAATATCACTATTGATCCTGGATTATGATCTTGCAATTTTGAACGTGAAGTTACTATTCTATCTTCAAATATGCTATTTGGCAATATTACTTGGTAAACATTGTTTATAAACTTTTAAAACTTACAGCAGGAGATACTCTTTTAACATATTAATTGTTTTTATTTTATTTTCAGGTTCAGTTTGCGTTGAGGCAGGCATCTGCATTATATCTATGCGAGGTAGTATATTAGACTCTGCCGCACGAACAACGATAAATTTTTGGATATATTTAAAAAGCAGTAAGTGCACATTTTTCATGCGCATGCATCTTGCCTAATGGCTAAGGTTCTCGTGAGACAGACATGATATTTAATTATAATATATGTATTTTGGCAACAGTCTATATAGTAAGCCCTTATATATACATACATACTATTCGTGAATAATAAGTCAAGGTTACGAGCATATTTACGCAAATATTTATTTCAACAAAAGCAATTTATTGTGCATAATTCCTTTAAAAACTTTAGTTGGCCTTAGCAATGCCTGTAAAAATAATTTTAAACATTTATTAGGTAGTACATATCCCTGAAATTTCCCTTTTTCTCTTTCGCCAGTGGTGATATTTTTTGATATTACATGGTTAGTGTTAAGTACAATGTGGTTAACAAACTGTTACTTTGACGCACCCATCGATGAGGCCAAGAAATTTTTCATGGGTAATTACTGCATTTTGATTATTTAAATTTTCGCTATTTCTAATTAATGTATATTAATACATTTTCAGCTATAGTAGTTTGCAATTGGGCTTTGGTGTTCATAACTCTCATTACTATTTGGTGTACATTCGATGCTGCAGGACGTTCTTGGGTCAAAATGAAAAAGTATCAAAGATCAATGAGAGAAACTGAATCTCGTTTCAATTACAAGCGTAGTGGCAGTATGAATCGCAATTGGCGTCAACGGTTAGTTCATTTACATATATGTACCATAATCGACAGTTCTTGGTTAAACATACATATATTTATGTACATGTTTTACAGAAAAGTCATGCGCGCTTATCAAGACAGTTGGGATCATCGATGCCGCTTGTTATTCTGTTGTATGGGTGGAACAGATCGTAATCGAAACTCCTTCACCGACATAGCCCGATTGCTGAGTGATTTTTTTCGGGAACTTGATGTGGTGCCCTCAGACGTTGTTGCAGGTTTGGTGCTATTACGAAAATTTCAGAAGCTAGAACGAGAAGCTGTTGTTCGGCAGGTCAATATTAATATATTAAGATTTAAAATAATATATTAACATTTTAATGAATTATTACTATCGACCACAGAAATATAAAGTAAAAATAGCATATACATTAGAGCGGGGCGATTTGTTTTCTATAAAATCGCATATGCGAGAAAAGTTTTACGGATCATTTTGAACAACTTTGCCTATTTCTATTCGAAATTTCCAGCATTCTGCACAAGTCTTCCTATTAGTTTAGCTAATAGTATAGAACTTTATCTTCATAATTTGAATCTGGGCGTTGATAATACGAATGGTCTTTAGTGATCCAGTGCCGAGCCAGTGACTTTTAAGACGGATTTAAGAATAATAAAAATGTCTTCGCCAGTTTTTAAAGTATCTGAATGAAACTTAAAATATTGATGCATTGTGATATTCTTTTGATCATTTGTCGAAATTGGGCAGATCGGACAACTATATCACATATCTCCCATACAACCGATTATTCAGATTTTTTATTTTCCGGAAACCTGCCTTTAATTAAAAAGCTAAGATTACGTATATTTTGCAGAAGTAAGAATCTATACTTAACAAACCGGTTTTAGACACATATTCTCTCAATCACAGATGTTCAGAATGATCCGTAGAATATTTGCAGCATATTTGCAGTTTATATTCTTTGGGTCTCTGTAAATAAATCCGGTCCAATATACATATGTACCTAAATACGTCCATATATTTCGTATAATTTATTAATTAATATGCTTGTATGTCTATTGTAATTTTATTTACACAGAGAAAAAATGGCACATACGAATTCTTGAGCGGCGTTCCTATCACTGACCGCACACAGTTTCTAGCTCTGAATGATACAAAAAACTATGATTTCTTCCAAACAGTTATACACTATATGTATTTTGCTCAGGGTGCTTACGGCTGGCCAATGTATTTTATAATAAACCGATCGAAAATGTACAACTTATTGCCTGAATTAAAGTGAGTGACTTAAAGTTTCTTAAATATGTACAAGTACTTATCTTTTAATATTGGTTATTTTGAATTCAGATGCTTTACATGTTGTTGCCGTCCCCAAACTGAAACACCATCTGTTATAGAAGATAACTGTTGTTTTTGTAATTATGCCGCCCTCAAGAAAACTCTTCAAGTTGGTGATGTAGAAATAATTTACGCCACGTATCATGTTGATGTCGGAGAGACCCCATTCTTTGTGGCTGTAGATTACACGCAGAAGAAAATTGTGGTCAGCATACGTGGTACTTTAAGTATGAAGGATATACTCACCGATTTAAACGCCGATGGGGAGGTATTGCCGCTCTCTCCACCGCGCGATGACTGGCTTGGCCACAAAGGCATGGTGCAGGCAGCTATTTACATTAAAAATAAATTAGAGGAAGAAGGACTGATCGAGCGTGCGCTAAGTCATAATCGTGATAGGGAAACAAGTTCATTTGGACTAGTCTTAGTAGGTCATTCTCTGGGTGCAGGAACTGCAGCTATTTTAGCCATATTAATGAAGGCTGACTATCCGTCATTGCAGTGTTTCAGCTACTCACCACCAGGCGGTCTGCTAAGGTAATGAACTAAGTCAAATCATACATGTCACTTTCATAAGTATCATTTGAAGTAAAATTATTTTATGTTCAAAAATATCATTTAAAATAAAATTATTATTACATATTCTACAGCATGCCAGCGGTAGAATATACCAAATCGTTTATCACATCCATTGTTTTGGGGAAAGATGTCGTACCTCGCATTGGATTACACCAAATGGAAGCTTTGCGTGCGGACTTAATTAATGCAATCCAGAGGAGTGTTGATCCCAAAGTAAGTTAATCAAGGTCAATTGTTTAACCAATTTTCATATGTAAACATAATTTGTAAACCAGTGGAAAACAATATCATGTTCAGTCATTTGCTGTGGATGTGGACCTGAGCCAACATCAGTTGTTGAGATGTCCGGCAAAGACACTCATATTAATCAATATCAAGAAGTATGTTAAACTCACTATATATGTTTTTCTTAAAAGACATTAAAAAATATATATATGTTTTAAAATATCGCATTTTATGAAATTCCAGCAAAGAGACTCAGCACGTTCCACAAGTGCACATCCTACAGATAGTTCCATTGCCTTGACATTACATCAGGTAAACACATGTAAAACAAAAGAACCGATCGTGCTTAATTAATCGAGGGGTATTGAATTAATATCCCATGGTGTAAATAAATAACATTAAAAAATATATTTCAATTAAGCACGATTGACTAATAATATACACTCACATCAAATGTATATCTCATTCTTTGTATAAATTTCAATAATTTGTAGCCACTATACCCTCCTGGGCGAATAATTCACATAGTACGTCATCATCCTAAACCAGAAGAGTAAGTCTATATTATTTATTTATCACAAATCTATTAAAAAATATTTACACACAAAGATAAAAAGTATGGTTTAAAAATGATTGAATTACAATTTCTAACTAATGAATTTAGCATCCTATAAAATTTGAATTTCAACAACCCGATTATTTCATACATTGAAAATCACTAATCATATCAATTTAATGCAAAATCAATGGATTTCTCTAGACTTTATATGTATGTATGTCAGAATGTCGGACAAAATATTTCAAACATAGTCAAATATTAAGAATAGGAGTTTTGTTACTGTTTACATATCTTTATAATACTATTTTCAATGACGGGGTTTCAATAAAATTTATTAATATTTCAGGCAAAAGTACGACAGCGGTTGGAGGTAGGCATTTCTATATCGAAATCTAGCTCTATGTATATACAAGCATTAAACTTTTACAGTATGAATGCATGTAAAAAATGTTTGGCATGATCTTCATATACATATAGCCAAAATATGCACAGTATAAATAAATGTGATAAATCCTAGATCAAATTACGTACAATTATAAGTAAAGGTTAGATTTGTTTCTAATTAATATTTAATTTTTACGAGGTTGATTTCGCCCAATATTTTGTTTACTTAATACTTTACGATTTGCATGGTTTTTCAGTATGTTAGGGACCCAATTGTGAGATTAAATCGTTAGGTATAATTCGGTTTCACATATCTATTTGTGCATGCATATAATATAAAATTAAGTAAAATAAATTAGATCAATACATCATATTTTCATTTGAGTTTATTATCTTTTATGATTGCAGAAGTGTTCTAAAGAGCCATGAACCAGTCTATCAGGCGATTTGGGCCGATACATACGATTTCGACGAAGTGCTCATCTCACCCGTTATGTTGCAGGATCACATGCCCGATAAAGTGCTTGCGGCGCTAAAAAAGGTAATTGCCGGCGCTACCGATGGTAGCAATTCATCATTAATCAGTACTGAGTCTTAGACATCACAATTATTTTTTTAGTTTTTCTTTTAAAGCAGCTCAAAGCTTGCCTATGTTTGTTTATAGCCAGACTGTTTATTTGACCTATTGTTATTTACTTTCAAAAATGTATATGCACTTAAGACTTTCATTCAATTACAATATATTAAGAGCAGAATAGTATATTTATAAGTATATATGTATTGTCCATATATTATTTGACTTCTTCATTTTGAAGCTTTAACTGAAATTAAAGACTAATACGATAATAGAAGTACGATAATTTTAATTGACCAAAATTTGTCATTTTTACGCAATTTGTTTTTTAAATTATTTATTAAATTATGGATTTTATTAAATTTTATTATTCACCTAATTAGTTTCATAATAAAGTTGCACACAAATGTGTCTTGTTTATTTATTTGTGCCTGTATTGTATTTTTCTTTCCCATTAAACTGTATGGCCACACAAGTTATATAACCATGCGTACGTACATAGTTACTTTCGGTATATTATAGTTGGTGCTCATCATCGTATTTGCAAGTTTAAAAACCACCCGACCTCACAAACTTTTCCCTATGATAATTGTGGCAATTATTTAAACGTCTTCTTTACAAGAACAGTCTAGCTTCGACCTCTCCCCAATAGCTTATAATTGTAGAATTGACGTTTCACTGTTGGCTATGAGACATCAATTATCAGATTTCGATCAGTAAAAGACCAGCCTAATACTACATAAAAAATAAACAGAAAAGTGCTACTTCGACTATTGTGCAAGACCACTGTCCAAATATAATTTCTCTTTAATATCTATAAGATTTGCTAACAAGTTTGCTTTTATTCTAGTGTATTTTCTTGTTGTTGTTGTAGCGAAAGTGTATTTTCTTCTTTATAGGTATAGTATATATACTCATAAGTGCATATTATTTGCTAACACATCTGCCGGTACGACACGGTTTGTTTGGCCTTTTCTGATAATACTTCTTATTTTTGTATTTTATAATTTTTCACGATTTCAGTGCTTAAGTTTTTCCATTGTTAATTTTTTTTTTGGTCAAAATGTATTCCTCAAGAAATCATGCGTTTATTGTTGTAGGTTGTGACTGCAAGTGGACCAAGGAAACCGCAACGTCAGACATCAAATGCATTCTCCACTTTATCCAACGACTTTAGCCATTATGACTTTGATGTCGAACGCATATCTCCTATTGGCTCCATCGACCCAATCAGCGTTTTAAAATCTGAGGGTAGCCTTAAGCGCCTTTCGCATAACTCATATCCTAATATAAGTTCTATTAATGTAACACCAACCACACACCGTGAAATCTGCCATGAAACATCTTTTGCCAACTTGCAAATTCCATTTGACATAACCACGGTCGGTGGATTAAATTCAAGTAAAACATCATCGATTGCTGGTAGCATTTTAGGTCGAAGTCAGTTAAGCTCGGCTCTATATGATATATCAGTTGATGAGAGCATAACAACAGTTACGCGTCGAAGTCCCTCCGTACCGAGCGAAACTGCTACGGTGATTATAAATGATCGTGATCCATTGCCCATTCAACGCTTAAAGACTGTAGCTTTCGATATTGATCCCGATTCTGTGGCAATAGGGAAATACATGCCCATATATCGTCAATACTCGGTTCGTGCCGAAAAGCGGAAGCGTAATTTACCCATAACAACATTACGAAGAGCTTCGGATGTGTCTGGACCAATAGATTCATTGCACGATGATTCGCTAGGCTTGGCGCCTTTAGCTAGTCCTGAAACGTTATCCGAAATTTCCAGCATATCATCCCGCACGAGTGCTCCTATTAGTTTAGCTAATAGTATAGAACTTTATTTTCATAATTTGAATCTGGGCGTTGATAATTCGAATGGACGGGCCGTGCTTGAAGGCATATTTGAATCGCAATTGCATACACCAAAAATTATGAGACGAGCACCGAAATTCAGTGAGAATCTTTCTAATTGTGCCGAGGACAGTCGCAATGTCGATCAATACAAACGTATGGGCCGAGTGTTTGTAACATTACCGCCAATATTTGATGGCGTTCATAGCAACAATAACAATCAAAAGTCAAGTTTTGACTCAAGCGATGAGAGTTACGAATCAGTGCAAAGTCTCAGTCGACTTGCATCCAACCATGACCCCATTACTGGACATGACTCAATTGGAAGTACTATGCTCCAACCAAAACAGAGTTCAAAATCATTAGATCCGTTAGATAGTGTTGCAGTAGAACAAAAACCAACTGATCGTACTACAAAAAAGTTAACCTCTAGTGATAGTGAAATTTTGAATGAAGCTGAGGTGGCCGAAATTAAAGATAATTTTTCCCTGCTCTTTGAACACAACCGATCTTTAATAGGTGTTTTGGATGAGCATACAAGCTATGGATCGGCGGATACGACATTTTATAGTGCCAATTCTTCTATCGAACAATTTTCAACACCTGGTAAATTGATGTACTGTAGTAATTCTGGCGGTAATGGTATCTTAGCGTGCCAAAGTGTCCCTGAAGAAGCATTCATCATAAGGCCGGGTGTTCTCGAGTCACATTTTCCTGTACTCGATTCTGTTTCAGACCTGGCTGACCGCAACTCTGCCGAAACTATTGACGACTTTGATATTCCTACGTGTTCCACAAGTACTAATGTTCCTACAAAACAAATAAAGCGTGAAACGATTGGTGGTCGCATACGAAAACGACTGTCTTCTGAGGATTTTATATTTACACGCACTGAGGATTTTCCACTGGTTTCACAATTGGGAGAGAAATCGAACAAACGTAAAGCAGCGGTCTACCCTGCGGGCTCTAATTACAGTGTTTTGAGAACGAAGCCACCAATTTGTTCTAATAATCAGATCAAAAATTCGACAACAGCAACATCCACTGTAACGAAATCTTCATCAAATTTACAGTTACAAGGGAAAACCAACTATCTGAATTCTCAATACTCTTCGAATTCCCCTAGTGAAAATCCTAATATAATGCTTCCAATAACCTATAGTGAAGAAAGTAGTGTCTGAAGTCTGTAACAAATACCAAAGTTATTAGCATAGTATTAAGTTTACATACATATGTAGAGTATTTATTGAGTTCACTTGCACGTGTTATATAGTTTACATGCCAACATCTTGTACAAAAGACTTTAAAGGAAATGTGTATTTTCCACCTGCAGCTAAGAATTTGTCCAATATCGGCGAATTCAAGGATCATCAACATTTGTGCATTGTAAGGAACGAAGTGCAATATAAACCATCTATACAACTGTGATCACAATTAATATAAATTGTTTTATTGTAAAATTCGATGTGTTGTAGTATTTGCAGTTAGAACCTTCGATTGATGAATAAAATATCCGCAAGAAGTGGGCTAAAGACATTTTGATATTGAGAAAAAATATATTTTAGTCTTTGTTTTTTCCTTGTATTGCAATGATTATATACATACATACATACATATGTAGTCACAACATACTGTGTATGCGAAGCTATTGAGGAGATAGGACTGTGATTTACCTGGAGCTTGGTAACTTGGTATGATGCGCAAATTACACAAAAAATTCGCAATGGTTTTGGTTAATGTTTTCTTTCTCGTCTGGGCGGAATCACGTAAAAGGTACACACTTAAAGGTACTATAGTTTTGAAACAAAAAAAATTATAACGCCGAAAGAGGATCGGCTAGAAACAACTTTTCAAATCACGAAAATATAAAAATAATAACGCGACTTTTGGACGTCTCATTGACATGCCCACAATAGAGAACCTACAAAATACAAAACTGTAATTTATTAAATAATAATTGGCTTGATGTAAATACGAGTATATCACAAACCACTAAAGCTATTGTATTTCAACCAAACTTGCTAAGGACGACAACTATCCTACTTCCCATATATAATATCACAAATTTAAAATCTATACGTTCATCTCACTTTACAGTATATAAATTAAATACCAAAACTTTGCAAAAATGCCTTTGCATAACGTTTCCAGTTTTCAGATACCGAATATGTGGACTCAGTGCTTTTATCTTACTTTTTACCAATAGTATTAATCAATTGGTGAGGTTTATTATTAAAATTCAGAGAGAAAATTTTCCTGACAATAATGTTCCCTTGTGTCAAAAATGGGAAAACCCGAGTCAATACTTCTTCCAGCCCTAATATACCTAATATAAAGAGAATCAAACTTGATTTTGCAGTATGCGGTGTAAAAAATATGTTTTAATTTCAATCGTCGAAACACTTCTCAAACTCAATTTTAAGGACAGCCTTTAGCTCTTTCAACGATTTTCATTTATCTTGTAAAATGACATCCCTTTATGGTTCTCTTTATTTTTTGAAATAGAAAAAAGTCACACGGAGCCATGTCTGGCGAATAGTACGAAAATCGCAAAGCCTATAAAAGCACGTCTAACCTTAGCGGCTGCTACCATTATACATGCATACAAATATCCAAAGAGTTATATGATTTCTAACAATTTTACAAAGTTGAGACCACATGATCTAAATCACCGTTTTTTGGGCTACGGGATTTAAATACAACTGAAAAGGTAGGTTTAGAACAAGAACAGAACATAGAAATAATTGAAATCATAATAATAATCAAATGTAAAAATATTGTTGTGTACAAATATTTTCGATTTTGATAGAAAATATATAAATTCAAGGGGTCGTTTATTAAACAATTAAGTTATTGAAAGTATAATAATATACAATTTGTATATTTTGAACATTTGATAATGTTTTGATACAAAAAAAATATTTTGATCACAACTACGTAAATTTAATCTTTAAGAGTTTAAATAATCAAAAAATATTTCAAAATGTGTCAAAACATTCTTGAACTTGTAAATTAGAAACATAACATGTCAACACACTATAGGAGTTTTGAGCATTTGAATACAGCTAGAAATTTTCAAATTTGTTTTGCAAACAGATATGATCTGCTAAAATAATCATTATTTTTTCACAATTTGTAAAAAAAATAAATCTTTTCTAGTACCACAAGGCAAACATTGTAAATTTGTATGTACATATGTGAACAAAGTTTCATGATTATCGGTTAAATAGTTTCGGCGCGAAAGCGTGAAAGCAGAGATAAATCCCTGCGTGAAAACGTAACAAACATACTTGAATTCACATTTATAATATTAGTATGGATTTATTTATAATATTATTTAGAATTATTAATTATTAATATTAATAATGAACATGGATAGTATAGATAGGTTAAACAATCAGTATTCGGTTTTGATTTTGATAGAGATTGTCAAATAAATGTATACATATGTAATGTATGTATATACTTACGTACATTGATTGAACGGAGAACGTAGAATTTAATAGAATCTACGTTCTCTATATTTTGCCAGAGAATGTTAATGGGAAGTGAAAATAAACATCTGTTTGGCATTCCATCCACTTAAAATTAAGAATAAGCAATCAGCTGATTTGACGACACCACCTTGTATATATCAACATTGATTAAAATATTTACTTGTTTATAATGTTAATTAGAAATTTTTCAAAATGTTTTATGTTTCGCATCATACGACGTCCATTTATCATATTTGCAACGGAACAAACAAGGATACCAAATCAGAATGAAAATATCTGTATTGACAAACTCTTACGGTCAGAAATATTGCTTTCAGAAGAAAATAAACAGCGCGCCATGCAATGTATGAAGAAAACACCACATATTGGATTGAAGTTGGGACAAACTACACGAGAGAAGTCATTCGCCGCTGTTCTCATATGTCTCTGCAAAGATGAAAGGGTGAATATGAAAATTAAATAAACATTTTGTTGAATTTCGAATTCTATTATGATGTATACTATATGTTTCGAACTCTCATATTTTGTAATAGCATTTGTTTAGAACAAAATTATTGATAATTCCATTCTATTTACATATATTTATATTTTTAAATTAAATTCGATCGTCCGTATTAATGGTTGAATACAAATATTATTAGATCAATTCATCTTAGAAATTAATTTAATACCTACGTAGCTGCCACCGCAGCAGAAATTGGTCGCTTCAACTAAGCGATGTCCTTAGTGGTTTCCCTTTGAACTCCTTTCTGATAACGGATAAATATATGCTACGGTGGCGTCAATACATATATAAGTACTATGTTTTTATTAAGTTATTACTTTATAAATTTTGATTTACCACAATAAGTTGTGGTTTCCTAATTTTCTATAGGGTGAAATCTCTATACTCTACACCCGGCGCTCTAGTCGACTAACTCGGCATGTTCGACAAATATCCTTTCCCGGTTTGTTATTCAACCATAACCATTAATTTAACTTCTTATATATTCCTTTTTGTATATAAATATAGGGGGACTGAAGGATTCTGAAGACAGTGGTTTTATAGACTGTGCTTTGCGTGAAACGGAGGAGGAAGTCGGTTTAACTCGAAAGCGATTAAATGTTTGGGGATCAGGCACTCTCATAACCCCACCACATACTGCTGCCATCATGCCTGTTGTGGCTGCGGTTAATGATTTTAGTTTACAAGAGTTAAAACTGAATGCGGATGAAGTTGAAGAGGCATTTCTTATATCCGTCAGAGAGCTGGTACATCCCAAAACATTAAAGCATACACAATTTAAGGGAGGGTGGAGTACCCCTAATTTCGTTGTTGGACATAAAAAAGTGTGGGGCATTACAGGTTTCTTAACAAACATGTTTCTAAGATGCCTTATTCCCTTTGATTTAAATAGACTTAAACATCACGCAAAATATGTTCGTCCTTTTAAGCACCAGCATTAATTTTCATTTCTTCTATATACAGTGTCGGACAAAACATATTGGACTCATATTTACGAATTACATTATTATCTCCTATTCTCGCAATTATCATTTTCAATGTATTTTTTTTATTTTCTCTAAGTATTTTTGAATCGTCATGCCGTGTTGTAGCTTTGGGCCGTCCTCCATGATGGTGAGTTTTCAGAGTACTACTTTCCCTATATTTTTTTAAAATGAAGCTGTTGATTTATTGACATAAATGTTGTTACAAATGTATTTTTATGATAAATCATTCTTGTAGTCTTTTTTTAAATAAACTGAATATTTATTTCCAGTCATGGCCAAGGTTTGTTTATGCAAGTATCTTAGTTAAATTAAAAGCATTATCGTTGTTCAAATTGCGTAAACATTGCAAAATCGTCATAAAATAACCTAATTATAGTCGCCTAACGCTATTAACTGCAACCAGTTCAATATGTTTTGTAGCAATGAATGCTGCGTACTTGTAATTTCTTTCGTATCAAATTTAAAATATTAAAAATAATTAAATATTCACTAAATAAATAATTAATCGTTACATTTAGGTACCTTTTTATTTCCAAAATTGTAATGTTGAGTATACGAAATATCTTTAGCATTCGTTGCCATCAGTCCAGTTTTGTAATCAAAAACATATTATATTTCTCTGATATTGTGAAAGTTTCATATATTTCAAAGTGTATATACAAGTATGAATAAAAATATCTGATCAAAGTTTGATATAGCTAACATCCCGCGACTAGTCTTGCAAATTTAAAATAAAGGCAGCATATTAAATGCAATGTTCAACCGCGGTGTATTTCTTATATGAAGAAACTTCTCATTTCATCAAAAATTCATCAGTGGCTCAAATTAAACATAATTAACTCATTGTTACTTTGATATCAAAAAGTATTTGCACGAAATTTTATTTATTTTATATGACGCATACATACATACTTATATAGTATATACAAAACGACTATAATCTATTCGCTTATTCAATTTATAAAAAAAATATTGACAATGAATATTACATATGTATGCAAGTATTTCCTGGCGATTTGAGTTTTATTAAATACAGATTTTAGAATTTCATGATGCACTTCCTTTCAGTATATTTAACTGTTTGTGTACCCTTAATGACAGAATTCCATAATTTTAAAATAACTTGTAAATAGCGGGGCTTTTTTTTATTTATTTGTTTCTAATTAAAATATGATCAATACTTATTGTAAGTGTCAGTTTCAAGCTAACATTAAAACATACTTGTTTTTAAAAGTTAGAGCAAAACATACTTAATTCAAAATATAAATGCGAAGCAGAATATATATGGAAGCATACTCATGTCTATAAACACGCATATGCTTCTATTTTCGCTTCAATTATATTTTTAACAACAAAAAAATACTCCTCTGTTAAGTGTTATATGTAGGTATGTATATAAAATTGGAATATAATTGAAAGCAAGGCTTGGAACTCAATAATGCTATGTGGATTAAGATGACCGCAAGCTAAATCCTTATCTTGATCTCATCTGTTTTCACTCTGTAATATCGATTGGAATGGAAGTAGTAAATGTTGGGGTTTCAAGTTCCTCATGCTTCTTCATTTTTAGCATCTAAAATTATGGAATTATTAAATTTATTGAATAAGACCAGCTAATACCGCATTTGACCAACCTGTTGTAACTTATAATGATTGATGATATCCTGATCTGCAGGACACGATTGTGTGAAGGCATCCAACTGGTACATGTGATACATGTAGCGCCACAGAGCGGTGAAATGTGTCTATAATAACGAATGTAAAATGTTGTAAATTAAATCCGTTTTTCCTTCTTATATTGACATTGATATAATCATACCGGAATTTCGAAATCCACAAAATATTTTCCTGCTACACGAATATGTTGCAGCCGAGGCATAAGCTCGCAGTCAAAACAACACATAGTATCGCCGGTTAGGAAACGGGTGTTTCGATTAGCCAAATGGTCATTGATCTTCCTTAAGTGACTCAATAAAGCATTGTTTTTGGCCTCATCTTTCTTCACCAACATAAGTTTGAGCTTAACGTACAAATTTTCGATCAGCGTTGCCACTTCTTTATCCTGTTAACAAAAGAAACGTAAAATTTTTTTAATAATAATTTAAAAGTAAATTATGTATATTATACCTGTACAAACAAGTTGTATCCGCCAGGAATATTCTTCATGATATGCCGTTCAATTTTATCGTTTTCTAGGATAGCTAAACCACTATCAATTAAAATCGGTGGATGTGTGGCTTCGAAATTGGTCCGAAAATCAGGTGGTGGCTTTTGCATATCAACCGTCGTAACCTAATTATTTTCATCTAGTGCGTTTATATTGAATTGATAAAATGTTTTTAAATCAATTACCTTCAAACTGATAGTTTTAAGCTCTGCCAAAAGATACAAATCCATAAAGTATTCCTGGCAAAATAAGCAAGCGCCCTTTCGCCTGCCATCGATTGTAGAGGCCTGTAATATAAATTAATCAATTTACAGATGATATTATCTCATCAAAAACTCTGTATATACAAATTCCAGTTTACACTTAAATGTATTCAAATATCTTTAAACTTTTGAATTTCAGTAATATTTAAGTACAGATATTAATTTAAAAATAGATAATATGTATTACACATCCCCAACCTCTGTAATCAACCTATTACAATGAAGAGAGTGGATTACAATAAAAAACTGGTAATAGTGGATTTATCAGATTAAAAGCTATAGATAAAAATCATGTCAACTTAAACTGTTGATCCTGAACTATATATAATATATGTATAAAAATACATGGACATACAATTTTTATACTCACATTTTAATTAGCAGTTGTTTAATTTCAACTAGATTTAGGTCCATAATTTCAATACGATGTCTGATACTAATTTTTAAATAGTTAGTTGTGATAACAATTTACGAAACGTTTACAATTATTAAATATATTTACCTATATGTATATATGTAATGTGAAAATTTCGCTTTATTGCGTTTTGTATTATTATTAGAAGCTTACTTAAGTTTTTCTTAAACTTTTAATTTTTGCAAAGCATTTTAGGCGATGCTGATTTCATACGGAAGGATCATATAATATATACGTCTACAATAAAATAACGGTATATTTAAAATCGACACAAACTATTCTCGATTTTGTTATTTATTGAATTTTATTTTTCACAATACAAATTTCAACTATTGAACTCCAATGCAATTTAAAACAATATATTACTCTAACAGCTGATTTAATAAAGATTGTTCTATCGTTTGTTCTTCTTTTTCAATAACTGTTTCCAGACCTGTAGGATATGAAGCTAGACAGCGAGGTGATTTCATTTCATTAATATGCAGATTCCCTTCAAATTCTAAATCTTCAAAGTCATTTGAAGCGTTGTAAACACAACTTTCCTTCTCAGTGGGTTCTTCACTTTCAGATTTTGTAATGTGATCGTCAATGTCGTTCACTGTGGGACCTTTTCTGCGTTTTATATATCGCCATAAGGTCGTGAGCGGCAATGAAAAAAACTCAGCAGCGAAACGTACCGACATTCCGTTCACAATATGACCACGATATGCTTGCATTAATCGATCTTGAACGCCATGATCAACCATATCTTTACTGCCATTCCTAATCCATACAGCAGGCAACAATCCGTTATCTTTCAGTCTTGTTTTATATAAATGAACAGTTGACTTGGGAACATGTAAAGATCGGGAAATTTCCGAAATTTGCACACCAGCCTTCAGTTTACTGTAAATTAGTTCCTCTAATTCCTTATTTGATTTTCGTCTCTTACGTTTAGGATGTTTGGCGACTCGTGAAGACACTGTTGAACGCACCACATTATAACGCTTAGCAGCCTCCCCTAAACTCATACGACCGTCCAATACGGCATTTGCAGCAAGTTGTACCGCTTCCGAGTTATGCGCTCGTTTTTTTCTCTTCGTAATACGCTCTTCACCATCACACACAGAATCAGAAAATATTTCATTATCATGACAGCTATTATTATTGCTATTGTTATTGTATGCTCTCAAGTCGTTTTCGATTTCATCAAATATTCCTTCGCAAGCCTCGGCTACCATTGCGGCGAAGTCTAAATTGCTTACTGGGTTGTTGTCACTTGAAAATTCCCCTTTAACTACCCCTTCATGTTTCATATGCTTTTGTGCAAATGGAACTCGATTCGTATGATTTATGGGTATGTTTTCACTTTTAAGTTTTTCATCCATTTGAAAACATGTTGTGTGCTGTTCCACAACGGAGATTGTATCCAGTACGTTCTCATCTTGCTTGGGGGACACATATTCGAAGTGAAAATGTTGGTTGTCGTGATGAGTAAGCATAAGGACATGACCTCCATCTGAAAATTCGTTGCGCCGCTTCGCAAAACCATCTTTTCGTAGAGCGAATGATTTTTCTACGTTTGTTGTTCTACACTCCTTTATATGTTGCTGGTGTTGCAGTTGTTTCATTTGTAAATTCGATTTTATTATATTTTCTTTCTCGTCCACATCATTTAAACCATCGCCAACTGCTTTTCTGTTGATGTTGAGCTCGTTCGCATTCCCCACAATTTCATTTTCAAGCATAAATTCTTCCTAAAAATGGGCAGAGGATAATGAAAGCATACTATTAGGGGATCACATCTTATGAATATGATATCTGTGAGTATACGACTATATTTTCTACACTGAGTCCCTTTTACAAGCGGTTTGGCTGTATCATGCGGAAAAAGTGGTAAGCGCCCCCAAAACGTATGTACATTTCTTTGTATAAATGCACACATATGCAAATCCTTAAACAAGCAATAAAACGAAGGATACATTACTTTTGACCCTTAAAATATTGAATCGTATCATTTGCTTTTAGCTCTTACTTAGATTTGCAGATTTTTTACACACCTTCCTTTAGTTTTATGCTTTGGGCTATTTTGTTATAACTTTTATTGGGCATAGCATTTTAATAGCAACCTAATTAGCGTATTTGTTTAATGGTTTGCGATTAGAAATGGTTATTGTTAATATCAATATATTTCTAGAGGCGTTTAAAACATTATTTGCTTAGATAATCCAATACATATAAAAATCACATTCACTTTCATCACATTCGTAAAATGTTTGTACGTGTGCCAATAACAATTTACATACACAATTTTTATTACAAACTGCTAAAATTTAGCTCAAAAGTTTTTTGAATAAAATTTGGAATTCAATTTGTCAGTTATAGTACGTACATTTTAAGTGCAATATTTTAATAATTGTAGTAAACTATCATACAAGTATGTACAAACGTATGCATAAAATGTTGTATATTCATTATAAAAACATCGATCAGTCTTACAATTTCTTAATTTCAGTAGCTGCAACAATTCTTTTGTGTAAGGTAAGCTATTTCATGTTTGCAAAACTCATCAATTTCTTATTGAGTACATAGAATCGGTTGAGTATGATGATGTCATGCAAATGTGCTTCACTGAATTGTGCACGCCAAAAATACAATTCTATAAATCTAAAGAAATATGTCTGAGTAAAATATGCTCATTGGAAAACAAATGCCCTGCAGGTTAAAGCTTTGAAATAATTATTGTATATAGTTAAGTTATTTCCCTAGAGCATAAAAAAGTATTTAGCAATTGCGTATATTTATACACGTATATATTAGGGTGGAGCGAAACAAATTTATTTTTATTTTTTGCTTAGCCTGGGGGTAAAATCTTTAGATTATAAAATTAGAATATTTTTGGACAAAAAAAAATTTTTTAGCATCTAGAGGCGGCGCACTCAGTTTTAAAGTAAATTTCGAGTAAAAATTTGTTTTGGACAAGAAAAAATTATTTTTGGTTTAAACTCTTTACATTTATAAAAAAATTACAGAATGTGACGGTTTTTGACTCAAAATTTATTTTGACGCTTAAGGAAAGCATGTTGTAATGACCACAAAAAATATTTTTAAGTTGATAACTTTTAATTGGCCAGAAAGAGGACTCTCACAGCTTCTAGAACACTTATCCCAAAATTTTTACGAAATAAAAATTTTAAATCGAAAATTTACTTTAAAACTGAGTACGCCGCCTCTAAATATTAAAAAAAAATTTATTTTTGTCCAACAATTTTCTGTTTTTATAATCTACAGATTTAACCCCCAGGCTAAGCAAAAAAAATACAAATAAAATGTTTCGCTTCACCCTAATATATATATTTATATGTATATATATATGTATACATTATCATACATTTTTATATACCGGAACACCCTAAATCACAAGGAAATATAGACAAGATACAAAAGTCTTCAAGCACCTACCGTCCTTTTTGAGTTTAAAGGAAAAAAAAGGAATTACATTATTTAAAGTAATTATAGTTATAATTGTATTTCATCATCTTTTTATTGTGTGCAGACACTGATGATTGATGTACATACATGGTTACGTCTTTTATATTTGTTACATTTTAAAATTTAAATGTCTAACAAAAATTACAATATTCCGCACAACATGTTGTGTACCTTAATTGCCTTTTAATTTCGAAATGCATAAAGCTAAGTTAACATCTTTTAAATTTGCTGCACTTACTTTAAACATTTTTTCCACGTTTTAACTATGTTTTGTTCTTTTTTCTTTTTTTTAACAACGCAATGCAATCTTAACAAAAAATTATTAATACACTTACTTTTACTACGTCGTTTCAATACATACATATCTTTAAAAATGCCGCTCTGGTTCGCTTATATGAATACTTATGACAACAATATTGTTATACTACATTAAAATTCTAAACATTAATTTATTTTTAGTCACGCACCCCTACGCCTACATCGCGCCGATTGCCAAATTGTCTGTAGCAGTTGTTCGTCTTTTTTTATTTTTTATTATATAATATATATGTATACATAGATGAGTATCTTAAGTAATAATTATATTGATTCGTAAGACATTCTGGTCTATAAATAAATATTAATATTATAATGCAAATGTAGAGTTCTACTATGGATAATGGATTAATAAATTGAAACAATACTTTTATTTAAATTAAATATTATTTTATCGGATAATTAAAAGACTGACTCCTACTGTATTTTCCACATTTTTTTAATAAAACCCTGACATGCAAAAAATTCACAATTTTCAAGAAGGTGGCTGTTGATAATTATTAATTATAGCTATGCTACATACCACCGATAAGATAAACGTGTCTCATAGGAAGAAATAATAAGTAAATTGAAACAGCCTTGCACAGCTAACGATATGATTTGGAACCGATGACTTCACAATTGCGATTTGTACCAAATTTATTTATACACGTATACATAAATATTTTTAAATGTGAATGACACATATCAATATATATATACATATTCAAGATAAATAGTAAGTATGATTGTAATAGATATTTCTTAAATATCACAAAGTTGATAAATAGCTTAGTCAGTTTGAAAAATGTTGAAACAAATATGTTGATATACCACGCTATACCACGTACATATGAAGTTATGAACTTGTGTACGGGCAAAACCAAAAATATCTGTTTTAACTAATTTATGGATAAAGTAACAGTATGTTTTCATTTATTTCCATCCATTATACATTTTACGTTTAATTGGCAGCTATTGAAATTAGACTGTTTTATAACATAAGAACCACTAAAAAAGCATTACATAAGATTATACTATAACTAGTGCTTACAATGAGTCATTGCTGATGAAAAACTTCCAATTTAGGAATTAAATACCCACATATAATGCTATAATGATTACCAACGAAGCCTACAAGCATTCAACATATAAATTTTAAACAAAAAATTAATTTAAGAGAGAGAATCATTCAATCACAAGATCAACCAGTTGGTTTACAACATAGCAAAGGTGACATGAAATTTTAGACTAAACCTGTTTTTCGAGCATCACAAATATCAAAGATAGAAATTTGTTTGCTAGTGGCATGTAGGATGTATATATAAAAATTTATAAGTAAAAATAAACTCCTTTTGGGGAGGAATAAAATAAAATTTCTGGAGCTATTTTATGATTATAATATGCTATAATAGCATAACCAATAAGTACATGTATTCACAATGAAATCAACTTAATCTAATGTCAATTGCTTTTTATTTACATACCAATCATCTTCTTTAAATAAAATCAAATTTCCCTATTGCAAATAGTTTGCATACACAAGTGCGACAATCACACAATCTTGTAGTTTTTAAATAGGCAGAATTTAAACAAAATTCATCGCATTCAAACATATCTCACACATACCACAAATATCTTCCTCAAGATAGGAGTTCATATTATCACAATAACTTTATAACAAGTTAGTACTGTTTACAATACTCACCTTGATAATCAATTCAATTTCAGGCACATCACCATTATTGGTTCCGTTGGTTTCTTGGTTATTCTCAACTTCCGACATCTTGGAAATGCGTGACGTATGAATTTCACACTTGCTATACCAAAACGCAACCCACACCAAAAGAATAATATTTGATTCTAGTCTCACTTTCTTTTATGATCTGACCAAATACAATTTCCTTTCTTTTTAAAATCTAATAGCCAGAAATCAAATGAAATCCACTTAAGAAAATCTTTTGCAATTGAATTCGAAGAATTTAGCACTCCTTCCTACAATCGTAACGCAATGCTCTCGTCTATTCACAATTCACAAAATACTGTAGAGTGGGCTTAACGCAATTTCGATAACACGGTTGCATTTACCCGCCATGCGGACTTTAGACTCATATTTGATCACTGATCACTTACACAAAAGTTATTTGTATTGAACCCTTTAGCTACCATATGTCTGTTCAAAATTCAGGTGAATTGGGCTATTAGTTTTTAATTTTCATTTATGTGATATATACTTCTGTTTATTAAGGCAAGCAAGTTTGTAAAAAATATAAACAAGTTAAATAAATGCACCCCTTGTGAGTATGTTCAAATTTGAAAGCAAAAGGAAAAGTCAGCTGATTTGTAGAAGACATAAAGTCCACAAGTAATAATATTTTGCGGTTTTTAATATTTCATTCATATATGCAATTAAAAGTAAACTCGTAATTATTTGCGTTTAGTAACGTATTGACGTATCATTGACATTTTATAATGAATTGTTTGGGATTTCATTCGAAATAAAAAGTAAATTATCCTGCATATACTAAACAACGTCACATCCAATGTCTATTTTCCCCGCATATACGGACGAAGAGGAGAGAATCAACAATGGTGCTGTCGCAGAACGTAATCCAATCCCTTCATCCAGTTGGTTAAGGAACAGTAGTTTCGCCTTGGAAAATGATCATATTAAAAGTTTGGAAAGCGTTGAATTCATGGATTCAAGTTGTTCATTGGGCAAAAGTGATACTGAATATACACAAAAAACAAAAAAGCATAAAAGAAAAGCACATAAAAAGAAGAGTAAGAAAAAAAAAAATGAAACTGATTGCAATACTCAGATTATGCCTATACTGGAGTTCAACGGCGCTGAAGGGTATTATATAGATAAATCTAAGATCCAAATATATCTTACCGTACGCACTTTACATAAACCTGCCTGCCCTCGTTATCGCTACCGGTCAAGCTATATTTTGGGAAAGGGTTTCTCATACAAGTCAAATGTTAAAGAGACAACAAACAAATGTGGAAAGCGCTATTTTCGTAACAAATATAATATACAAAATGATCTAGTATGTAACAATAAACAAATCGCTCTGGATGAAAATGAGTATATATCAAGACTTGGACACCTGAATCGAAAAATATTGCAAACAAATTCTGATCTCCAAGTATGGTTGGAATTACTATCTTTACAGGAACAAAACCCCTACAAATGGTCCCGCGTTTTATTAGCTGAGAAAAAGCTTGATATTATCAATCGCGCATTAATCAGTTTTCCACGAAATGAACAGTTGTATAGATTTTATATCGATATTATAACTGCTACATATCCATCCTTTGAAGTGACAAAAATGTTGGATCGTTTGCTAATGAAAGATCCTTATAGTTATACATTATGGACAGCGCAAATAATGACAACTCAGGGTTCAATGGCTAGATGTATTGTACCAGATGTACTTCGAATCTATGAACGTTGCATGCGAAAAATGCACCGTGCCCAACAAATAAGCACACCTGTCGTGTCAGATATATCTAATGCAGACGATATAATGCTACGATTATTTAACAATTGCGCACTTTTTCTCCGACAAGCGGGACTTAATGAACAATTCATTGCATTAATAAAACTTGCGCTTGAATTAAATATAACAGCTGTGACTTTTAAGGGATTTACTCCTCTTGAATCTGATCAAAACACTCTTATCGAATTCGAAGAACTGGTTCTACAATCAGGACTTCCAATGAATGAAATATGGCTCCGTATTGAAAAGCTTCGACAAGGATTTAATTTTTTGCCATGTCCAGAAAAAATTAAATGCAACGATCCACAGCGTATTGTTTTTAATGAAGATATATGTCACTACATATATCCAATGGAATCACGAGAAAATTCATTTTACTTAATATTACTGATTTTAAAATTGCTTAAAGTGCCATTCATTCAATGTGAAGGATTAGCAGAGAAGTTTAGCGCTCATTTGGAGTTTATCGGTGATTCGGATGCAATTGAGGACATTTTAGCAGTGTGTTTACAACGAAATTTTGCAATTTCTCAAAATAATCAAAGAGAATTTCAAAGGGCCATTTGTACTTTAACAAAAGAAATGACAGTAAGCCCTTCTTTCTTAAGTAACACCATTGGTCATGACATATACATTCGTTGCGTAACAAGCCTCTTACTTGACTGCGCTGCTTCATATATAAATATTGATAAAAGAAAACATGAGCTATTCATTGTGTTGTGGTGTCGTTTTGAGCGTTTGATGTTGATTTTCGAACGGTATAGTTCAAAAACATACCAAGAATATATTAAGGCAGGGCGGAAACGGTTTAAAAATTTACTTAAGCAAATACCCAACCGAAATGTGCTTATTTATTATACTGAATTCGCTATATATGAATTTGAATCGTTAAACGATCCAAAAGATGTTCAATCAGTGGAAAATATATTTGAAAACCTTATTGCTTCTCATTCTACAGACGAAACTCAAACATCTGATTTGTGCTATACTTACGTAACGTTTGCAGAAATTCTTATTGGGTGTGGAAAGGAAGAGAAAGCCTTACATGTTCTATTATCGTTTGCTTTTAGCAGAAAAAATACCGAAAAATCTGGTACTGGTAGAATACTTGCTGCATTACAGCAAGTCACCGAGAAGTTGGACCATCAGATTTCTATTGAAAAGAGTGTAGAAATTATGGTACTTGAGCAATATTTATTACCCGATTACACTGTGTCATTGCTAAAAGTGCGAGTGCTAATTCAGTGTCTTATTGGGCAAAAAAACGATGCAATTTCATATCTGGATAAACTGATGAATATATTTCGAAGTTGCAATGACCGACACCGTTTTCTTCGAGAATGTATCACGGAATTGTATTTGAGTGTACTACAAATGACATGCCCATGTAAAGTGCCAAGTGCCTTAGTTCGAGACAAAATTAATAATGGTCTGACTGAATATCCTCGGAACTTATTCCTTCTCCAACACTGTGGCATATTAAACTCAATTCCTTGGTTTCGAATACGTACAAACCTACTTCGTATCAAACCAACCATCATGTCAGTTATATTTTTAATTATCTTAGCTCGTAATAGATATTTTCAGATGTATTATGATAACGAGTTTGATAAACAATGTAATGATTTAGTCATCCGCAATCGCATTCTTCATATATTCAAAACTTTATCTAGTGATCATCTCAGCCCAATTTCAAAGAGAAATGCATTGCTAAAGAATGCATTATTTTGGAGGTTATATCTTCGTTTCTTATCAGATAAGTCAACCGATTTTGAAACAAGCAAAAAATGTCTTTTAACTGCTTTGGATGAATGTCCGTGGAATAAGGCTCTATATTTGGATGGAGCAACATATGTACCGCAAGAGTTATCACATTTGCAAGACTTAATTATCGAAAAGCAATTACGTATTTACGCACTTCCTGAAGAGCTTGAAATTTTACGCGGTCAATGAACATAAATGCATTTGAATTCAATTAAAAAACCAAAAGAAAATTTTTATTTAGTTTTGATCTTTTACTATTGGCACGCGATTTTGCAGGAGTAAATAGTTCGGTTGTAGGTTGAAAATTAATAAATTAGATGTATAGCTTCCATCGTTTTCTATTTTATATTATTTGTATTCAGATTCCAAGAATTTTAAAATATGTACAAAACAGCCACCCTCATTAAATATATTTTCTAAAATATATGAATTAATAATATTTCAAAGAAAAAATAGAAATGTATTTTAGTATCATACAAAACATGTCTCGAGCATGTTTTATCCTTCGGACAAACTGGTAACGATATTATTTGTCTTTGTGTTGGATAAGATATTTTCAATGAAAAAAACTAATAACACTTAAGTTGTAAGCAAGTTAAAAATCTTAAATGTTAAAAGTCCTCGAGTAAGGAATTCAATAACTGAATGAAATTCAAAACAGATCTAAGCAATTTATAGAATGTATATTTTCGCAACAAAATTTGTGTAAATTTTTATTAAATGCTCTACTAAATAGTTTTTTCGTAAACCTAACCGTTTTAAAGATATTAAGAGTTGAAGTTTGACTATTAGTAATAATTTTTCGATTAAATTAAGCGTTTACGAGATATTCATCGTCAAACCAGAGAACATAAAAGAAATTATTTACAAATAACATACTTACCAATAATATTTGACATTTAAATTTTTATGCCTTACCCTCATATGCAAAATTTCTGATTGCTATTTTCTGTTGTCGAACAGCGTTTGTACATGTTTCTGCTAAATAGTAGCGAATATGTAAGAAAATGGTGAATTCCCTACTCGGTGTTTTTCAGCTCTGTTAGCCGTCCAATCGAGCATCATACAGAATTCATTTTGCACCAGAGAACCTAAAACAGAGAATGTTAAGAAATATTATTTAGCATTAGAGCAACCAGAGAATCTGAATGATAATAAATAAATATTAAGCTGTTTGGAGGAACTACGTTCTATAACACAACTAAATGGCCTTCTCTCACATGAACGCTGAAGAGCGCAAGACATTTTCCAATCGACATCCAATTTTGTTTCGTTTATTTATTCGTTAAATAAGTGGAGACTAGTACAATTTGTTGTCTCATTTTTATGATGTTTAGCGGCCTGTTGGCCGATTGACTGATAACTTGTCTTGCTCTATGAACTGCTTATGCCTCAGTGTAATTCTGTCGTGTATTGTGTTCGGTTGAAATAAATTTGTGGTTGTGCTGTTTACGACTTATTATATAGCACGCAATTAAAAACTGGATTATAAAAACAAGAATTAATAAAAAGCATAATCTTAAAAACCCAAGATATATAAATAACCAATAGAGTTTCGAAAGGTTGGTTTCGCGTTATAGTGTTTGTCAATATATTGTACTGCCTATAAGCTTTAGCCCTAGAGTGCTATTGGTGACGAAAGCATTAAAGCCGAGTTACGATGTCGATGTGAAATGAAAAAAAATCTATATTATCTTTGTGCATGTAATTTGTTTTTGTTCGGTTTGATAATTAAAATAATACGAATCGAGTCGAGTGTCTTACTGTGTTTACTCGACTGGTTGAGAAGTTCACGGAATTATCGCCTTGACGGAAAAGTCGCCACAATTGCAGTTTATTTCTACAGGTACCCTTCTCTCTTTTTTCGTATTCTTGATCGTAGTGCCATATCTGAGATACACAAAACTTCAAGGCCTTTGCGCTCGTCCTCCATTAATCATTTCGCTATTAACCACCTCCCCAAAGTCCAATGAAAACGACAGAACAAATACGAGAAAAGTAAAATATTAAAAATAAAATCGAAAAGAGCCAACAGTGTGATAAAGCGGTACCGAATATAAATCTACATTAAATAGTAGTATATGAATGTATTAGTATGTTTATTTGACTCAGTTTACGTGTGTTCGTTTATTTACTGTGTATGAGCATATTGACATGCATATGGATATATGAACGTGTACAAAGGCTCTGTAAAGTAAGAATAAGAAGACATAGGAGAATGTTGCCAATGCACAAACGTATATATACAGATGTATGTAGGAGTGCTATTTCTAATTTAAGCTCGAGCTGTAATGGCTACACTATATAGGTGGAAGCCCTTTGTTGCTTATACGCCATGCTTTCCTGTATAACGATGCATACATATATATGTGTGGGCATTTATATTATTATGCATTGATGTCAAAACATGATTAAATCTGTATACTCAAGTATACAGAAATATAAAATTTGTATATGTGGATATTTATTGGTCAAAATACAAAATCTTTAGTAAATGTATGGAAGTGAACATGCATACAAAAATGTGAGGGCTTTTGAAAGCTCCATACGCAGCTCTTTTTATCTACACTTTCTACAAATTGTTTTCCACCTTCCTCTTTATTTCTCATTCTCGTTAAGTTTTCTCTCATAACTTTATGGTTCGACCGTAAAGAGTATTGGGTTGTGTTTTGATTAAAACTACCGCCAGTTTGTCTGTTTACAGTATATATGCACATGCATAAAAAGTTTATATGTGAAGCCGCTGATTTACATACATATGTTCATATTCCTCATACGTAAGTTTGTACGTATATATGTGTATACCGAAGTACATGTTTGTATGAATGTATGAACCTTTTCATAAAAACATTGGCTAAGGCCAAGGAATATTATATTTCTAATCATTAGTAAAAATAAAGCAAAATTAAAAACAGGAAAAGGGCACAAGTTAATTGATAACTATAACTATCAAATTTTGATGTAATTTAAAAATTCAACTCATAAAATATGTACATATGTATGTATGTATATAATATATGAACGAACAGATATTTGTAGCTTCAAACGTAGCTACGAAGTACCAGGCTATATTACATTCTTTTATACATACACATATGTATCTCGCACTTCAAAGAGAATTTTAACAAAAACACAGCACAAATAAAAATATTACACTCCCTTTGCATGGCATACAAATAACTACATATGTACATGTGTAGCTTTTATAAAAATAAATGGTTAGCGTTAACTTATTAATAGGCGATTACCGCTTAAATGAAACTATTTTAACAACAACCACAACGAAATTGGAATAACTGTATGTTAAAAATGTGTCTACTTAAAAACAAAAGCGAAAGACAACCATATACATGAACATACAATACATAACTGTTAAATAATTCGATTTTTATTCGAAAGACAAAAATTAACTATTCGAAATACCTTTTGTCAATAAAAAAAGTTATCCGAAAATAAATCAGTCGCGGTAGTTGATTTTTAATTTCTAGGATCACATGAAAAATCTACGACAAAGATTACTTACATTCTAAGGCAATACAAAATTATTGCGCATACGCCATGGACATGCCGCCTCAAGGGCTGCTTCAGTTTAAGGATGACTCCAACTGCCTTGTTTAGGAACACTCAATTGAAGGAAGACGTTTCGATAATAGAAATATTGTTATAAAAGTAAAAGGAAATACATATTGCATTTGTTTGTAGTTATTCTGAAAATGAAAAAAAAATTATCAAACTGAAGTCAGCGGAAACCAATTTAAGGGGCCATAAAGGCCAAGGCCACAGCACGAGAGAAAACACTAGAGCGAAATAAAGCGAAAATTGCAAAAAATCAAAAGCGAGATAAAAAAGAGATAAAAACGAAATTTGAGAAAAATAAGAGATATTTGATGACTACTGCAGTTGAATGTGTGGCCTTTGGCACTTCCCAAGGTTTCGGTACTGATTTTAACCCAAACCTTGATGCCGCTTACGCATACCCAAACGTAGCGAAGAGTGATACTACCCAGGTAGCCACTATAAATGGATATGACAGATTAGCCCGAGGAGATGGAGCTGGAGGAGGTCGTCAAAACGACACCAACAATGACAACGACAGACCCAGCACAAGTAGACAACGCGGAGGAAGCGATCGCAGGGATAACGGTTCAGGAGCAGATCAACCTCCTCAACGTACGCCTAACCAAAGTGGAAGCGGAGGTGGACCACCTGGCCCACCTAATGAGAACAACCTTGCCACAGGAGGAGGCGGCGGCCCTGCCCACGGTTCAACCGCAAGAACAATGCCCAACCAGACACAGTTGACGACACCTTCAGAAGTGTTGTCTATCATCGCCAAGATGTTTATCGACCCGATCCCCAACCCAACACCACAATCAGCTGAATACATGCCTTCAGGAACAGAGATCCTTCGCAATAAGCTAGAGGAAGACTTCACCAAATACAGCCCAGTGATGTGGGCTGACCCTCTACTTCCGTACGAGCTACAGGCAGCTGATGGGGACTCGGCTCCCGACGAGGTACCAGCAGTAGGAGTTGACGTCAACAACGGGTTCAACTCACAGTTAACACTGGGCCTATCGGCACTCGGCATCCAAATAAAGACAATTGTTGATGCCGAAATATCACAGACAGGAGCAATACGCGCTCTAATGCCGATAGCAGGACTCAAAGATCAAAGGTCCATCGCCACCATCATGCACATGTGTGACATAGAGTCCGGGCCACAACTCGACGAGGCAGCCTTGCTTCGACTACTGCTCCTTCAAGCAAGTACCATTGACGCGTACCAACAGGTCTTCACCTCGTCGGGGGTGAACGAGTTTGCGATAAACATGTACGCGAAACGCACCGACTGTTCCCTAAAGTGGACCCCGTGCCTTGAGTCATCTGACAAGGTACAGATCGGAATTGCCACCTCAACAAGCAGCCTATATTTCCGAACGATAGACGAGTACGCCGCCCTAGTGTCAGGGAACGCTACCGACGGAACCTACATCCGCAACAAGAGCAAAAATCGCGTTGATGTCAGCGACGTGGTATTCATACCCGTCAAATCTGCTTGGAGAGGACAGGCCTGGTTGGTCCCTTACATACTAGCCTTTACCACGACATCTTGGTGGAACCACGCCATCACGGTAGATGTCAAATACTCAAATACTGTGACTGAGAAAACAGCAGGCAAAACCATGAAAGCAAGGTTTATCCCAAAGGCAGCAACTGTGTATGTTCCCGGCAGTTACACAAACATATGCCTCGTTGTGGTGGATTCGACCCGCCAAGCCTTTCCTGACAACCAAGATTACGCGCTGTGTCGGGGCATCTCTGCCAGCAGAGCTGGAAACTTCGAGTTCGCTAAGCAGGTGTATGCGTACCTTGGACGCAGGACGGATAACGCTGTTCGTGGAATGGCAACGTCTGACTTGACTCAGGCACTCAACCATATGATTGAGACGATGTGCACCAGGGCAGAATTCAGGCAAGTCCACCTGAAATGTGCGATACTATCAACATCCCGGTTCAATGGGTTTGGGTGCTACCCAAATCCCGATACCCCGCCAAAAGCTGATGGAGAAGGAGAGGCTGACCGTGACCATATATTCGGCCCCGCCAGTTTCAACCCCGAGAAAACTATTAGAGTTGGAACCCTTGACATCCCCGACCTTGTTAACCTAACCAATGCAGACAGGACAAACAGGTTGATAAGCTTACAGACATGGCGGTGCGACCCATTGGGCTATTTCGCATATGGACTCGTTAACACCAAAAAGGACGAGTCCCACAAACCTTGCCTCTACGAATACAAAGCAGGGTGTTTGCAATACCAGGTGTCCGAGACCTCGTCTAATCTCAGGATACTTAGGGCCTGCGGAATATTCGTCCAAGACCCCGAATCCGACAGACACGTTCTACAAAGACCAGTAGACGTTTTTAACACCACCATCGGATACGCGTCTCTCATGCTCGGACTTACAAACTGGGCGTTTATGGAACTTGGTGTTACCCTGTTCGAGCACAACAGAATGTCTCGCAGATGGCGCTGCCTAGCAGATCAATACCTCGAACTCTGGCCCACAGTGAGCAACGACTTTGTGATAAGGTCGTCGGAATTCGTGGAGAGATCGGTGGACATCGAAAAATACCAGAAACTGTGGGGATGGATAACCAACCACGCCACAAAGCCCGAAAACGTCCCAAAAGTATGGATGGACACACACTACAGCTGGAACTGCCCCTGGTGGTATGTGGGAGCGATTGCCGAGAAGTTTGGCCATAAGTTTGTCATTAGGACAGAGCCTAACGGTGAGCTTATTGCCGACCAAGTCTACGCAGATTCTAACAACATGCTAGGATGGTTGATTGCCCCGAGCTCCAGCAATCAGTACGACCTGTCCATACTGTCATCGTCGTGCCAGTATGAAAGAAGAGTACGTCGAAGCAAGCCAGCGTACTTCGACATTTTAACACCATCCTCAAACGGGAAAAGCGAGGAATACAACTTTCTTTCATGGGATATGAACTCTGTGCTGGACACCAAGAAGACGGAATTCCGATCAAAGACAAGGACGAGTCCTCCCGATACCGCAGGCATCGTGGAGTTGAACGTCGTGGTATTCCCTAGCGCTCGCACATTTAAGATGAAGACGTGCCCAAGAGCGTTCGTCAGTGGGGACAACAGAGTTGACGGCAAAGACGAAACCACCCTGCCGTTCATTTCAGGTGGTCTGAAATGGCCTGATCCATGGTTGGACTGGTTGCTCCGAGGTGGAATAGCTGTTCTGCCCCACTTGATTACCGGCAATTGGATTGGTGCTTTAGGGAGTGGACTGGCAGTGGTCGTAGATGCACCAGCAGAGTGGTCTACCGCCCAGGCCGACAAGTCTAACACCTTTCGTGAGTAACTACTCAAGCACGAACCTCATAGACCGTAGTATCTTTTTATCTTGTTTACAGATACAATCATCGCTCAACAAACATCTATATCTGAGCCATTCGTACGGTCTATTGAGATTGACCCACAAAACAAGATCCCTGACTCTACAATTCGTCAAGACGATCACGTCAAACACGACAAAATTCCTGAATTTTGTGGAAAAACTGAGAAGCCATCTATCCACGCGAAAAAATCTGACGTGGGACAAAAATCTGTATGTAAGACAGGTGATCCTATCCAACGAAGATGTGGTAAAGAGCAGCCCTTTGGGGGGAATGGAAATCACTACGAGCAGCATACAAGCAGGCTGTCAACTCTCTACGAGAGTTCGAGTCTGACATCACCGTGTTTCCAAATTTTAAACCCAACCAGCTGAAAAGCTACTTGAGATGCAGAACATCGTACTCAAGTGACCGACTTACCACATTTGACAACACTCTGGCATGCTACTTAGACACAGTTAAAACCATCATTGGCGATAACAATCATCCAACATGTCTCATCCTCCATCTCATCCAAACATCAATCAAACATTAAAGGGTGTAAATATTTATAAAACTGTGGAAATTTAGATCATACGTACATATGTTCAATATAAGTAGGAATTGATTATATATACTTGCACATTCATACATATTTATATGTACTTAAATAAAAATGAAGGTGTATGCACGAATGATTTTAACCGGTTTGTTGTTTTTAAAACTGGTAAGAAATAATACGTACACACATATGTTTATATGGGTATAAAAAGCTTTATCCATAAAAACAGCTTTCAAACAAAAAATTATTCTTTTACAACTCGATTATCCGATATATTTGTTTATTTATATTAAAACGAACTTATGTGTAAATGTGTATGAGCTAAAGTTACATTTTAAATACGAATACATACCGAATGGAATGGAAATTATAGTAAAATCAAACTAAGAATTATATTTAAGGGAATGACATGTATGCCATGTGCGAACACTGCTGTTTTTTAATAAGAGATCACGCGCTTCAATAGTTAAAACGAATTTGTGTAAAAAATTGTATTTTAGGTAATTTCATTAATTAATTTGGAAATAGAAACTCACCGTAGTCTTCATAAAATTTCATAAGGAAGTCACTACTTTTTATTCAACAATTACTCAAAAACCAATTATAATATGTCTTGGGATTGTAGAAAATTTACACCTTTTGTAGAATAGAATAGAAAAATATATTTAATGCAATTTCAGTCCATCTCTATGTTTTGTTTCGTTGCATCTGTTAGTGATTTAATGTATAAATACATACATACTTGTTTAATTAAACAAGAACATGTGAAATGTATTGTACTGGATTGTTGCCTTTTGTTTTCTCGTATATATTAATAGAATTAAATAAAAAAGGATTTAATTGTAGTTTTTTAAAGTTTAAATTTAAATTATTTTTTTTGCTACATTTACAAATAAAAAAACTTCAAGAAATTAGAATTAGATTACCAATAAAGTTGGAAGAACGCGTACTTTTATATTTCGGGAGTTGAGAACCCTAGGATGGCAGTCTGGCAACTATCAACTTTATCGTAAAGTTTGACATTTTTGATGTTTTACATACTCGGAACGTTTTGACATACGAGCGTTATTTGTGTTGTTTACATTAACTTTAAATATTCACCTCAGCCAAAATATGGAATTAAATCGCGAACATTTTCGCGCGCTTATGTCTTACAATTTTGGACGTGGATTAACTCGGAAACAGTGCAACGATGAACTTAATTCAATTTTTGACGATGAAGCTCCATCAAGGACCAGTGTATATCGATAGTTTGGGGAATTCCATCGTGGTCGTAGATCACCTCAAGACGAATTTCGTGAAGGTCGGGCAAAATTAGTTGTTGTTCCGGACCCCATTGATGCTGTGCGCAAACTGATATTGCAATATCGTCAAGTGACCTATCGTAAGATTGAGACAGCTATTGGCATTTGTGATATTTGATTGTAAAAACAATGTTCTTGTTGGATCCCACACAATTTTTCAATCGCTCAAAAAAAGGCTCAAGTCGATTGGTCGAGAGAAATCTTCAAAAAATACGATAGGGTGCTCCGAAACACGTCTATGACGTAACAGGTGATTATTTGTGGATTTGCGCGTATTAGCCCGAAAGTCAATAGCAGTCGACAGATGAGACGTATCCAACAAAAGTTGTTCACGCACGAAGCACTTCTAAGCAAATGGTTGCCTGTTTCTTTGGAAAAGCTAGACATGTCGTAACCATGCCATTAGAACAACCTAGAACAATAAGTTATAAATGGTACACAACTATTCCTTTGCCAGTTAAGGCATCAGAAACACCAACCGCCACATCGACTGAAGCAACTGAATTTTTGTGCGCACACAAAACATCGATTTGATGAGTCAATCACCGTATAGTGCTGACCTGGCACCGAAAGACTACTTTTTATTCCCGTAAGTAAAAAATAAATTAAGAGGTCAACGCTTTTCGGCACTTGAAGAGGCGGTTGATGCGTTCAGAACTGATGATTTGGAGCCACCTCAATCAGAATGGCAAAAGTGGGTCGAAAATTGGTTAAAACGTATGCAAAAGGGGATGTATCTTAATGAAGAATATTTTGAAAAACAATAAAGCGATTTACGATGGTTAATAACACTTGGTTTTGTTCTCTAATCCTGAAATATAAAAGGCAACCTACGTACCCGACGTCGTTAATTGTAATAGTGAACTAACTCCATAGTTGAGACATCTATGATGCTGTAGTGGTACCAGTGGAGTTGCTTTACTTTTATACTCAAAGATATGATAATGCAATGAGCGACACATTTGTAAAGAGTGTAACGTATTTCTTTATAGTAAATCAATTATTTATTGAGTCTAGAGTAAGGTGACCATATTTTAATTCACTGAAAATCGCGACATATAATAGGTGAGAGAACAACACAATTCAATTCATTCTTTTTTTTTTAATTTCTAAGCCCGGGACGACCGAAACGCTTAACTCGTAATCCGGACTGTCCCGGACAAACCAGGGCGAACTTTGACAATTTTGTGTATAAAAAGTACATATTTAGTGTATGGTAAAAATAATGTTTTAATACAAAACGACGAATACTGGACTAATCTAGTTTGCGAGATAATGTTACTATGCAACTAGAATTAAAATTTCAAGTAGATAGGATAGTCTTCAAGCACCATAGTCTCCTGATTTGAAAAATACATTTTCGAGAAAAATATGTTTAAAGCTTTAGGTGCTGCAGCCGACTTTAAGACCTTAGTCGGGTACATAAGCCAAAAAAAAAGAAATAACTGTCAAAAATATAATGAAATAACTAGCATTTTGAAATTGTCAGAGTGGCTTAAGGATGTGTGAAATCAAAGACCATCTTTATATGGGATTTTAGAATCGTAGCGACTTCTTTGAAATATGACAAAAATTATATGGGTATATTAAATAGCATTTACTAGTTATATTCATATATCGGGCGAAGGTAGAAAGTGTGTGGGTGCGCCCGAGCTAAACTATTCATTCTTGTATGTATTTATTTAGTAAATAGATGAGTGTTTTTTTTACAGCTTGCTGGTTTGAGAAAAACATTATGTTACACAGTTTAAATGCGGATTGAAAACGTTTATTAGACAGTGTTGTCCGCCATGAGCACACCTGAAGCCCGCAGTGAAACCATTACTTCCGATGAAGAAGATTTTAAATCGGTCATTCCGCATAGCTTTGAAGATGTACCAAATACATCAACAGCACAACAAAGCGATAAGCAACTGCTTAGCCATACCGATTTCGAAAAAATGGATTCCGAAAATGACCCTAGCTCTAGCTTCAGTTGCCGGATATGGGAGAATGTTAATGATTTTATGGATGATAATTTATCCACCTTAAATGGTACTGATCATGACGTTACCACATTGACTGAATCAACTTTAAAAACATCGGACGTGGGCACACTTCTTGAAGTGGTAGATAAAAAAATATGTGTGGATAGAATTGATCCATTACCAAGCTCATTTCAATCAGATTTGAATAATTCAAATATGTTTCAACTAACTAATACGTTAGAAGATACTATTGATCCATCTAAAATAGCCAGTAGTGTAACGCAATTCACCAGCGGAATCGAAAATTCCAATATGTATAATGACAATGTTGAACAAGACATTAAATTTTCGCCCAGTGAAATAATCCTACCGACACCGTCCACTGAACAGTACAATTACAATTTATCAAATCCTTTATCGTCACATGTTGGTCAATTGCATTCGCCTTCATCTTATGGTCATCCGTTACCAACAACGCATCATGAGTTGGACCCACATACATTCGTACGTCCACTCCTCCAGCCACAACAAACGCAAAGTCAGCAGTCCTATGGACAATATTCAACACCATCAGACTATCATCCAAATATGTGGTATCCAAATGCACCATACGGATCATCAAATAGTTACTATAGGTCCTATAGTGGTAATCGGTATCCTAACTGCGGTAGCTATCCCCACGACCCCATGTTGGATATGCTGCAACTTTCTAATAGGTAAGTATTCAGATAAGCTCTGTAAATACACGCTTTTATTATTATTATAGAAGATGTTTGCTATATTAACAAAAAATTCCTCTTATTGAGAGCAAAAAAAAGTTGTATGGAGAAAGAATTGATATTAGTTCCCTAAACAAATTTGTGAGACGCTTAAAGCGCTTTGTTGATATGAGATAGCCTTTTTGATCCATACATAGGAGCTTTTGGCGGGGAGCGAGTTGTTTACCTAACCTAACCTCTAACTTCCTTTTTCTAATCAGATTTTCCTTCCGGAGAGTAACTTTTTTACCACTTTGACCTTTTCTAAATAGTCAATGTAGATCGCACCTGTGATATTTTTAGATGTCTACTAACTCAGGTTCGCAAACAGCCGCTTCCACATATAGCTAAACAAAAGTGCAAGTCGGCTGAAATTTTGGTAGTGGTGGTCTACGAGAATGTACCACACAATAGTAAATTTATCTTGCAATAGTGACGCCATCGGGCGGTAAGACTAAATATTTATTAAATTACCCTCGTACATATAAGTGTAAAGTAAATAAAAGCAATGTTCTTGTATTGATAAAATAAATTATAATAAATATAGAATTTACATATATTTAAAGTGGCACATTGAAGTTCCTTTTTCTTTGTGAATCACCATCCAAAGGCCGGTGGGGTTTTTCTATCAAATATTCTCGTAATATAGATATTTTCTGCTTGCTAAAATATACTTTTACACATATCTCTTGCTTACAGTAAACTAATAACAAAACTAATATAAGGTTTTGGCACAAAGTAGAAGTAAATTAACATCCCCAAAACAATTACATTACATATTTTGTAACATGTAAACTTAAAAGAAGAATATGTTCGTAGTTGCTGTTTGAATATGTAAACAAATACCAATGGTAAGCAAAATAATAATATACTAAGTTGTGAGCGCTTGTTCTATTCCTCGTATTTGCATCACGTGCTGGGACTAGACGTTGTTATTGTAGGTAAGTCTGAGGAGCGGAAGAACTCCGTAACCGTACTTGCACGAGTTCCAAGGCAGTCATCCCACACATCTAACATCTTAACTCAGCAGGATGCTGATGAACCGCGTCATATTTTTCAATGCAAAGACATGGCGACTAAGACCCCATGTGGCGACCAAGAGAGCTCTGATAATACAGAATCAATTACTTACCATTGAAAATGATAATTGCGAACATTTCTTTTTATAGAATCTATTCAGGTTAATCTTATCAGTAAAGATGCGTTTGTTTACAGAAAAATTCACTTAATATAACTCATTGTTATGCAAAAACTGAGCAACACAGTAGTAATGAGCAAGTTGTTGCAGGTCTCATTAAATTGCACTTACACGCAAAATACTAATATCAAATAATGTTTGCATATTTTCAATATTAGAATTTTGAAAATATTCCTCGTTCAACAAATAAATCTAGGTAGGTCTTAATAGTAGATGTGCTATTGTATAAGGAATACAGCTTGTTAATGATTAATGATGAGTTAAATTAATGTTTAAAGAAAAAATATGATTTTTAATTTTCTCCGGGGTGGGTGTTACATTCACGCATAAATAGCGGCGAATATATCTATAACTAATATGAATGTATTGAGCGTTTTATTATTCCACTTATGCAACTGTTTTAGCAAAACAACTTAATTGTACCAATTTTATATTCATTCAAAATTACGGACTAAATTGAATATGAACATTTAAAAAAAATTAAATTACATTTTTATATTAAACGCATTGAAATTATACTATAAGCAAAAAAAAACTGTTATTATACTTAATTGTTTGAAATCGTTTAAGTCAAACCAAATAACTCACTAATAAATCGTTATTTAACATATCCAGCATAGATTTAGTGTATGGTATCTGATTAGAAAGATTTGAAAATAAAACTACTTTAATTTCGTAGTGGTCGCGAAGCAAGGAATCGGGCGGAGAAAAATAGACGAGACAAACTAAATGGATCGATTCAAGAGCTATCCACGATGGTTCCACATGTTGCAGAATCCCCCAGACGTGTTGATAAAACTGCAGTCTTACGTTTTGCTGCACACGGCTTACGGCTACAATACAGTAAGAATTACATTATCTTGGCAATAATTACTTGAGTAAGGCGTGGCATATTCGAATTTTACGCTGAACACTCCGTTTAAAAAAATGAAAAGAAATATAATTCTAATATGCGCAAATTTTATTCTACTCAGATATGTACATATTTCGTTCATAAATTAATATTTATTTTTTGTTATTGCAGTATTTGGGGAAAGCCTTAATAACTCCCGCCCTCAATATACTGATTCATTAATGAAGCTTCTGGACAGGTTTTTTATAGCTCTCACATGTCACGGGCAAATTGTCTTAATATCGTCAAGTGTTGAACAACATTTGGGCCATTGCCAGGTAAAGAGAAAAATAACAATGTGGTAATAATTACTACAAACTAGTAAATACGCCCTTGAGCATTTAGTGTTTATGTAAAATTATTTGTGGTTACGCGCTTTTATTCTCAGACTGATTTATACGGACAAAATATCTTAAATATTACACATCCCGAAGATCACAGCATGATGAAACAACAATTGATACCTTCCGATTTGGATGAGCTTTTTGATTGGCAGGTCGATGATGATTTAAATGAACCCAAATCTCGGACTTTAGAACAAGAGGAGTCCATAGATATACGTTTGCGCTCGGATAAACGAAAGTTCACTGTTCGGTAAATTTTCAATTGAAATATGCATTTGTTTGGTTTAACACAAATACATTACATATTTCATTCATTTATAAATAATTATTAATTCAAATTAGTTATGCTAACTCATATATTATTATGAACGTTTTTATAGATTAGCCCGGGCTGGTCCACGCTCAGAGCCTACTGCATATGAAATAGTTAAAATCGAAGGGAATTTTAAGCGCAGCAATGCAGCACCGCGGGGCACAAGAATAAACACATTTCCCTCTAATATACATATGATAAGACGGTCGCGTGGTCGGGATGATACGATACCGTTACACGCAATAAGTGGAAATGATATTGTAAGTAAAAAAGCAAATATATACAGAAAAGTACATGAGACACCAAATCCTAAAACGCCTTGCCACTTTAATGAAAAAAGAAGAATTTTATTTCGAAATAAATAGCCAAAGATAACTTCGTTCGTCCATTTTAAGGTCACACATTTTTTCCAATTCAATCGATCTATTAGACGAGTTAATGAATATTTCATTGTATTATATAGTAATATTAGAAACATGAATTTACCATATGTAGCGATGAAATTTTTTTGTTATATATGCGTATGGGCGTAAAATTAGAGTAATTTCCGGTAATTGACTCTAATTTTATCCGGCCAAGGGCTGTTTTTTCAGCGATCTAACCCTGTTGGGAGCGGTGAGTTTTGGTTAAGATTGTCTCCACTGAAACAACTCCTATCATCAGGGTTGCTCCGCTTATCCTGAATAGACCCAGACACACCAAATATATGTCCAGCATGCAATGAGTCCCCCACATGACACCAACCACCTCTTTGCATGCCCAACGAACTCCACCCATCTAACACCCTTCCCCCTTTGGTCCAACCCCGTCGAAACAGTACGTTTCCTGGGCCTACCGTTAGATGACTTCGACGACAATCAACTTGAACCTTACAACCCAAGCGGGGATTATATAACCGCTACATCTACAACAACATGATTTTTTTTTTTTATATGTAGGTGCTAATTGCTACAGCGCGAATAATTCGACTCCCAAAAGTTATTAATAGTGTGACAGTAGCTAATGCAATGGAATATAAAACGCGGCATTTGATTGATGGTAGCATCCTTGATTGTGATCAAAGAATTGGACTTGTAGCTGGTTATATGACTGATGAAGTACAAGGTTTGAGTCCTTTTACTTTTATGCATCAAGATGACATGAGATGGGTGATTGTAGCTCTACGGCAAAGTAAGTTCACAATTGAATATAAAAATAATATTTTTTTCTTTAAACATTTAATATATAACAGTGTATGATTGCCGTAATTCAACTGGAGAGTCCACCTATAGACTAATGACCCGCAATGGGCGATTTATTTACTTGCGATCAAAAGGTTATCTAGAAGTTCACGAAGAAACAAAAAAAGTGCACTCATTTTTTTGTGTTAACACTCTTTTGGATGAAGAAGAGGGAAAACGGCAAGTTGAGGAAATGAAAATGCTGTATTCTCCAATTGTAAATGCCAAAATTCCTCAAACTTCGGTGGATGAGCCCGCTTCTAAAAACCCTCGACAACTTGAAAAAGCAGTACTTTGTCTTATACAAAATTTGCAACAATCACCAATTGAAGAAGAGGATGATGATGGTGAGTCGTCGACAGAAAGTTTTAGCAACGAATATAGAGCTCCAGACTTCGGTCCAACAACATCTGCAGCAGCAATGCATCGGTATTCGGCTGCTTCTCTCTCTACTCCATACTCCTCCATCCGATCTGCAGCCTATCGCTTCGGCAAATCAGCTAAAACACCTCCACTTGCATTAGTGCCACCCGAAACTTCTTCGGTCAAAACTTCAATATCAAAAAGTGTAAATGTAGTTAATGTCACTGCAGCCAAACACTTACCAAGCAATAAACAAGAAAAAACGGTAGATGCAACTAACTGTGAAGCAAGAGTGAATTTCGAGTCAAAGGCTGAAGGAGGCGAAGGAAGCTGTTTATGCCAAGGTATGAACACAAAGTTCTGCAATTATTGCCAATCAATGGAAATTCAGATAGCAAACTCCTCGCTCACACCCCTAGGGAGGAGCACTGCGACAGACATGCCATGTAATAAACGCAGTGCCGACCCAATTCACACACAAGAATTAAAGTTGCGTAAAAGACGTTTAAAAAGCACAGGTACCTATTGCAAAATTATATGATAATAAAAATATAAGCATTCAAATAATAATAATAATATGTACACACATCGTTATGAATGATCAATAATCCTGATTTAAAAATTTAATCGTTTTCCAGAAATCGAGCACGTGCTTTCGAATTCACTGGACCAATTAGGTAGAACGCTAGATGAACAGCTTAACGCAGCAATTGAGTTACGTGACAAGAGTAATAAATACGAGATGCCTAATTCTAATCATAGGATTGATGAATTAATGGTATGCTAGATTGATACTTTACTTTTGCATATTTTAGATTGCTTATTATCAATGATATGTATTACACTTAAGGAGGAGCACCAATTGCAGAGTAAAATCTATGTCGATATCAAAAGCGAGTATGAAGTTCAAAAACAGAATAAATGCATCGATGCCAGCGCAACGAAACACACGGTATTATCGACAACAATTACTCCATTAGAATCGCACTGCATTCAACAGCAGCGACAACTGCTAAGTGATGATGATAATGATGAATAATCTCGATTAAGCCCGAAACTACAGGAAGCAAAGTGGCAACGAATTAGTTAATTATGTTGTCCGAACACATATACATACATATGTACGTAGGCTTATACATACATATGTACAATATATTATCAATCACTAAAGGTTTCGTGCAAGTGATACTGACAGATCAAAGTGCTCAGAAGAAAGGTTTTCATTTCAAGCAAGAAAAACTGAAAGAATGAATGATACGATGGTACCTCTCAATTTAACGAATAAAATAATTACACTTTATTTAGGCTTGAATGAAGGTCGGCATCAGATTGCCAACTACCTCATTTATTTGTTATACAATACTTAAAACTCAAAAATAATTTATGTATATACCATATATATATATGATAATATATATTTATATATATATAAATATCATATATCTATATATACCATGAATTTTGAAATTAAATAGCAAATGTATGTTCATATTAGAATGGTATGTATATATATGTGCTATATGAAGTACGCTTCTTTCGTGTATGATAATGGCAAATGAGTGATTTTTAGTTTTGCATTAATATATTTGTATACATACGATATATGTAGCTACATAGTATGTATTTATTTGAATGCATTTATAATAAGAAGATTGAGCCACTTATGCAAGTAAGTTTGATAAGTACTTATGTACATATATACATATAAGTACATATCTTAGGTATATGTATTGAGCAAATATATTTAGATAAGTCAAAGATGTTTATCAACAATGTACTATATATATAGGCCTGATATGTATATATGTATAGGCTTGAGCAAAGGTTATATTAGTGTATAGTGTACAACACAATATATGTAAATAAGCAGAAATCTTATTATTGTGCACAATATGCATTTTAAAGTTGATGTACGGGAGTTTGAGTGGTTAAACAAAAGATATCGGAACATACAATTGCATAGCTCTAGATTTTTTAATCGTACCTACTAGATTTTATAATTGTACATAAACTTATCACATAAAAGTGCACTCATTCGCTTTTAAATGTAAAACTCTTAGTACTAAGTACCAATTATTTAATCAAACAAAATTTATTAATAATGACAACGAAAAATGTTGTAGGTATTTATAGTATAAATATTTAAGAAAACGTGGAAAAGACTGTTCAAATACAAATAAATTAGTTAATTAATATTATATAATACAACAATTTGTGGTATGCAATTAATTGAGTGAATGAGGATAAATGGAATATCTGAATGTTTATTTATGTATGTATCTAAAAAATATGCCTGTGTATATTTAATTTAAAATTTATACACCTAGTTATATGTACATACATATGTATACCGAATTAGTGAATTTGTCATTATTCATTTTACACATATAGATGACTAGAAAATTTTCCAAACGGATGATGGCATGTTTATATACTTTAATTTATATGTATGTAAGTACAATGTATGTAAATGAATGAGTATAAATTTTAAGAAGTTTTCTAATGAAACTTAATGTTAAATATATATATATATATATATATAGATGTTAAATGTTTTGCATTTGTTTTAAAATTAGAAATTGCAACTGTAAACTCTTTGTTACTATTTACACTCACGTGCATATAAGCATTACTATATACTATTTACTATAGATTAACATGAGCATCAGATAATATTGTTTTAAATAAAGATTTCATGCGAAGAATTGCAAAACTTGTACGTTTCGTACTACGTTGATAAACCATACAGACACTAAATTGACCCGGATTTTTCCGGTCAAAGGGCATATACCAGGTGAGCGTTAAGATACAAATGTGTTGACAAAGAACGTTTGTTGTGAACGAACGTTAATTTTTTTCCTGTTTAGATGGCATGACATCTGTCAAACATATTGAATAATTTTACAATCATTGAACAAAAAACATCATATTTTTCATTGTATTGAAAATGTAAAATTTTGTACAAGTTAGAACCATTTGAAGAAAAGTGCTGCAGAGCATCCAATGCTTGTCGAGGCATATGGTGATCATGCTCTATCAGAAGAAACATGCAATAGATGGTTTCAACGGTTTAGAGTCAGTGATTTTGATGTGAGAAATGTAGAACGTGGAAAACCACCAAAAAAAGTTTGAAGACGTCGTACTGCAAGCAATATTGAATGAAAATGATACTTTGAGTCAAATGTTGCACAACAAAAAATTTCAGACCGTTTGAAAGCTAACCGAAAAACCGAAAAAACACTTGTGAATTTTTGCTGCAAAAACACGAAAGGAATTCTGTTTTGCTTCGAATTGTCACAATCCTAAACGGAGAACTGAATCCATTAAATGGATTAATCCGGGACAAACATCAATACCGACTGCAAAAACAGATCGATTCGGTAAGAAGGCAACGCTCTGTGTTTGGTGGGATCAGAAGGGTGTGTTATATCATGAGCTTCTAAAACCTGGTGAAACTATTAGTACTAATAGTAACATGCATCAAATGATCAATTTGAACCATGCATTGATCGAAAAACGACCAGAATGCATCAGAAGGCACGGCAAAGTTTGTTATACGAACATGCACTTGTACACAAAACAAAATCGGTTCAGGATACCATTAAAGTACTTGGCTGGGAGCTACTGGGAGCGCATTCACGAGACTTGGCACCTTCCGATTACCCTTTGTTTTCATCGATGGGACACGCAGAAGTCGATAATTGGGTGTCTGATTAGTTTGCTTCAAAAAACGAACATTCAACAACAATCAAAATTAGTATTTCATTTTCACCAAAAAATAGGTGTGCTGCTTCGCGGTGAGAGCTTCACACGAATTTCTCTGCACTACCCATTCCTACCAGGATCGCCGAGAAAAAACCGGTCCCAGGGGTAAAAAGATGGGACACCTCTCTACAGGAATCTTTCTAATACAATACTTAGTAAATTTTATTAACTATCTTCCGACTTCAATGTTTTTGATGTCATATACGAAGGTTTTGAACATGCAGTTTAAAATCCTCAAATCTTCAATTATTTGCAACTTAGAAGTGAGCTTTTTTTCGAGCTTTGGCGACAGCGAATTCATCGATAATAGTCTGGAAATCCAACTTCTTGACCAACACAGTGTAACTAGTCCTAAAACCTGCCCTGTGACGACCATGATCGATGAAAGTTTATTTTTTATCTTATCACCTCGCTTAAAACTAAAAGGGCAAAATATTCTCAAAGCGATGCAAATATTTGAGAAAAGTCTTCCTAATTTTCCATTGAGATGATGTGCTTCGAAATTTTTTGCAGCTGCTTTGAGTTCATCTTTCATATCATGAAACTGCCATAGAAATGAGAACGAAAATTCTCTTCATCCACCTCTACATGTTCACGTTTTCTTCTCTTGTTGATAATCACATCGTTTCGACATGTTTTAAATTCTCTGCAACAATTTTGCATTAATTATTAATTGCTTTCCACTAGTCGCGCAGAAATTGCAAATCCACAAGAAGGCTTTCTATATTCCTAACTTCAGCGTCGATGGTTGCGTTGATTTCTTGAAGAGCCATGTTTCTTTCATTGATCGACTGAAGGATGAAGGAAAGATGTGTTACCCGACGGTGGCGTAAAACGCAAAACGACTGCGCACCACTTGCTTTTACCGACGATGAGGTCCAAAATGTCATCAAGAAGAGTAAATCGTCTAATTCCATCGACCCAGATCGCGTAAACATGTTGATACTAAAGCGCATAGGCTCTAAAAGAGTAAAAAAATCTCACCAAGGTTCTCAACTAGGCTCTGAGTACTCTTCGTATACCTAAACCTAAGGGAATCTTATTCTGATAACTCTCCTTTCGCCAGACACCTGAAGCCTGAACCTAACTAGTCATGTAGCTATAGATCGCCTCCTAGGAACATCAAGGGAATGTTTCTATGACGAACTTCAGCAGACATAATTTCGGACGGAACAAACTTTATACGTGTACTGAACGACATTTCCAGTGGAGCTTATAACACTTTCATTAACTCACTTCCAGTAAATAGATTAAACTTCTACTAATCCTCTAACATACTAAACGAATGTCCTGCATGCAAAGATCACCCGCATGACATTAATCTCTTTGCATGTCCCTCCAAAACCACTTACCGAACGGATAATGAATTTTCAAAATATAAACTGACAATTGATATTTTTAGCTGTGAGACCTACATATAAACTTGGCGAAAGTTAAACCAATGGTAAACTGTAGCCTTCTGAAAATTTGTCTGCTGCAAAACAACCATTCCTCCATTAAACTTCCCAGGTAAAATGGGTGCTTCAAGAATATTTCCGGTGATATTTTCGATGAGCAGACGTTTTTTACGATGGGCGTGAAATCGCTTATCTCCGGACCTGCTCGATCAATTTCAACCAAATTCGGTACATAACATTATTCTAACAGTCTTATGTCACAAGACAAAATCGGACTACAATCATGCCTACTTTCCACATTAACCAATTTTAAATTCCATCTGATTTTTTCAATCTTCAGTATATAAATCAGATATCGGGGCCATCTCGCGTCTAAAAATTTTTAAAATCGGACCAAAACTGTTCAAGCCCCACATACCGAATATGTGGAGCCCAGTGTGCATGGCCGAAAATATCGGTCAATCTGTGAGATATGTTATTGAAATTCGGAGAGAATGTTTCTTTGATAATAATATATGATTTTTTATCGGCAAATATGTGAGTTATCTTAATAAAATTTAGAGAGCATGTTTTTCTAATAACGGTGCATCTTAATGTTTAAAATTATTCAAATCGGATGAAAACTTGCCATAGCCCCCATATAACTAATATCAGGATTTTCAAACATCCGGTTGACTTTACTCCTTATATATTGTTGAGGATATGTGAGGTACCTTAATAAAACTTAGAAAGCATCTTTTATTTCCCGGCTTTGATCCTTGTAAGTTGCAAGTGTATGAAATGTTCAGTTACACCCGGACTTAGCCCTTCCTTGCTTGTTATACAAGCCTATATTTAGAAATGTATATTTTTTATTTATGAATTGTTTTGACTTTTAACATAATTGAGATCTAAACTATACTAAGTTTGATCAAACTGGACGGAATGTGCTAAATTTTACTAAAATCGGTTCAATAGTTAAGGAGTTTACCCGGAAAAAACCTTTCATGTAATTTTTATATACATACATAAATATATACTTGTAGATATAGATTTCCATTTAAAGTTAAAAAAAAAATCAACAATATAAACACTTCTATATACTTACACTAAAAGGAATAAGTATTTTGACGAAATAAAAATCGTTGATTTTTGAGTTTAACGTATAAGAGCTTTGTAAATAATTCTTGTTATCTTTTTTTTTGTCCTTTTTTTTCTCTTGGGCTATATTATTATAATAATGAATATTCATTAACATCCTCTGCTATCACTTTGCGAAATAGTCCATTTTGAATGCAATGCTTTAGGAAATTTTCTTTGTCCAATAAATAAACAAGGTTTTTTCATTATCGCCACAATCATATTCAGTGGCAGCGTTGCTATATAGTTTGCCGACTGGTTAAATTATACTATGTTGATCAAGGAACTCTGTCTTTCAAAGGGGTATCCTCATTACTTTTGGTCGGCAACCGATATTTTTTAATGCTCTTAAGATCTCTTAATTTAAAATACTTGATCCTAATTTTGTTCTGCTATGCATATTTGTAATATATTCATACTATATTATACTTTTAATATATTTAGTGATGATATACTTATTTTAGCACATACGGCTGAAGAACACTAAATTTTGTTTTGTTATATACATACATGTACAAAAAGTTATACTAAAAGTAATAAATGTAAAATAATATATGTGTAACATGTACTTATACTTGTCTACCTTAAAGATGTACTTAATTGAAAATGCGATTGATATTAAGTGAAATAAAAAATTAAATTTAACATAAAAAAATTAAAATTTAATTAATATGTGAGCGTATATTTCTTTTGTTTGTGAAAAAATTATATTAGGATTTCTCGATGTTGTTGTTCGATGTGTAGTGAGCATAATAATATAAAATAAGCTTCAATATTATAATTTACATTCTCTGCTAGCAGTTTATCGTTGATTCTATTTTGTTCTGGCATTCGTGTTCGCCACAAAATTAATCGTTTTTTAGCAAGTTACGTTATATCGATAACTAATATCGTAATTATATTGTCATATCAAATACAGTTTTTGTGTCTCACCTTCATATGTTTGTGCAATTTTCTGATTTTAATAAAATTGGATTATTTTTCAATAGGAAACTAATATTTATATTGGTTATTCCTAGATGGATACCATTCCCACTTGTAGAGCATGCTTAAAAACTTCATTATCGTATGTGGATTTAGAAACTCCTTTCGAGCAAATAGAACTCGAAACACCTTTGGAAGAACATTCTGATGTACTTATAACATACATGGATTGTTTTCGAAGTTGTACACAATTAACATCGACCGACAACGAAGGAAAAATGCCCCATAATCTTTGCGAGAACTGTAGTTTTGAATTAGGAATTGCATGGAACTTTATTCAGAAAGCTATACAATCAGACAAAGTTTTAAACGATGCAATAGTGAATTCTAAGGAGATGCAAGGAATTGATGATTTAAATGGTTTCGATAACAAATATATTGAAATTACAACAGTAGATGGAAGTGTTGGATTAGATGAGCTCACTAAAACAGAGGTCAGAGAGGTGTTCTATATATTTTTAGTTTTATTATATTTACATATGGATATATATAATATATAATTTTTTTAATAGAGTAATAAAGAAAACATTTCCGAAAATGAAGACGATTTGAAGGATTATGGAACAAATCAGCAGTTTCCAAACACAGGTATTAAGTGATATCAAGCAATTGAAATTTAAAATATTACCATTTTGTATAGATATCAGTTCGAAATGCAGTACTGATTTGAAAATTCAAATTGGACACCTTCAATTTGAACCTGTTGATAACTGCGTAAATATTGTTGACGATAATGGTTTAAATGTTAATAAAATCTCAGATTTTGTCGAAAACACTGCAAAAGACGATGAAAGAAAAAACACAACCGTTAAAAAAAGCCCTTCAGCAAACTTGATGGAATCTGAACAATATTATTTTCTCGAGTTAATGGATATATCTGAGAATGATGGAGGCAAAATAAATGTGAACCCCACAGAATGTGACAATGATGCCGGAAAAAACTTAAAAGAAGGTAAAATATAAAAATTAAATTTCAACAACTTTACAGATACAATTTTTTAATTATTATTCAGAGTTTTTACCATGATTAAATACATTTATTTATAATTTTGTTGTATGCCTAAGATTCGAGCAGTTCTGCCATCTCCTGTTCTATTTGCTTTCAAACCTTTGAAAAAAATAGTCAGCTTTCACTACATTCACAAACGCATCCATTTGTTGACGATGAAGCCAGTATTTGTAAAATATGTGGAAAGAATGTATCTCAGGAGAATATGATGGGGCATATTAAAATTACACATTTAAATATTATTAAGTGCAGATATTGCGATTTTAGATGTCAAGAGCTTAAAATGTCAGACCATGTGCATCGTACACATTCCGGGCTAAATAATTTTGTTTGTAATATTTGCGGTTAGTTGATTAATATTTATAAATTTAATGTACCAATACTTTAAGTTTTACGTCTTTACTAGGTAAAATATTTACTTCCTTAAGCATCTTGAATTCACATCTTAAGTATCACCAACGGAAAGAAGCAAACATAAAATCAGATGCGTGTGAAATATGTAGCAAGCGATTTTCCACAAAACATTATTTGCGTTTGCATATGGAAGTTCATCGAAATGTACGTCAACTTCATCAATGTAATTATTGCGATAAAATGTATGTTAGTAAAATAGCTCTTGATAATCACATTCGCCTTCATAAAGGCGAAACAATAAAGTGCGATGAATGTGGTTCGTAAACTCTATTTTCAGTGAGATAATTCAATATTAAAACCAGATTTTACTAATGTTACAGGAAAGCAATTTGTACGCCAGTACGAGTTGAATGTGCATATGCGATTCCATACCCGTGACTACCCATTTAAATGTGAAATATGTGACAAAAAATTTGCAATAAAGGGTCATTTGCGTACACATATGTGGAGACACCAAGGATTAAAGTTGCAATGCGAAGAATGTGGAAAATTATTCACTTCAACCAAGGCTTTGCAAGAACATTCGTTTGTTCATAGTGAAATGCCATTTCCTTGCAGTTATTGTGGTCGAGGATATCCATCAAAACAAAAGTAAGATAAAATATGTGTGCTAAATACATTTTTTGCTTATAATGAAATATGAATATATGTAGGTTTAAAGTCCATCTGAAAACTACGCATCTTATAGAGTTTACAGAGGAGGAGATTCTAAAAGTTACAAAATCTCAAACTCCAAAGCCTTTACAGCGAAAAAAACTAACTTTAGTTCAAGCAGATAGCGTTATGAAAGAGGTTGAAGTAAAGGACGATGAAACCACGAACGAGGGGGAAGATATAATGGTTGAGCTTTGTTGACGCATATATTCCCATGTTTTTTCAACTAAAGAGTTTATCAATAACAAGTTTCCTAAATCATATTTGAAGTAAACTCACATATCCATGATAATAATAATTAGGTATCAATGCATTTTCAACTTAATATTCAATCAATACAATGGTTATTTTTTTAAGAAATCCCTGTCGCATATAGAGCAAAGAAGTGCCATCTTCCAGTATCCTTTATATCGATGATAGCATTCTTGATGAAGTGTGTTGAACATCGCATTCAGAGAGTCCCTAATGAAGTGTTGTCATATATATGGAACAAACTTAGGTATGCGTACATATGTATTACGTAAAGCTCAAAAATTTAAACATCCTTGATATTTCGGCAGACAAAATAGATGTAAGAATATTATTTTTGGAATAAAATTAAATATTTTGTTGCGAAGGTTTAATTTTTAGTATATTAAATAAATTTTTCAAGAATGGATTTTTAGAGATTTACTTTTATCTGTTCGTGTGTCAGACCGCCTTACGTCGGAACGTCACATTAGTCAAGTGCAGTTCTTGTACTGGCTGGTCTCACTTCCCGTATTCCGGCCTGCGCACCACTCGTAAGTGGGGTGTGTCGTACGTTGCCCCGTGCTGCAGGAGTCTGCCCCGCAAGCCCCCTACAATGGTGTCGCCAAACAACACCACAGTGCGACAACCGTCCCTGCGGATTCTACAGTTGCAACAACCACCACCTACACGCCACTCCCTCACCCCTAGACACCCGAGACAAATCAAATTTAACTGCAACGGACTCCAGAGTAAGATCGAGGAGTCAGTTGCATTCATGAGCCGGGAATGCGTATCGATAATTGTGGACCAAGAAACCAAGTTAAACAGCCGCTTAGATTTTCTGAGTTGTGCTGGTTTCACCGTAATCCATCGCGAGCAAGAGAATGGTGTAGGCCTAGCTTTAATGCTGCACAAAGCTGTGATGTTTACTAACAGGATATCATCCAAATATAGGTGAGCTACTTCGTGGTGAAAACCGTTTGATATTTGGCGACTTGACCCCGCACCACGATCTTTGGCACTTCTGCCTGTCAAACGATTGTAGGGGAATGGGGCTAGTGGAACAGATAGACGATTCGACATTCTGCATAATAAATGACAAAGATCAGAATTTTGGGCACCTGTAATAGCTCTCCGGATTTGGAGATTTGGCACATGGAAAACCAGCAGAAGCTCTCCACCGGTGTGAGTAAGCTTTGGAATACCGTCAAGGCCTTGTCAAATCCGAGGAGACATGACGACCGGGTTGAAATCTAATTCGATGACCGTGCCCACTCGGTTCACACACACTGCGCGCCACTTAGTTTCACAAATAAGGAGGTTCGGAGTGTCATCAACAAGGCAAAATCATCTACCATAAATCTATTGGCCCAGATGGAATAAACATGCTGATGCTAAAACACCTTGGCTCAACGGAAGTAAACTTTCTAACCAAGGTTTTCGCAGAAACCATCCCTGCAGTCGTCTGCTTGAAGCGGAATCACCTTTTCGGAACATCAATAGGTCATCCTTCGACGACTTCGAACAATACGCCGACCAAACTTCAGACACAAAAGACCAGACTTCACAGTGGAATAATTTACAACTTCACCGACTCCCTCTCAGTGAATGGTGTACTTGGACTTAAACCACCACCCATCGCAGATGAAGAGCTCGACTTACCACGAGAAACTAGAGTGACCCTTGCGCAACTTCGCTCTGGGTACTGTAGCAGGCTAAACTCCTACTTATCGATCCCGACAGACCAAATGTATGTTCAGCATGCACCAACTTTGCTTACCCAAGGAAGTACAGGCATCTAACACCTTTTTTCCTATGGTCAGACCCCGTCGAAAGAGCTCGTTTCCTGGCCCTGCCGTTAGATGACTTCGACGACAATCAACTAGAACCTTACCACCTAAGCGGGGAATAGATAGCCGTTACAACAACAACAACTTAGCAATAGAAGGTTTCACTAATCTTACTAACGAGCACACTGCACATAAAAGTTTCGTAAGATCAGACGGCACAATGAACTACAGGTTTCAGTGAAGGGAGTTTGGGATCCAAAAACATTACAGCAGTTTCATTTGCAATGATCACAGAAGGAAATTGACTTGTAGTGCCGCGGTTTCTGTCCTTTTGGTCACCCCGATCTAGAGTATTGACCGAATTTCGACAGACGCGTTTTTGCTTGCTTAAGAAACTTTATTAATCATTGGAAGTGAAATAACATAAACTTCGTTGGACCACAACACGAATTGATAAGGAGATACTACTTTGTATTTTTGCACGTCCTCAACAGATCGAAATCTGTAAGTTTTGAAATAATAATAAAGTGATATTATAAATTTTTTTTATTCTACATATAAATTGCAAAAAAAAAAATAATTATTAAATACCTTTAGCATTTTTTTTCGCGTCAAAAGAATTTGGTGATAAATTACCACGTTTCTTTTTATCCGTTAATCTCACAACGAAGTTTTCCAATTCGGACAAGTTTATTTTGTGAACACACTTGATATGACGCCGTATCCTGTATTAAAATATATCAAGTACAACTTCTTAAAACGTACAATTAAACTCACTTGTACATTTCAGGAAATTCCTTTCCACAAATTGAACATTTTAACGGCAAGCCAGTGTGTTCTAAACGATGCCTTTGAAGCGTCCATTCATATAAATATTGTTTTCCACAATCTTCACACTTCCATTGGATACCCTCATGTAATTGTAAATGCTTTCGTAATGTGGACCTTTTTGTAAAAGCCTTTTCGCACTTATCACACTTAAACGGTGTATCGCCTGTGTGACTACGTAGGTGGACTTCTAGATCTACCGCACGTACATAGCGTTTCTGGCAATATGTACATTGAATAGTTTGACCAGCATGTTTTTGTTGATGCACTAAAAGATTGCCTTTAAACAAAAAAGATTGACCACAATCACTACAGTGAAATCTTGGTTTCCGACTGGGATCATGTGTTTTCAAATGATTTCTGCGTGCCATTTGTGTATAAAACTTTCTTCCGCACACTCCACAGTCAAACTTTCGCTCCCTGTTGTTTTCATGTATAAGTTCATGTTGTGTTAAAGTACTGCGATGTCTGAAGGTGCGAGCTAAATAATGTATACATACATACATTTATGTTTTACGAAATAATTTAATAATACAACAATGGTACTAACGGCACGATTTGCAGAGAAAGGACTCTACACTTCGGTTGCAAGAATGACGTAAGAGCTGCGTTTTAATCATTGACTTCCCGCAGATTCCACAAACCTCTTCATTATTTTGTTCGATTTCTGATTTTGTTATATTTTTTTTCTTACGATGTGCCTTGGAATGAATATGTTTAGATAAAATGGACTTTGATGAATTTAATACTTCAGATTCATGAAAGTTTTCCTCATGCACATTTTGAACACAGCCTTGCGAATTTGTGTTTTCATCAAAAAGTGTATTGCTTCCGAAGCTGATTTGCTCCTCCTCTGTCTCCCTTTTCTATACTTATGGTATATGTATATATAAGTAAAATATTTTGATGTAATTCATTTTTGTAAATACCTTGAGATCAACCTTTGTATATTCTTTACCAACCCCAACCCATTCAAAAAATTTCTTATTATTATCGGAATCTGATTTACAGTAATCCAAACGTAAAGTTTTGTCTGCTTTTCGAGCTTTAGTAATAAATAAGTAAGCTTCTTTTAGTTGATCGGCACAGCTAAAACAAAAATTTTCATATATACTCATCGAATGTTCATTTCCACGACTTTCATTATTTAAATTCAATTGAGTGCAGTGCTGAAAACATTCTGAATACGATAAACTTTCGTTCAAATCTTCGATATGGACGGATTGATTCCAATTAATGAGTGATACTGAACCTTCCACCCTTAAACAAACTCGGCACATGTTTCGAAAGAATTCCATTATGATTTATAATTATTCAATAGTACCAAAAATATGCATTTAATGCAATAAAATTACAGTGATTATATATAGTAAACATTATTAAGTCTAGATTTAACAGCTGTTGAAATTAATCATTGTGTAAATCTACAAGTAACCAATCTTAAGATTTTCACTAATACACACGCAAAAATTTCCCACTTGGTACGGGTTGCCTCGAAAATTCTACTACTAAAATAACACTTGGTACGGGTTGCCTACTTGTATTGTAAAAGCGCTTACACACGGATTCTTTTGTCGGTTTTTGTTGGCGAAGGGAAGAGAAAGGGATCGGGCTGTTGTTGTTGTTGTAGCGGCAGAATTCTGCCGAGTTGACAGTCCTTGGCCGGATTAAATCCGGGTCCGTTCCGGTTACGTAGACCCGACTGTCGTGGGAACGGAAGGGACCGTGCTCGGGTGGCACGCCTTGTGTTCTTGTTTGTAACAGTTCGCTGCTACGCAATTCAGAATTGCTTTACATTTTGAAATTCTTGTCATGGTTGCAATAGCGCTCAGTTTCAAATGAATATACCCGGTATTGAAATTCGTTATCAATTTTTGTATGTAATATGCAAATATAATAGAAATATTTTAAAAAATTGTGAATAAGGAAAAAATAAGATACTCAAAAATATTGAATTTAAATTTTTAATAACATTTGACAGTATTAAATGTAATTAATAATATATACATATATAAATAAATTCTAATTAAAATGGAGTTACTTTTATTTTTTTATATTTACATAAAATATAAAGATGCTTTCATATTTATTTCATTTAACCACAAATGATTTAGTTTGAATATCATTCTACAAGTTATTTCAAACAAGAAATGTAATTAATTCATAAATATTTTGTAATAAATCGAAAAAATTTCAGGTTTTTAATAATATCCGATAGATTATGAAATTCCCGTCATACATTTGGCCTTGAAAATGTTAATAACGGGTATTCAATACATTATAATGGATTAAGGAATTCCTGTCACATGGTATACTAATCATTGTTCTACCACTTTTATGGTAATTCTTTGTAGGCAAAATATGAGACCACTATCCGTCCCTTCGACAGTTGGGTCTAAGTAACCGGAACGGACCCGGACTTTTATCCGGCCAAGGACTGTTAACACGGCACCATTCCTCGAAATTACTTTAAGAATGTTATCTGCCGCTATTATAATACAACAACAATCACCATACCAACATACAAATGAACTATGCTCTAAGTGTCGCGTAGCCGAATCGCACAAACATTTGCGAAATTTTTATAATAAGGAATGACAGCTGCTGAACGAACAGAACGACACCAAAAGAAAATGAGCGTAAAAATAATCTTAAATTTTTTCCTGCAGTAAGTATTATTAAGCTACCAGTTTTTAATCTTAAATGTAATTACCCTATTTGGAACCAAAAAATTATTAAGTTTGGAGGCAAAAACTAATAATGTAGGAAAATTGTAGAACATTGGCGGCTGTCACACGTTCAATATTTATTGTGATATTTGGATCGTGATCCATATGGATGAATGATGCATCTCGAGTGAATGCTACACAACACTAGTAATACTAGACTACACGTTCAATAATTACCACAACAGTATTTATTCGAAATAAATCCAGTTTTTGAAACAAATATATAAAAAAAATAGTTTTGCTTTATCAAATTGTGTAATTTTTCATCCGGTTTTTTTATAAAATGTCGAAAGAAAACTGAAGATTTTACATACAAAATGCCGTCGATCGCGCGATCCGGATTTAAAAATATTGGATGGATTACAATAGATCAATATTGCGTTGTGCAGGCGCCATTAAGAACACATCGTTTACAACACTGAATGTTTGGTAAACAAAGTGTTTTGATTTTAATGCATACTGTAACGGAGTTCAGTATAAATCGTCTACCTGTAACTCACTCTTGAATTCGATCACTGGATTGTTAAATTGAAGTCCAATTTAATGGCTATACACTTATCTTTACTTTTATTTCCAACAACTTAACACTTATTGCTCGATATTCGAGTTAAAACTTATTGCTTATAGCTTAATTGCTTTTTACACGGCAACACTCTAATTGGAACTGTGTCTGCTGCACAATCCGGCAGCCCTTATATAGTAAATTTTTAACAAAAGTTCGCTACTAGAACATTCTGGCAACTACGAATTCGCTGTCTAGTTGCTTCTGGCAGTTTATCGTCGATTCTGATTTGTTCTGGTATTCGTGTGTGCCACAATACAGTTAATTTTACTAACATTTTTGCTTTAAACAAAAGACTTTAGATTATGAAAATATATTTGATATGAACCTCAGTTCTACTACATATTGCAAGCACAATGGAAATGGATTCGCATAAGATATGTCGTGCGTGTCTATCGCCCGAAGGACGAGCTCTTCTATTAGATTGGTATCAGCCTGTTGACTCGTTGGAATATGTTTTATCATACAAAGAGTGTTTTCGCATATGTACTCAAATACCAATGAGGGAAAATAATGAGAGCCAATACCAATTTTTGTGCTACTGTTGTGCAAAAAAGCTTAAAGATGCTTATAATTTTATTGAAAAGGCAAAGCAAGCAGATAACGAATTGCGTTGCATGAAGACTCGGCATATTCCAATTGAAAATATGCCAAACAAATTTGAATGGGTATCAGTAAAAGCAGAACAAATTGATGCTGATAAATCTGCAGAAAATATTGAAAGCAAGGTATTTTTTTGCTGTTTATATATATATATATACTTATAAAAAATGTTTCAAAATCTTTTTTGTTCCAAGTGTTGCATTGACGATATACAGATCAATAATGTATGCCATGAAAATGAACATGGAGACGGTGATTTGAAAATAGAAAATGAATTTGAACGTCAGTGCTATGATGAACATGCAAGGGAATTATTAAATCAAAATGGATCCGACGGCTTCTTTAATAACACATTTAAAAGTAACATTAGAAAAATCAAAGCTCATACAAAAACTAATCAATGTAAAGTAAAATTGAAAAAAATGGATGAATTGGTTAATTGCGAAGAATGTCAAAAAACCATGACAAGAAAGGCATTGATAAAACATAAACCACGCCACAAACCTAAAATTTTCCTTTGCCAATCATGTCGTAAGTAGCTTTGTAATACATTTTTATTGCAAAATTTAAATATTTAATTATATATATTTAGCAAAAACATTTCGGGAATCCAATGGATTAAAAAACCACGAACTTATTCATCAAGTAAATAGAGAACGATATCCATGCGACAAGTGTAATCAAACATTTTTATCACCGTATTCCTACAAAAGACACGTACAAACGCATGAAAATGATAGAAAACCAATTTATAAATGCACACAGTGTGAAAAATCTTTCCTACATAAAAACGGTCTAACAACCCACGAACTTCATCACAAGGGGGCCTCAATCGAATGCAATATATGTCAAAAACGATACGTCCGACAAATAGATCTGGATACTCACTTACGAACCCATTCTGGAGAATCTCCATTTGTGTGCCATATATGCGGAAAATCATTTATTCATAAACGTATTCTAAACCGACACTTGCAGTATCATGAATTATACTTTAGTTATACCTGCTTGACCTGTGGTGAAAAATTCTCAAAGTATGACAAATACTATTTACATCGCATGCGGCATACTGGCTTACCTTATAAATGTGGTGCTTGTGGAAAACAATTTCCTGACGCTTATAAGTAAGACCTCTTTGTTTGCTCTTTCTTTTATAACTTCAAACTATACCAAAATACATATTTCCTTTAGAACTAAGCGCCATATTAAAGGAGTGCACAAAATTGAGAAACACGATGACTTAGAAAATCTTGTAGTTAGAATAAATATAACTAAAGAACATAGAGGCCGAATAGTGGAAGTTTTAAACAATCCGGAGGAGGAAAAGCCAACTTAATTTAAGGTGATACAAATGCATAAGGTTCTTCTGCAAAAAGATATTTTTTAAATATGAAATAGAAAAGTTGCATTAAAGATTATGACAGAACAATTTGAATGGGTAAACCTAGAGTTAAAAAACGCAGATATCAGCGAGCATTCAGAGAGAGTTCTGCTTTTCTTTTTGTATAATTACACTTGGTGAAAAATTCCTGGGTTTTATAAAAATGACAAAAGAATAAAATGAGTTATTTGTATTGGAATGAATAAACTTGAGGTGGCCTTATCTAAAACTGAATAAACTTGAGATAGAATTATATAATGATGCTGAACATAGTAGATCTTACCTCGTGATCCCAAAGGAAAAAAACCAAGTCAAAATATTCCCAAACGTTTAAAAAAATTAGAAGTTACATTGTGAAACTTGAAAAAGCTATGTCACAAAAGGCAACATAAATCAAGACACACACTGCTTGAATAAATTGTTATCAAGCCCGTCGTCTGTATATATGTATATGTATTATCAATATTAATTTGTAAACTTATATTTTAGCAAAGATATTTCGTAAAGCCAATGGTCTAAAAAATTATGAACGTATCGAGAAACGTTTGCGAGCGATAAATGAAACATTCTCAACAACGTATTCATATCAAAACTTAAAGACGCAATGGAAATAACCGAAAATCGATTTATGAAGGTTCTCATGGATAAAAATCATTTCTCCAGCAATTCATCAACTTCATCACAAAGGATCTGCAATAAAATGTAATATTTGTGGTAAGAAAAAAGGTCGCGAACGAAGAATTTTTTTTGTTCATTTACAACTATGTATATAAACGTCGAAAAATGTTCACCAAATTTGTATTTTTTGTGAAAATGTCCGCCAAAATTACAATGTTCACCTTTTTGTTTTTCTTTCGTTCAATACCTTGTTTATTGTCTTAACTCAAACACGTATTTTTTTCATTTGATGATCTTGTAAGAAGCTCTGCTGTCAACGCGGAGGCACCTTTTTTCGGAGGGACTGCCGGATGACGTCGTAATGGCCGAGTTTTTAATATTTTCCTTTGAAAATTTCACAAAATCTTTGGAATTATAAAAAGTTTGAATAAAATATTTAATTTTATAAAAATTTAAAGTATGTATACATGCATAAAGTGGAGAAAGATGAGGTAGAATAGTTTATTATATAAATAAACATAACGAAGAAGCATAGAGGACGGAAGGGAAATGTAATGAAAAAATTAATTTCATTCAGTATTATTTGATGATAACTGTGACTACTCTAAAATGTTCCAAAAATCTCTTGAGTTATAATATAAATATCGAATTTCTATTCTAGCAGCTTTCTAGCAGAAATGAAATTTAAAACAATGTTCATTTTATTTTGGATGTTCATCATTTTTTGAAACTTTAATGGTAAGTTCATTTACACGTGAAATATCTTCTAATTTATGCACACTGCGGATATGCCTTCGAATCCTATAAAAGATATAAAACAATGCATTTGTATTACAAAGCAAATTCGTGCGATCAGATATAATTACTTATTTGGCTCAGCGAATCCTTTGTTACAAATTGCACATTTTAAAGGAAGGCCTGTATGATACAAGATGTGACGAGTTAGTTTTGAGGGATGTGAATACTCCTTATTGCAGATATCACACTTATACCGAACACCAGTATGAAGTACTTCGTGTTTTCTCAATGCGCTGGTTGTCATAAACGCTTTATCACATTTGCAGCATTTATATGGCAAATCACCAGAATGATTACGCATGTGAATATCTAAGTCAATTTTTCGAACATAACGTTTCTGACAAATATTACACTCATTTTTTGGGCCTGTGTGCTTTTGAATATGTAAGGTAAGGCTGCCCTTATGCATAAATGTTTTGTCACATTGATTGCACGCGAATTTTGCTCGACGTGATGTCTGATGTATTTTTACGTGAGTCCTATAAACATCTTCTGTAAAAAATGTACGACCACAGTCATTACAAGAAAAGTTTCGTTCACGATTCGAGTCATGCGTGCGTTGATGTCGACGTAAGTTATTTGCAATGCTGAAAGAACTTGCTGCCAAGAAAATCATATAATTCAACGATACATATTTACTACTACTTACGGCAAATATCACAAAGAAAGATCTTTGGTCTATGATACCGCGACTTGTGTTGTTGTAATTTATTTGCCGGAAATAATTTATTGCAATAATCGCACGGAAATTGCTTGTTTTCTTCATCATGTTTGCCTTTCTCTTCTTTTCGAGATACTTTTTTGTCTTTAATTAGATGTACTTTAGCATCCTGTTTCTTACATGTTTGTGTACAAGTTTCATTGGGTAGATCGGAAGCCTTTAATTACGCGTATCAAATGTGTAATAAAAGTAATAGCAATAGTTTAAGAAAACATACCATATCAACTTTTAGTAGATTATTTTCCCCGGGAAAGTTGTCGATTTTGTTTTGCTTACATTATATATAGTTATTATAAGTATTTATTTTGAATTTAATAAATAATAATAAACGTACTTGATCCTTTTGAGATATGCTTATGTATTCGTCGCTTAGAAGAGCCTCCTGTATATACACATATTCAAATGTATTTCTTTTCAAATTCGATAAATTATCTTTACTTTTTAATAAAAAACATAATTCATGGGCTGATCTTTGCGCCTTTCGTAGAAATCGGTAAGAAATTATCAACTCTTGAACACAGTCCTGGCACAAGTAATGCATATCCCTAAAATAAGGTGATGTAGCATTTGTACTTTTGATATCCAATTGAGTACACGTTTCAAAACATTCCAAATATGTCAAAGCATCACCTACTTCCATTGTTAAATACCAATCGCAAAGATCTGCCAGATCTTTTTCTAATAAACATGCACGACATCTATTCCCTTCCATTATGTGAAAAACAGTAGTTTATTCCATGTACATGAAATTAGTATCAGACAGTTTCCCATTGCGGTAAATATTGTGACGAACACGGATGATAAAACTAAATCGAACCGACGATAAATTTCTAGAATCAACTAGACAGCGCACTTGCAGTTGCCAGAATGTTCTAGTGGTGAAGTTTTGTTAACCCGAGCGTTACACGATCCAGAAATTGCTTTCAAGTTGCAATACACTCACAGTTTCTACTACCAGACTCTAATTTTATTTGTAATTGTCTAAAGCTGTCTTGATATCAATTTGCTCATTCAAGTAGAGTGGCAAGTTAATGATCAAGTTTAAACAGCTGATCACATAGCTTTGCAAACATATGACATGCAATTGTCGGGAATATGAATGTTTCGTTATAATCATGGATTGATATCAAAATATATGTATAATATGTCAATCCATTATATTATTAATTTCGTGCAACATTTTGAAGAACTTTAAGCGATTTCCATGACAACGCCATCTAAAAACTAAAACTTACCGATCTAAACAGGATTAATCAATTTATATCAATTTTGACAAGTAGCTTTTGTGATCAACTTAAAAGCAAGTTCTTGATCGTGTAACTGCAGCGTAAAGATCTACTATGTAAGGATCTACTAAAAGATATACTATGTAAGGGCTGCTGGATTTAGCAGCAAACGCAGTTCTAGTAAGAGTGTTGCCGTGTAAGAAGCAATTGAGATTATGTAAGAAGTTGTAAACTAGGATAATGAGTAGTAAAGCGTTAAGTTGTTGGAATTAGAAATAGAGATAATAGCCATTATATTGGGATAGTGAACGAACTCAGGAGGGAGTTACAAGTTAGACGGTTTATCAAGAAATCCGTTACAATATCTTTCAATCGATCATTTTGCTTCAGAATGGAATGTCTTCACAGGCAATAATAATTAGCTCTAATTTTGATTTTGGTACTTTAACATTCAGCTTTAATTTATAACAAAAAATCGACAACATATACAATGTGTTTCTGTTGATTTTTGGTTTGCAGTGTGCATTGCAAGTTAGCATAGTGTGATGCAATCCACGAACTAACGATTTTTTCCAGATAACAAATGCCCAATAATGATAATTTTGTTGCAGTAAGATTTTAACCTATTGACTGGAAATAGTTATTGCCTGTGTATATGCGGCATTATGTTGTTTCCGTTAGTTGCAAATAATGCCAAATAGATAAAGCATTTACGAATATGTGAAGTAACCCTCAATAAATTTTAGTAAATAATTACGTACTCTCTCTATCATGTATATTGCTAATTAAATTAATGAAAATATAATAAAAAATTATGTGAAAGGATTAATATTAAGCGCCCAAAAAATGCAATTGTGCACTATAATTATTGATTTTTAGCATGGATCACAACCAATATTTCGTCAGCTGTTATAAAAAATTCAATAATGCTTAACAAAACAAACATCCTACAAATTTCCCAAAGTTAATTAATTATTGATTAAATATTAAAATTATTACCTCTACCAAAGGGAGAAGTTTTATAATGCATTTGTTGTTCTAACATAAACCATTATATTGTTAATAGAAGTGCACCGAAGCATAACAGGTTAAGAAACTGTTTAGATCACACATGTAAATAAATATCAAATGTCGTCGATATCAGATGACGACTTAGACAAGAGAGGAGCTGGTGCGCTTGTCGACTTCATTAAACTGGGTGCTGAAGATGATGGCCAATCTTATAATGCGTATCAAAAATCAGTTCTAATGAATAATTCAGATGGATTTTATTGTGCTGATTACCGTTTGGATCAATATGCTGTGGATGTAGCTGACTTTAGCTCTCAGTATGGCAGTGATTATAGTATTTCCTATACTGCTACTAATATTACCGGAAAACCACGAAAGTATCCAGAATACGGTGATTTCCCGGAAACATACGCTATGGTTCGTAGAAGTAATACGAAAGTTATTTTCTTGACATTTTTATTTACAGCGAACATATGGAGATTGGTGGGAAAAAGCCCCAAGCTCTGTTCACGAGATTCAGCCACAAAATATTCCAAAAATACCTGCTCAAGATTATATAGGTAAACATTATTGCAAAAGTTATATGTTAAGTATTAATCAAAATATGATTGGCAAGTTATTTATTTTGAGGAATATGTTATTCCGGAAGAGATTGCGATATTTGAAACTTTCAATCCGGGAGCTTTAATTCGAATCTGGGCATATACCATAACCAAGAGCTGGATTTGTTTATGGGAAACTGAAAAATTATATATGCCACCACTTCAGGCCGTCAACAAATCCCGCCGCTTTTCCCCACAGCTGAAAAAAGAGAACTTTCCTACGAGGTAATATTTTTAAGAATTATATTTTGGGTGATTTGAATTTTTTCATTTTAGAACTATTCGCCTTGAATTTAATCATTCACTACTACACTATTTAACGGAGATTGATGCAGTTTTACTTCGGGGTAGGAAGGTGAATATTGAAAGCATTCAACGAATTTTGGATTGTTACAAAAGTCATCAAAAATGTAAATACCTCCTAGATTTTGATTGGATTTTTCGAAAACATTATTTACTTAATAATAAAATTACTATAATTGCTATTAATAGGTTCCATATTACGAAAGTTACAACAAATTCATTTTCGTCCAAATATCAAAGAAAATTATCATAATCATTTGAGGGAATTTTTTACGAACGATTTAAATGAATTCATTAACGTTTTAAACCGAGATACGGAAGTCATGAAAAGCGATGTAACGGCCGAATATAGTTGTACAAATATTGGTTTCAAGGATATGCCGGTAATATACCAAATACAATTATACAATAAATTATTTTTACTTTTAAATTCGAATAACAATAATAATAATTACCTCGTTTTTACAGTTTGAAATTATATTGAAAATATTCAGCTATTTGGATTTGAAATCGTTATTTCTAGTAGGACAAGTTTCCAAGTCTTTTTATGATGTATCTACACACCCTTTGCTGTATAGTGAATTAAATTTAAAACCTTATTGGCACATTGCATCAAGTGATATGTTATGCACTTTGGCAAAGAGAGCAACAGTGTTAAAGAAATTGGATTTGTCATGGTGTGGCTTATTCAATACAATTTCTCCTACAGAGTTTAAGAAGTACGTACTGCATATAATAATATATGTGTTTTAATAAAACATATATGGCATTCGTAATTTAGATTTATACAACAGCGGGGAGACAATCTTATATGCTTAAGATTAGATTCTTGTAAAATGTTAAATGCAAGCTGTATTGAAACATTGGGAATTGTGTGTGATAACTTAAGAGGTATTCTTTTGAATGTCAAGGCTTATTTCGTTGGTTATTTTGAAAATATATTTCAAATGTTTCTTCCCATTAGAGCTTTCACTGCGAAATTGTTCTACAGATCCACCCTTGCTTAATTTCTCATGCTTGGCGAATCTGAAGAACCTTGAAAGATTAGATCTCTTTCAAACTGTAATCGAACCAGAATTGATGTTAACCATGTTGGAAAACAATCGTAAATTGAAACATCTAAATTTAGGTTGGTACCATCAACATTTCTCATTAAATTTGATCCATGATTGTAAATATTTATGAATTTACTAGCATATTGCGGTATAGCTGTTAACATGGATAATGTAGCTCAACATATAGGACAATACAATCAAAGTTTGATCTCTTTGGATTTGTGGAAATCACGTTTTCTATCGGCTGCTGGTTTGGAGGCCTTATCGAAATGCACTGAGTTGGAAGAAGTTGATTTTGGTTGGTGGTAAGTATCAACATACATACCTTGACTTATGCAATGAATGAAGTTTATACACTGTTTATGATGTACCTATGTATTCAAATCGATCCAGTTTACGCGAAGTATCTCTTGGTGACAGTCTGAAAAAATTACTATTAAATTGTACTAAACTAAAAAAACTGTTTTTGGCCACTGTGCGTGGAATTACGGATCGAGATGTGGAGAATATAGCAAACTTTTGTAGCAATTTAGAACAATTGGATCTGATGGGGGTTTCAGGGATAACAAAAGACCGTTATTATGAGTAAGTTTACAAATATTTATTTATGTGATTATTCTAAATAATTTATTTGAATTTTCAGAATTTTAGTGAAATGTAGAAAACTGCAACTTCTCGATTTAAGTTTCTGTGATAATATCAGCAGTGAAGAGGTTTGTTAATAACTTTTCCACTTATCATCAGCAAATTATCATTCAACTTTTTTCCAGATTGCATTTTGGTCTCGAACTTTTCAGGTTAATATTAAATGTAGTCATTTTCCAGACGTGCCTAACGATATAAGATATTAATTTAAAGTGTATTCAATGCATGTTTTTAAGAGAACTGGATTTAATAAGTGTTGAATATATTTACATATATATTATTGATAATATTTAAAATAAATGTTAATAAAACTGCATTGTAAGTTAATTACTTTCAAATAAAAAAAAACTTAGGAAACGTTTTTTTTTAATGAAATTTTGCTTTTTGGTGTTAACCAACAAAATTATCTAATGATTAATTGGATGTTGCATATTTTTTAACTGTTCAGTAAAACAATTCAAGAATAAATCCTTTTATGTTTATAATTTATATAATGAGTCAACTATTAGAATTTCTGTACTAAGTATGTAAATAAATACAAAAGTTCATGAGGTCTGCTTCCCGAATGTATGCAGCTCCTCAAGTTCGCTACGAAATAAATCCGAATACAGTGTCACCAATCTGCACATGTGTGTAGCTTACTATTAAACAATTCGGAAATTTACGATAGTTCTCAAAAAATTTACTTCATATGACGGGATCTAGAAACTTCTGCAATATATGTAGAGCATGAAAATTTGCCTACTCCATCCACAATATGTACTTGTAGAGGGTGATAGAATCGTACCTGCGAAACAAGTATTCAGCTATTATCCCGGACAGAATGATATTTACGCCCAACCACATTATGTCCGGCCCTTCAATTTTCAAGCTGTTCCGGGCGCTTATGGTTACATAAGTGTTCGGGAACCTCTTTTGAATCAGCAATTTACATTAGCTTCGATATACAATTAGCTGATGTAAGTATGAACCTTGTAAAGAAAAACAAAAGTTCATAGAGTGAGGGGCCTTATTTATAATCCCTAAAGGCCTAGGTGTGTCGAAAGACAGCCCACTCTACCTACCCACCTACCATAGTTACAATACACTCAAACTGCGTCTTGAAATATTGTAAAATACTTTTCTATTTTCAATTTTTTTTCTTTTGGAAAACTGATGGTGACAGCAATTTAAACCCGAAATAGATTTTATTGACTTGCTAGTGGAGACGCTTTATAATCTAACTAATAATGAGTAACATTCCTATATACAAATGTGACAAGTGGATTTCGTACTTTTTACTATAAGATTGAAGAGTTAACAACCCTGAGTAATATGTCTTTGCTGTCGTACTCGCGTAAAGTCATCGTTGGAGGTTTTTGTAGAAATGGACAAATTGTTTTTAAATTAAAACTGCTAAAAAATCACGAATCTAAATAAGTCAAAATTGTGTAAAGAAGTTGTCAGGGGATCAATAAATAAAAAAGATAAATGGGTGAAAAATACTTGAAATTGGATAAAATGTGCGAATAGGAAACGAAAAACGAATTTCCAAGAGAATAAAATAAGGTTAAAAAAGGTGGAGAGCCAGTGTGAACACATAGAACATAAAGGAGAAGAAAAAGTTTTACACAAAAAAGGAAATTGGTGTATTAAAGAAAAAATAGTGATAATTTCGATTTTTGTAGTCAGGGAAAGTTGCGCGTCAGTTTTTTTAAGTTTACGTTTGAAAAGAGAGGAGCTTTGGGCAAATACTGCAGTTCTGGTCACTGCATCGCGTGTGTGGAAAAAGTGCAAAAATTCACAAAGGGGCTCGGCCCCAAAATCACGGCCGTTTATTAACTTGTCAATTTGATGATTGACAACTTAAAATAAGAAAACAAAAAAATAAAAAATTCTATCGGTTATTGCTTCATAAGGATAAATCTGTTTCTAAGAAGATATATTAGTCAAATAACTAAATAATTAATCAATTGACTCCGAACAGTTATAGTGAATTATACTAAAATAAAATTTGTTCATTATGGACGAAGACGACAACATATCTAGTGGTGGCGACATAAACAATGAAATTTCAAATGGTCGTGTTGGTGGTGGTAATGCAAGAAGCAATGATATTTCGAACGTTGATAATGAAATAACAGAAGATGATGAATTTGATGATGTTGATATTTCGATGGTAGTTAATTTACCATCAGGTGTCTCTGTTAGCACATCAGGAAACTCAGAACCTAGGTCACAGTCTTCATATGTAGCCGTTGCCAATGCTCCTATTTCGGTGCGAGCTGGACTCGATTTTCCTGATTGGGAATCGGTAGCTACAACCGAAACGGATGAAGACCTGCTAACAGATGCTTCATCTATTGCTTCGAGCTCGGCAATGGCCGCGGGAATAGTGCCCGGTAGCACAGGTGGAGCTAAACCAAGTTTTTTCTTTGGAACATCAACATCATTTAGCTTAAGAAGTCGCAAAGAGGTAGCAGCACTGATCAATGCCGAGTGTTGTCGAAGTGAGAAAACACCGGAATTGGACGCAATTGTGGACAAACTTTTTAACCCGGGAACGCCTATAGACAATGCTGATAATATTGAGTGGATTCGTTGGTTAATTGCTGGAGGTCGCACACCGCAAGAATTCGTAAGAATTGGTAAGTTGAACAATACATTTAAAGTAAAGTCTTAAGTTAAACAACATATTTGAGTTTTAGTAGAGTATCACTTGATTGTTGTTGTTGGTCGCTGGCATGTATAATCATAAATTACTATCTAATGGTTTGTTCTTGTGTATTGTAGCAACAAAAAACATTTCCTAATTAGTATTGTTGCTAGGACTACAGTTCTTTACAAATTCGGAATTATTCCGGTTACGTAGATATTTAGGAGAGTATAAAGTATGTTTTTTGTCTCAAAAACTCAGTTCTAAATGCAAAAATCCATTCAAAAATTATTGCGAATCACTTATATTTGTCTTAAGTAGAAATAAAGTGTGGATATGACAAACTAAAATGAGATTCTACAGAAAGCATATTATATATAATAATATAATTTTGAAATAATCTTTAAATTTTTCTATATATTTTCGTAACAGTACGAAGCTATGATAATCATGCAAAATGCGGTCTTGTGTGGGTACCGCATGTAGTGGCGTACCGGTGTCGTACATGCGGAATTTCACCATGTATGTCAATTTGCCGAGACTGCTTCAAGAAAGGAGATCACACCAATCATGACTTCAACATGTTCTTATCACAAGCAGGCGGCGCATGTGATTGTGGTGATACTTCTGTAATGAAAGCTGAGGGTTTTTGCAGCGATCATGGAATCAACAATCGAACCAATAAAGAGCCTGTACCGCCTAACTTACTCGCCGTAGCAGGAGCAATAATGCCTAAATTACTTTTCCGATTGCTACAGCACTTTAGAGAGCATAGTGATGCAACTTCTCAAACTTACAATCTGGCTGCCTACTCATGTGAAGAATTTACGAATATGTTGATCGATTTAAATAATATGGGTGAAATAATGCGTAAAGTAATGACTAGAGCGCTTATTAATCCAGATGTAAGTAACTTCTTTTAAATTTAAAGTAATTGAAATCAATTATTAAAGTTTACTATATAGGTCTATACATTTTTTACTGAATCTCCTTGCTTGGATACCAGACATGGCAGATTTTTGAAGTCAAATCGTGAAAAATATGAAGATGCCGTTAATCGCTTTCCTCGTCCAGAACCTCCTGATGATTATAAGCATCTCCCAGCATTGGGGGAAAAGTTGGTTCACACAACTCTTTTAGAAGAATTCATTTTTTGGACATTTAAGTTTGAATTCCCACAAAATTTGGTGTGCTTTTTGCTTAATATGCTGCCTGATCAAGACTACAAGGTAATGATACCCTGGCCACCATGCACATAACATATCCGGCTACGATAATCTCCTATATACTTTTTCGAGAAAACTGATATTTATAATTTTTTACCCCTAATTATAGGAACATCTCACTCGGACTTTTGTAATGCACTATAGCCGAATACCATCTGTTTTGGAAATGTCTCGTGATCCAGATACACTTAGTAATCGAGTAGTACATATGAGTGTTCAACTTTTTTCCAATGAGAGTTTAGCTTTGAAAATGGTTAAAGAGTTATCTTTGCTGCATGTAATGATAATCAGTCTCAAACTAATGATGTCAAAAATATTAATCCAAAATACTTTACATGGTGGGTATGGATGTGTATAATAGTATAGAAATAAATTTAATATTATTATTTTTCTTACTAGATCCAAATAAAAATTTCCATTTTGTAATCGATTGTACTCGCCAAGTGATGAAAGATCATTGCTACTGGCCACTCGTTTCTGACTTCAACAATGTGCTCTCTCATGAATCAGTGGCTTTGGTCTTCTTACGTGATGATAATCTAATCGACATGTGGTTTCAGTTTCTGTCCATGCTGCAGGGCATGAATGTGAATGTTCGAGAAACAACATCTCATGTGGAATTTGAACCGAATTCCTATTATGCAGCGTTCTCGTGCGAGTTAGAAGCAAGTGCTTACCCCATGTGGTCTATAATTTCACATTTGCAGGATGGCACACATGCTCATTTAGCCAAAAAAATAATAACATACTGTGTTAATACTCTACATGAATGGCTGGATGCCATTTACTTTTTGGAACCTAAATTGTCGCCGGTACGTACATAAATATGCAAGAAGATGTTTATTCAGATTAACATTTTGTTTGACAAGCATTTTCTTATCCTAAATAAACAATGACTATCTTTAAATTTTAAAATCGTTATGTTTAGTAGATTTAAATTAATTTGTACGTTCGTCTTACTTGTTTTTTACTTTGACTACATTCCTGTGCATTGTTGATTAAAAACGCAAAAATAATATATATTCGACAACAGAATACCAAGTGAGACGGGTTTTTTGTATTGTACGCAAGCAACTATAATCCACCAGCCTTCCGCAATAGGGGTATACAATCCGTCGGGTTATACATTTTGAGGATATTAAAATGATTTACTAACTATCAACATATAACAATACAATATTTTGCAAAATTATTCCAATTATAAATATTAGTTTAATCACAGTATGAAAAAGTGCTCAGTTGATAGGTAGGTAGTCGATATACACTCGTAAACTATACGGTTGCCGGGCGGCTACTATACTCGGCTAGTATAGATACAGAACAGGGGTTTTAGTTTAGAACGGTGGTAAAAGAGAGTGAGAGACAGATCTATTATTTCTTCTTTTCATTAAAAGTAGAATATATTGATTATTATAAATTGAATTTGTCTTCACGAAGTTATTTTATACACAAATTATTATCCTTATTAATACAAATTTTATATTTAAACAGGATGAAATGATGCAAGCGTCCTTTCACTTTCCACTACATCGATACTTGGCAGCGTTTCTTTGTCAGGCTGTCACCAAAATGGGGATGTCACTATCAGAAGTGCTGCCTACTAGGTCATACATATTGCCTCTTTTAATGATACATCCTCTGCGTGTTCAGGTGAGTTGCTTTGAAAAATAATTTATTTATATTTGTAGGTTAACTTAAATCGCATTGGCTATTTTGTGTAAACGCATGCATAAATATACAGTTTTTTTTTTAATATTATTTACTGATGCTCTTTTTGTTACATCAGTCGACACAATACTTTCGCGAGTCGTCGGCGAAGGAATTATGTTGAATTTAAATCTTTACTAAACTTTTGCTCACCATCGGCAATTTCTTTTTTTGGTATTATTATTAGAACATTATACATAAAAATAACTTGATCAAAGTTAACGTAAAGTGAATTTTGATTCAAACTCCGTTTAAAACGTTTTCAGCTCATGTTTTCTAGCCTAATTGTGTAATTTGTTTACTCTCGCAATATGTTGCACAGAGTGTAATAGTTTTGCGATAACTGGCTGGTTGGTATTGGTATTTAAAAAAAGTAGCGTGGCTAGAGGGATTTGTTAAAATTGACCTGATTTTATCGAGTTTTTACTACGCATATTTACCTGAAAAAGAAAGATCTTCATTGCATTAAGATACCTATCAAACCTACCGGAAATTTGAAAATCATATAACCATTATAAAAGGAGTAGGCGTGGTTATTCGATTTCATCAATTCATCACACTGTATAAGGAGATACTAGAGGGACTCGTCCTTTGCAAGATTGGTTGATATAGTTTAGTGGTTAAACTTATTATCCCAAATACTGGATTGAAAAATTAAAATTTTTTTTAATTTGCGTACTGTGTGACCTACAATTTTGAATTAGAGCTCCCACAGAGCCATCAATTCTCTAGAGCAGTGGTAAACTTACAATACGATTTGTATTTTACCTACTAACATATTATATTTGATTTTGGGATTAAAAATTCAGTTTTCATTTTTATTTCCGACTTTACAATTAAAAATTAACTTTTCAATTTGTAATCTCAACATTTTGGACTATAATTTAGATTTCCAACACTGGCTCATTTTTTACACTGGCTTCTAGTAGACTTAATGTCTTCAGTGATTTCCGATTTTCCACCTGACAATATATTCAATGAAATTAAGTGGGCATTCTCTCTTAAGCTAAAACGCTAAATGGTGAATAGGAATGAAATTGGTCTAGACTTTAGTCTAAACTTCATATCCCTGATATAATGATTTCTCATATAACAAATACATTAAATTAACTTCTTTGGTTGACTTTATACTACGTACATATATGTATCTGGTTTAAGTTGATTTTAATATACTCGCACAGGAAGCGAAATGTAGTAATGAATCTAAATGAGTTTACGAACTGTAATATAAGTTAATAAGAAACCAAATATGAATATAATCCATTCAAGGTTTCGTCGAATAATGAATGTTGATCTCAATGATCCGAGTGGGTAACGATTCGTACAATTTTTGAATATAATTTATGTGAAGTGAGGACCAAGCATTTTTAATACCGCAATCTACTTCGTCGGAATCGTAGTTTCCAGTACCTTTTTATTCGTATTTTCACTCATATTAGATTCAAGAATTGCAGTTCGCATGTGCCATATTAGAAGATGGCTCCCCTCACCGTTTCACCACTCACACGGCTATGTAGTCGTTCTTACTGATATTCCATCTTCCGAAGATCATGGAAGTAATAATTGTATCCATGATAAATATCACCGGTTCAAAGGGAACTAAGGAATGCTCCATATATGAAACTATTACTAAAACTCACTTTAACATCAGCATTTGTCCTGATCTTGGCGATTCATGAAAGTTGGATGCTTTTCTCATAATTGCTCTTTACTTACCCTTTATTGTTACCGCCCTTTATTATTTAGACTGTACTCCGACTAATTGCCCAAGAAATTGTACCTATATAACTTTTCGACTTCCGCCAACTTTTTTTATTTCAATTATTAAAAGCTGTAACTCTTCAACCGATAGCGATTACTTTATCCATATTAACAAAAATAGAGCAGTTAGGCAATACAAAAAATGTGGTGATAATACTAATTCAAACTCCGAAGATAAATGCAAATCAAATTGCATGTGTTAACCTGATGACGCAAAGCGCACTTTTCGGCTAAAATGAAGAAAAAATAGCGAAAACCATATAATGGGACATTTTATCACAAGTTTTCTTAGCCAATGATTGTTATACAAAGATGAGAAAATGAGAAAAATAAAGAAGCTGTAAGTTAATAACAAAAAATCAGAAGCAACTGTATTAGGCTGATGAAGGTGTGCTAACGTGGTGACGCGCAGTGTATAATTAAAGAGTTTTATAACTGTCAAGAAACAAATAATATAAACACAATGTTATTATTCATTATTTTGGTTTCAATTTATTTTATATAAATAAGATTAGATTCAGTTTCTAATTCAAGTTTATGTAAATTTGCTGCATACTGATTGATCGAAACATATATGTAGGTTTTAGAAATCATCGAAATGCTATAAATTATTCTACTACATACATATGTATTAATTCGAGGAAGAATATTTTTCAACTTGTTTTGAATTTTAGTTCATGTAAATAAATTTCCTAGAAATATGAATTTTGATAAAACAGTTGCAAGTAAATACAATAAATTTCTTCTAAGCAGTGATTTTGTTCATTGGCATAAAAAAATTGCAATCCAATTGCATTGTAAATCCTTACACTCCAATATTTTCTAAAATATTTATATGTATGTGTGTCTGCTATAGTATATCAATATTATAATTATATAAACATACTTCCTTTTGCATACGTATACATATACTAGTGTACTATATAATAATAATATTTACATTCTAAGTTTGTAATTTAGTTAATATCTTGTGGCACTCGAACGTGTGGTGTAAAATCATAGGTCATAATCTTCGGTGCAAGAAAACCGCCATAACCTTGCCGTCCCTTGTGATATATACCGACACCGGAAAGAGGAACTGGCGGGTTAGATGTCACTTCCTGTGTATCGATAAACGGTACCGTACTCTGCGCGGCATCTTTATCCATGCTTGTATTTATAAAATCTATATATTGGTTATGTCGTGAGTCGGGTATTGATTTGACTATTGTTCGGGTTGATTTGTCGGGGTTGTTGAGATTAATTTTTTGTCTACGAACGAGAGGATTATTTTAGAATGTTGTTTGAGAGTTGAATAAATATATTAATTTACCGCCGTTCCCCGCTCACATCGGTGTTATCATTGGATTTCCAAAAACTATTCGTTTCTGGGTTAATTAGTTTACCCATTTTGAAATCGAATTCTGCTAACTTGGCTTCAAGATTTAAATGCGCGCCAACGACTCGCCAACGCACACCAATTACTATAAATGAGTTGTCGTCTGTGTAGATGTCGTCCAAATCCATTGATCTACTTTCGTAACTGAGTGTATGATAATCCCGACCATTACGCACATCTCTGTCGAATATTTGATAACTTTCAACTGGCTTCCATGTTAGACTCGATCGATTTATATTGCCCCTAGGTAAAAGTTCTCCTTCTTGGATTTGTAAGTGAAATATTCGATTTTGTTTGGTAATGCTTAAGCCGGTGACTACTCTAAAATTCATAAAAAAATTGCGAATATTCTATCCGATTTTATGTAAATACATATAGCACCTAGCGATATTTACCTATTGTTATCCACATCTGCAACTGTTTCACGCAAATTGAAGTAGCGGTCTGATTTTATACTAATTTCATCGCATAGGCAAAAGCAATAGCTACAGTGCCAAAACAGATAGCGCCACCAGGATTCTACCTGTCAGTATTCGTACAAGATATATAAGTACATCTGTATATGGTTGGAATAATTTGAAAGCCTTACCTTTGTAGTACCCCGCACACAAGGAGTTCTTTGTCCAAGTACGCGACCATTTTCATATTCTAGATATTCATAGCGACGGGTACTGTTTCGGCTCTAAAATAATCAGTTTTCATACAATAACCAGTTCTTTAGCTACATGTACCAGTTTAACTTACAGCGGGGCAAACCCACATGTCCGCGTCGACATATGTACAGTGATACAATTTTCCTGAACATCTGGGTTGGCGCGCACAATACAGATCTTTGAAACAGCCTTCGGATCTGGTGGATTGGTAAAATGCACAATTCTCACGACATGTTTCTTCTTTGTTTAAGTCAACTTCATTCTCAATGTAACCCTGTAGAAGACGAGTCACCTCGTCATAATTTTTGCCTTGCTCAAATTTTTTAGGATCACATCTCCACAAAATTCGATCGGCGCGGCGCATAACTTCCCTTAACAATTTCAAGGCGCGTTCTGTTCGTTTTACGTAGTCCATTCGCATTAGTTCAACTTCTTGAGAAAAATTTCCTACAAATACCATCGTTATAAGAATACTAAATGCTACATATTTCATTATGCTACCTTTGCCGTAAATCCGTAACATCATCCACGAAAACTGCATCATAGTGTATCCTTTTAACTCTGTAAGAGCTATATCGGAATATAGTGAATAAATGAATTGCTGCGCCGATTGTTGCGTGTGACATATTTGATCCGTCGATTCCTACAATTAACAAACAGTGAATCTGATCGTTCTCTTTTAATAATAAATATATATGTACATATATAGAATACAGCTTTTAGACATAATACCAAATTTTACCACTCATTTCTCTACTCAGCATATTTGATTCAGTACCATATTATATTTATTTATTTCTAGTTTTATAATCAATTTGAAACAAGCAGTATTTCATAAAGTACTAATGAATCGGGAGACTATTTTAATTTTTTATTATCATGATTTGACCGATCTTCTAATATACTTATATAAATGAAATCTATTTGGCGATAATATACAAATTAACTTGTTCGTGACTGTTGATTATATACGTATATGTATATACATATATAATTTAGGTGTGCACATATGTATTGTATATTGCATGTATCTATATGGTTTCTAAATGGATAAATGTATTCCTGCGTTGGCGTAACAAATACATATATTTAATAAACTAACCAACATTGCTCTATAATAAAGAGTTTGCTTAACCATCACTAACTCCAACTCCTGAAAAATGCGCGACATAGAGAAAACATTATCATTGCGAAGCACCGTCTCGCAAATGTCCAAAATGGCACGCTCGTTCACTTCGGCAGAATTGTTGTGCTCGTTCATGAAGTTCTGCAAATGCATTAAATAAATGATTTATGATCGAGTTTAAAATTGCGACCATGTTTTTTTCCAAATTGATCAATTCCATTCGAATGTATGTGTTTCGCACCTGATAGTAATCAAACATTCTGTCGATTTGCAGAAGGTCGCGTTCCAAAAGACTCCATTCAAAATGATTTAGTATATCATATCTTCCCACTTCGAAATTGCTTTGGAAATAATCGTTAATAAATTTTCGATGCGAATCATAAACTTTTCGAAGTTCAGAACTTTTACTGGGACCCTCTTTATCCAAATAAAGCCAAAGTGACTTTTGAAGGGCGATGTATTCGTGACGTATTGCGTCGACTTGCAACTCCGGTACTTCTACCCTTGCCTCTGAATATACGGCCTTTGTTAAGATTAATCCAATCACGGTAAGGGTGAAATAAATGTTGCAAAGGGTCGACATTACGGTTTGTTTTTTGTTTTTCATATTTATTATTCAATGTTTGCTCAAGTTTATTATTATTTTAGTGCTTTTGTTTTTTGTTTGTTATCAACGCGAATAGTGGAAATGTCTTTGTTGACCTCAAAAAAAAAATACAAAACATTATCAGTTTAATATGGGAATTTATGTTTATGTGTAATATTGACGATGTGCTTTAAAATACTTAAATTTTTGCTATATAAATATAGGAAAAAGCTGTGTAGACATGAAATTAAATAGTGTTTGTGTTGTTATATATTGATTTTTCTTCTTATATAAAATGTAACGTTTGCTTATTTATCTCTTGACTTTGTTTCCATTCTGACTTTTCACAACTATGTACTTTTTGTTCCTTCTTTACTGACGAGAAATAGTTTCGTTTGACGTTCACTCTTTGTCTGTATGTGATTCACTCCGAGTTTTAGACGTTTATTGCTGGTTCATCACATTATTGTTCACCATCTTTACATTTTATAAACGTTAAACATTGTTAAGAGCTTTTGTTCTTCGTTAAAAAAAGCAGGTTAAAATCATATATTTTACTGATTTAACGAGAATAGCGAACCGTATCCATTTGACATGTCGAACCCACACTCGAATAAAACGTAGTAATACAAATATTTGTATTATAAAAGAAATAATTTGTTTATTTTGTTTTAAATTGATGATTTAAAATTTTGTTGAATTGCGCCGTACCAAGATCCAGTCTGTTTTATTCAATTTACAAAGCTAAAGTAAAATAGAATGACTGCAGTGTGAAATTCATTGTGATGAGAGGTAAAAAAACCAACTGAGAGTTCATAGTCGGAGTATGAAAACACTCTTCTGTTGTACTGAGATTTTTATAAAAGTCGGCAAACGGCTGCAGAACCTTCACATTAATAAACAATACGGCTATGACGAAGAGAATATCTATATATGCATTTTGTATATTTACTCTCAGCTGTGATGTGTGTGTTTATTATTTCATTGTTTTAGTTTTGAGTGAGGAGAGAATATTTTTTGTGACTGAATACATGAGTATTAGGAATTAATGTACATGTAGTAGGTATAACATATTTACGTACACATAGTATGTACCTTTTTGTTTAAGTATTTCCTACCTTTTACTTGCTTAGTGATGCCAAACTCAGCTTTAAAGATTAAGACATAAGTATGAAGGTTTTACTTTTAATTTGTAAATATAAGTAAACTCTTTGGACTTTTTCCTTTCAAAGTTTCAAAATTGAAAAGCATGTAAGATAGAATGGGCGATGTTTTTGAACGTTCCACATGGTAATTTATTTAAGTAGCTGACTTTAAATTATCAAATTTCTTAGGCAAATTAGTTATTGCTTACATATCTTGAAAATATTTTACTATATAAATCTGGAAATTGGAATATTTTTTGAAGTAATGGCATGTTGAGTCATGGTTTTGGATTACCAAAAATTCGTTTACGCGAATAGTCCATAAGCATATTAATAAAACGTATTTAAACAGTACTTTGACTTAAATACATAAGTAATGGAGGAGAAAATATGATTAAATAATCGCTTTTGAATTAATTTAAACTTATTCACTTGGTTTTGAATGCACTATTTCCTCACAGTCTATCCATTTACCATTCTTCTCATTATTTAACGCTGAATAAATTGCTGAGTGAGTCATAAAACTACTTGTTATTTGTTTATGCTTTGTTGGCGAGCTTCTCAGATTTCACTTGACACTTCTTTTCGCACTGCCCATTGGCGATTTCGTTTTATATACATGCATATGCACATATACGTGCTTATCAAAACGCTTCTATTAGTAGTTGCCAGTTGACTTTGTCATTACCGATTTATAAAAAAAACATTTAGCTAGATTTATAGCAGATGAGTATAGTTTCAAAGACTGAAAAGTCTTCTCATTTTTAAAAATAAATAAGTAACGTGCAATTAGCTGAGTCATAAGTGACGTTTTGTAACTAAACTAGATTAAAATCAAATACTAATGATAGGAATATGTTTTTATTAGTACATACTTATGTATACCGGCTGCAATCTGAAATTCTTACCTCATAAGTATTTGCTAGTAAAGACAAAACATTCGTGGTTGTGTTCTCCTTTTCCTCTGGACCGAGTAGTATCAAATGTAAACGATCCATTAGATGATGCACCGAGTGTGCATTGGGCGAAACAGTCCATTCAGCGAAAGCTACTAGAGTGCTTGCCTCCAGTTTATCTTGATATGCTTCATACTTTTGCATTTGTTGGAAACGAGAAGAAATTCGATTTATCGTATCCTGAATGTCATTCATTTTAGACATAAGTGGCAAATTTTGATTGATGAATTGTGTCAAGGATTCAACTGCCAGTGCAACGTTTTGAGCATACTACAGAATATAATGTTTATAGTTGTCTACTGAGATATATTTATGTGCACATACATATGTATACACGTACAAACCTTTTGTTCTGTTTGATCTATTTGACGACTCATATCTTTTAAACGCTGTAAAACTTTTCGTTGTTTCTCACGCATTAAGGGAAACTCAATATTTTGGGCGATTGGGGACTGTTGTATAATGTCCCAAGCCTTTAATATTCCCACAGTAACTTCCTTCACCACGTGAATAACGTCAAGCACATCCTCTATCACGGCTGCGGTTGGTGATGGTGTGGCGAAGAAGAGGAAAGAAATTACCACAAGCCCAGACAAATTTCTGCCGAACAGCAACATTGAAATTCTTTATAGTTGCAGTTATTGTTGTTATTTGAATGTTATATTTGTCATTTATATTTTATTGCGATAAATTCAAATTTAACACAGCTTCAAAACATCTTATCAAAATAGTGGAGGAAATCGCGTTTAATGAAAAGTGTCACAATTTTAAAGTAAAAACAGAGGTAATCTACTTAAACGCGTTTTATCCAAAGAGATACTTCACACACACCAGTCGCGTCAACACTTCAGCACTTGTCAAAGGCCATTATACGAATAAATAAATTCGTTGACTAAACCAGAGAGTGGTAAACTTGCAAACGGGCAAGAGCAGTTGTGAGTGTTGTTATCTCTTTAATGGTACACACTCGCTGTTAACATCACTCTTACTTCGAACTGTTTACTTTCACGTGAATCAAGATAAGAAACATTTTATTGATATTTAAAAGAAACTCAAAATGATTAAGTTCTGAAATATTTATCAACTATCGTGGCAGTTAAAATGTTACAAATTTTAAGTTTTTACAAGCCTGTGATCACATATTTACAGTGAATTAAATAGTTAGTCTAAAATCTTTTGTCTTCATCCTTTTACTGCTTGACTATACATACATATGTAAGTATGTATTGACGAACATATCAGAAAAATGTCGACGTGCCAGGAACGCTTTGCTTTCAAAAATAGCGACTGTTGTTTGGCAAAGCGTAAAATGATAATTGTAAAAAATGTTATAGTTTTGAACAAATGTACATACGTTTCAATTCAATGTTGTTAAAAGCTTGATCGATATATTCTTACAGAGTTTCTTCTATGAGATACTGGCTGGAAAATGGGTGCGTAATGGACTACAAATCAAAGGTCAAGCCATGACCTATATCCAGGCGAATTTTTGCAATTCTATGGCGGACATGGACCTATTCTTTCTGCAAATCTGCGCAACGAATTTGCCACAATACTTCTTTTTGCAGAACACAATTGAGCTTTTCGGTGTAGGGCAGTGGTTAGAGTTTGCACCATTAAAACAGCCTCAGAAGTTGGAACAGTGCTCAATGCTTGAGGGATTCTTAACGTTTTTAGCAACGCTTGTAACTAGTCGTACAAATCTCGGCAATGACGAGGCTACACAGTGTATCATTGAGATAAGTGCATTACTCGCTACTGAGAATAAGACACATTCTCAATTGTTAGAATTGATGCCGGAACGATCTGGAAATGTACATACGAAAAACTTTGAAAACTTTCTCAAAAAGCTGTCTGTATACAAGGCTCCTTCTTCGGGTTCGGAAAATTTGGAACAAGGTCTTTTTACACCGATTGATGATGTGTGGGAACAGCACTATGATCCTTTGCATGTACTTTTGCGTGCAGTACATCGGCGGGACTTTCAATCGTCTCTCGATCGTTTTACAAACTATGTTAAAAGTAAGAATAAGATGCCAGCTAGTGGTAATTTGTGGCCACCGTTTCGATTGCCAAGGAACGTCGGCGTGGCTTTTAGTGATCCATGTTGTATTCTCAATTCTCGTGTGTTTCACTCCACTATACTATCAATTTTATTTCGAGCAGTGCATTCGCGCGACGTATCTGAGCACTTGTTAGCGTTGGCAATATTCCTATTAGAAATTGCTGTTGAGAAGAGTAACGACACTAATGGTAGTGGCATTGACAAGGCTGCCATCGTGGAATGTGAACCAAAAAACAAGCATGGCTATCCATTTTCTTTGAGACGTGATCCACCAAAACTTTTCCATTGCTATCCGACTGATAATCTGCGATGTAATTTACGTTATGTCGTCTCAAAGCTATCTTTAAAGTCTCACGAGCCACAGGTATCGCCAGCAAGTTACCGTTCCAATCAATTTTATGGGGATTTAGATTATGATGTTGAAAGCGATACGGCGGCTGCTTTACCCATGATTGGCGGCAGTGATGACGACTTGGATGATGATTCAATGAGCGTAAGTGTGGCAAGCGGAACGTCGACAGCGATGGTGCGAATGCAAAATATGGAAGTGGCCTTGCCTCCAGATCTTTCAGTAGTACCAGAACAAAGCTTAGTAATCAGACAAGATAGCCAGGATGATGATACGTTGCGAGATGCCGATAATGCTATTGAAGGTGCTTCACCATCAGTGGGTTTTCGCTTCTCATTACAACCTATTACATTACCCGAAAGTGGAATGGAAGTGGCTATAAGAAGGGAATTGCAATTACTAGCTGGTGGCAGTGTTAATGCTGGTGGAGGGAGTGGAGGAAGTAGTGGAACATCGGCAAGCGGTTTAAGAAGGACTACGGAAGTTCAACATAATCCACAACAACAAAATGAAATGTTTTCACCCAGTGCTAACAATGCAAATAGCATGTTATTGCCATTTCAACGGGTACAACCTGTTGCTGTACCGATCGGTAGTCGAAGCATAGTTCCCACAACAACAATACGTGGAGTGGTGGGGGTTCCTACGTTGAGTGGGCGTCGAACTTATGATTCGGCTTCACGTAAACGAACTACCCAGTTGGTAGACAATGCGATTGGGGGACATAACAAAGACGAAGTCCCCATCGAGGAAAGCATTCTTTCGTTACTCTTGAAGCTACATTCACAGCTTAGTGGCACATTGGATAGTTTCTCATTAAGCGATGGTGAAGATGAAGAAGCAGAAGAAGATACTGACGAAAGGATGCAGTTTTTAAGCTCAAGTATGGCAAAAGACCGACCTAAGCATGTGAATATTGAAAATGAAATAACAGCAAAAGCAACATCTGTTAATCATTTAGAAAAGGAAAGACTGTCAAAGATAGACGAATCAAGTAATCCATCGTATAGCGCAAAAGATTCACCTTCAGCCATGGATATAGACTGCTTGGAAGCCAGCACTTCTGCTGCCGCTTCTAACCTTAACCTAGATTCTAGTCACCGGGAACACAATCACAGTAGCACGAGTAGAAAGCGAATTCGTAATTATAGGAAAATTCGAATATCCGATTCTCGGATTGGTGATGGCCCCTATTTTATTGGCAATCTTATACGAAAAATAGCAAAGCGTGATGAGTTGTGTGCCCAAAGCATTGACGAGATACGTTCTACACTTTGGCCGAATCAACGTGAAAAACAAGCCGAGCAAAAAGCTCGCGAGACTAGGGAGAAAGAAGATCGTCGTAAGCGCGCACGCGAGCGTCAAATGAAAATGATGCAAGATTTCGCAAATAAGCAAAAAGAATTCATGCAAACGGCTGCTCATACCATGGAAGGCAATATGGACGACGAAGACGATGATATTTTCGAAGAGCAGCCGCGTGAAAAGGAGTACGATTGTATTATTTGCAATTGCACAACACCCAGTACTGAATCCAATCCTATTGGACTGGTTGTATTGGTTGAATCTAGCGGCATTGTTGGACATCGACGTCGAACCGCTGAACGGTTGCCGTTGCCACTTTGTCTCGAAGACGAGGAGCGGTTAAAACAAACTACACGGTTAGCAATTGAGTTTAACCGGCGTACTGATTTATTGAGTTTAAAATTTGGCGAAGAGTCATGGTATCTCTCCAACAATATGGCCTACGAAAATGGTGTACATGTGCAATCGTGTGGCCATCATGTTCACCTCAGTTGCCTTGATGCTTATCTGAAAACATTGTACGCCACACAACGACAACATCAGCATGAACGAGGGGAGTTTTATTGTCCAGTCTGTAGGCAGCTGTCTAATTCGGTATTACCATTGAGTCCCCAACTGGATAGACCAACGCCGATGGTACGATCAGGTACCCAACCTTTTGAGCAGCTTGTAGCTGAATTGACGAATCTAATCAAAGAAAATGTGCGGCCAACGGTAATTACAATTGAAGGGTATAACGTACTTCATTCTTATATGTTTATATATTCTCTTTTCGTCGTTTAACGCTTTAGCAGACGTCAACAAAACTATCGGAGGCCATGGGTCGCGCAATGGAGGACATGACAAATATTACTCATCGTAAAATGAAGCGTGTACCGCCAACATTACGCAGTCTATTCGTCTTTGTGACATCAATTGCTCGTACAAATTTAGAGTCGGAAATTATACAGCGCGGGGGTTCTTTATGCACAACAAATTCAACACGCTACAAAGCGAAGCGCGACTGCATAGTTCCTTTACTGCATGTGTTATCTGTACACGTTCGGGTGTTGGTGGAATGGCCACTTTGGCGATCTTGGGCTTCACTTGCTGGTTTACCGGTCAGCGATTCGGCTCCAGTGCCTTCGCATTGCCTCGAACTGATACCTAGCCTTTTGGCCGACCCCATAGCGTTACTGTTGAAATTTATTTTGTTAGCTCCTCTACATTTAGACCAAGGTAAAATATACAATAAATCTGCAAAAATCCCATTTAATAATTGTAAGGATAAGGATAATTATTATTTAAAACTTAATATATTTGTATGTTTATTTACAGATTTCTTCACTTGCATGGTTAAGGTTATGTACAATTTATTGTACTACCAAATAGTTGTTCAACTATGCGTTACACTCACTGATTTAGAATGCGAATATATAATATCGAAATTTAACAAATCTCCTTCCATTGATGATGATGATACTATTGGCCGACGAAATTCTTCCCGTACAATTGGTGCTACCTCATCGAATATACCGTATTTGGGACGTGCTATGGCGTTGGTATTGAATAACACAAATCGTATGTCACATTTGCGTCGAGAAAGCATACCAAGTACGTCAACGGCTGCTGCTGCCGCGGCAAACGCGAATTCCGCGGGATTCTATGCATTTTCTGGTCTTGGATATTCAGCGAATAACAGTGGTGGTGGTGTTGATGCGGGCGTTTCAAAATCTGATGTCGAAGTAAATCTCAAGTCCATGGAAGCTCAATTACAAACACTATGCTTGCCATTTTTACGCATAGCAGCATTGTTACGGCAACATTTATACAGACATGATATGCCCGAAATATCCGCACCAGGATTGGAGTTCGTGCGTCTTGTTTATTACTTGGAACTAGTTACAGATTCAATGGACTGGGACTGCTTTAATGCTTCGAAGGGGTTATGCTTCATATCTGGCACCGAGGAAACGTTGCCTAAATTTTGGTGTGAGCAATTAATGGATATTCGGCCTCCAACAGATACAGTTCGTGAGCTTGTTATCTTAAATCAGCATGGATCATGGCAACAACCAAAACTTCTCGAATTACCTCGCGAGTATGAGCGTTTATTCACGGTATGTTTTTAAATGAATACTCATACATAACACTCATATATACAAATTTATTTGCTGATTTTTCGTTTAGTATTACCACGAACGTCCATGTCTGAACTGTTATAAAGTGCCGAAAGAGAGCTCGATTTGTTTATTATGTGGCACAATTGTGTGTCTTAAACAAACATGCTGTGCAGAAAATGACTGTTGTGAAGCGGTTCGCGTAAGTAAAAGAGATTTCTTTGATATTGTATAAGAAATGTATATCTACAAGTATATTATTTATTGTGGTTCAAATTTTAGCACACAATTACTTGTGGGGGTGGAATCGGAATATTTCTTGTCGTTACATCGACATATATAATAGTGATTCGCGGTAGACGTGCTTGCCTTTGGGGTTCGTTGTATTTGGACGATTTCGATGAAGAAGATCGAGATCTCAAGTGAGTAAATTTGTTTATTCGAAATATAAAAGTATTGAATATCACGAACTTGATTAATATATTTAATTCGTTTAGGCGTGGAAAGCCTCTTTATCTAAGTCAGGACCGTTTCAATTTATTGGAATCGCAATGGCTGTCACATAAATTTGCGCATACAAAACATACATGGGTATTCCATCGAGATTTATTGTGAAATATGGAAGAGCTATTAAGAAGTATACAAGAATTGGTAGGGCAAATATAATTAATTGTTCGGTCGGTATAAAAATGTAACAAAATACGTATATTATGAACAATGTTCAAGTCTAATTTAAAATATATAAAATATCTCGAAGAATTTGCGAAGCAAAGAAGAATAACCAACGCGTTTCTAAAATGCGTTATATACAGTTAATAAAGGCAAAACAACTTTGCTACTACATTATTAATAAGCTATAGATATTTCAGTTATAACTCGCAGCTTGCTTATGTTTAAATAACGTAGCTAATATATTATAATAAATAGAAAATATAAAAAGGCTTAATGACGATATCTAATAACGTGTGTAAATTGATTGAGTGAAATTTGATAGTTAGCTTAGATCCTATTTGGTAAATGATATTCAAATATTGCTGAAATGTTCTTTACTCGTATGTATATCCATATTATTAAAGCTTACAACAAGTTCGAAAATTTAACAACAATTATAGATTATATAAAACGACCGCAAAACATCTAAAAATTACGTTAGACTTTCCGTATTCACGGATATTGCATATTGTTACTGACGTTCATCTCTTGCTGGGGAAAACATGACATTAGCAATACTGTCTTTGTTATGGTGTGTTCAGTGTATGTATTTATTACACATACACAAATGTTATGAACAATAACATTATTAAAATTAAATAAAAATTGACATTAACGTACTCAATATTCATTTATGTGATATAAATTAATAGCTATTAGAGCATGATAATGTGAAAGAACAAAAGCGTTTTTGAATATTCAGAAGGAAACTTTTTTCCATTTCATTATATTTTTCAATTTGTATTCGACAAGAAAGTTATGTATCGAATTGAATAAATGAGTAACATTTAAATAACAATAATAATTATATTTAATAATATCATTAGCTAGATGAAGATATAAATTTCTTTGGAGACATGCAAATGTATAAATATTAAAAAATATGGAAAAATAATAATTATTTAAAAACTTATTCCATACATTTTTGTCACATAGTTTTACTCAAAGCATATGGATTAAAATCGCATCATTTCTATCGAATTAGTTTTCACTTTCTTCACAATATGTCATGCAGCCAGTTGATTCTAATAACTAAAGTAAAATATTATATTTAAAATGAGGAATTTGTTAGGTTACGAGTACAATTATAGTAAATAAACTCTTCTCAAAATTTTCATTGGTTTTTACTTGTTGTTGTTTCAAAATATCCATTCGTTTCGGGTATTTGGCAATTCCCCCGATTTTAGTGAAGTTCAAATTTCGTTTTTATAAAATAATTTTAGTTTAACTGTTAAAAAATACAGTCTTAAATTACCATGCCAAATATGACATGAAAAGCCGGCATTCAAGGTACCATTCTGGCCCTTAGATTTTCACAAAATAACCTTTGACAGACACGTATTAATGTTATATATATTAAAACTGGAAACATTTGTAAAATTCTATTAGCAGAAAGTTTGAAGTTTTACAAGAACAATTTCAAAATTGATTAATTTTTTGGAAAAATGTATATTAAATGGTTTGAAGCATGCCAAAAGTGTCTTTTTTAACAGATTTTTTGGCATTGAAAGTAACTGAGATTAAATCTAATTGTACTTAAACATAAGCGAAATTAATTTATGAATCTGAAAAAAATCGTTATTAATATTTACTACAACTTTTTTTTATTTGGTGCTTGGAATCAAAGGTATTCGAGTGATTGTCTTGTACATATATTGATTTTTCTATATATTATATATTTGTAGACTATGTACAATTGTTGACATCGATAATAACAAAATGTCAAATTCCAACTGAAGTGGAGTTAAATTCTAAACCATAATGGTGGTATTAGTGTAGGCTACCGAATCACATATATTTGCATGTTTCTAACACTATTGGGATAATTTTTTCTGTAATTCGACATCGAATCGTCCAATAGTTGGGGATAGTAGAGCTAGGCTAACGTTTTGCTCTTCTCTCGGTAGTCGATGTAAATCACATCTCAAGCTGAGTTAATGAATTCTTGTTTCGTCGACGATCCCGTCCATCAAAAACCGGTGTGAGACCACGGTGAAATTCGTGAAACCGGTGTTTTATACAGCATTAATTAAGCCCTTATCGTTATTGCCTCTTTTTCCAAATGTCTAACATCCGAAAATATTGACACTTCCTCACACGGCCAATACATAACTACGACAGTAATCACCTAGGAGAATGTACTAGATGATAGTCAAATTATTTTGCTATAGTGGCGCTATTGGGCGGTGAGCCTAAACTTTTCTGCAGCTAGCAAGAGTTTAGACAATACAATTTGAAAATAAAGATTATTTGGTTAATAATGAACCATTATCGAGATAAGATATTGACTTTCGAGAAGTTTAAGCAAAAAAATGTATCAATATAGTTAAAATATTTAAAATAAGTAAAGAAGGACTAAGTTCAGGTGTAATCGAATATTTTATACTCTCACAATTATCCAGATTCAAAGTCTGGGGAATTCCTTCTTGACAAAATTTGATATTTAAAAATTTAATATATTGAATATATTCAATTAGCACAGGATGCGCCATTTGATGCACTATCGGAGGACCTCTATAATCTTGTTATCTGGTTTCATCTTTACACTAAAACCATTTGATGCTCTCAATGAAGCTACTTATATCCGCTATGCTTAATGTGGAGAGCTATTAAAGGTTTGGTGCTTGAAAACGGTTTCCTTATTCCCTTCTAGATTGCAGCTGCGGCAAATATTGTTATGGGACAGACCCATTTTTAGCGCATGTTCTCCAAATGGCCAGTGCCTTATGTTATAGTAACTGTAAGTCCTTATTTCTAGGCTTATTATACTTGGGCCATAAATGCTTCGTTATCTTGCATTTGGTTATTGATTCCCATCTTCTTTGAGCTATTTGTTCACAGCTTTCTTCAGATCGTTCCCCTCGGATTCGTCTAAAGAGGCTCCTAGTTTGGCCAACTTGTCTGCTTTGTCGTTGCCGAAAATGTTGATATGACCGGGAACCCAAATTATGGACAAGTGGAGTTGAGCTGCCTTTGTTCAATTGTTAACTACACTGGAAATAATAAGTGGGGTCCAGAAGGCAAGTAATGCTGCCTGCCTATCCGTGTATATTATTGCTTTTTATATCCTCTCGTAATTATTCAATAGAACACCATAGGCGTCTTTATAGCTAGTATTTGCGCTTGGAAGATACTGGCTGAGTGTGCGGCCGGATAGAGAGAGATATTTCGAGATCATCGGAGTAAACACTCGCCCCTACTCCACAGTACCAATTTTGGACCCGTCACCCGGAAGCGGCAATTGCAATCTAACCTTAGGAGAATATAGTCTGATTTACCCAGTTTAGCTGGTTCAGGATGATGCTATGTCCATAAACTTTCCTTATTCTTTTATTCCAAGAGTATATTAAGAGCATCAGTCGGACATGACATGACTTAATAGCCCCGGTTCCCCTGCAAAGGCTGTTCTCTGTATTCCAATTAGTTTCCTGATATTATAGTTTCTTTACTGCTGATCAACAAACCAGAGCTCCGTATGTCAGAATTGGTCTAATGACGTCCGTATACGAATACACCCAGATAACTATTGTTAATTGTCTAATGCAGTTTGGTAATGATTTTAACCCTCAGATATTGGGTATATGAGGGAAACATCAGCCAGAGGATTGGAAATCATTATATTATATCATTATCAGCATAAAGTCTGACAAATAACGAAAATCATTTCACGCATTTTAAGCTGTAATTTATCCAATACATATTAAACGTTCACTCAATTTTGGCATTAAGATATTTATATATTGACCGATATATTGTATATAATATAAACTCTAACGGACACACTGTTACTAGAAAGAGACACTCTCTGACTTTTCCTCAGGGGGTCATCCCATGTGAAGACTTTTAGAATTTTTTTCTACGACAAGTATGTTATACTTTTTTAACATATATTTCGACAGTATAAATATAATTTTTCAGCAAAAAATATTGTATAGAACAAGAGTTACATTACAGTCTTTTGTTGTTTTGTTTGTTTTGTTTACATGTGCTGAGTGTACCTTAAAAATTTCAAATCATTTGGTCACACCGTTTTTGAGATAGAAAAGTTTGAAAAACATAGTTTTGAGCAAAGCGCGTGTAAAGTTTTAAGTGCGCAACTTAGCGCTCGAAACAGCTCCTACTTCTAACTGCTGTATCTTTAGTACGCCATCGAATTTTTAAAATCACTTTACTACCGTATTCTAGACATGTCTAGAAAGCAATTAATAAAAAAATAGATTTTTTGAGCCCATCACATGGGATGACCGCCGTAAGACAACTAAAATATTGGTTGTTGTTGAAACGGTTATTTAATCCCCGCTTGGGTGGTAAGGTTCAGTTTGGTTGTCATCGAAGTCATCTAACAAAAGGTCCAGGAAACGAGCTGTTTCGACGGGTGGGATTATAGGGAGAAAGGTGTTAAATGAAGTAAGGTTCGTTGGGCATGCAAAGAGCTGGTTAATGTCATGCGGAGCCTCATTGCATGCTGAACATATATTTGGTATGTCGACGTCGATTCTGGATAGGCGGGAGTTTAACCTGTTGAAGTACCTAGAACGAACTTGCGCAAGGGTCACTCTAGATTCTCGTGGCAACTCGAGCTCTTCGTCCTCTTGGTGGTATGACTCCAAGTACGCCATTCGCTGAGAGGGAGGTGTTCATTGTTCCACTGTGAATGGCGGCAGTGCTTGTCTGGAATTTGTTGCATCCAAAGTCTGGTCGGCGTACTGTTCGATGTTGTCGAAGTAGTCAAGGGATGACCTATTGATGTTCTTAGGAGGTGGTTCCGCTTCAATCACGACTGCAGGGATGGTTTCTGCGAAAACCTTCCTTAATCGGAAGCACGCGGGCCTCGCTGTGTTGGTGTTCGAGTGGCGACATCAAGAGGCATCCCGTGATAGTCCGGAGTGCACTGTTCTGACATGTTTGGTCTTTCTGTCATGAGATGCCGTCAAGCGACTTGAGGATTTTGTTGCGGCTCTGTACTTTCGCAGTTATCGCGGTCGTGTGAGGAGTGAAGGTGCACAGACTGTCAAATGTAACACATAAAATTTTAGGGTCATTGAAAGTCGGATCTAACCCTGTTTGGATCGGTAAGTTTTAACATATTGATCGATATATGAGGTATAAAGTCAACCGGAAGTTTAAAAATCTCTATATTAGGTATATGATATGACCCGACGAAATTTTAAATTTCAGTAATAAACCTACATCGATCAATATTTTCGGTAAAAAATCACCCATAGGCACAGAGGTTTACATGTTCGGTATCGGGGGGCTGGGAAATTTATTCTTCGATCTCGACAATTTACATATCATACCACAATTTATTTAAAGTTGTATTTCGATAACTTAATTGCTTCTTAAATCTCACGGATTTTATATATATATATATATATATATATAATATGAAATTAAGTTTTCATGTTTTCTTATCTATTGTACTTATGTGGTTTAGCGCTGAATATATTGATATCGGTCGAACCTTGGTCTAGCCTGCATACCCCCAATATAATTGCTTACTCTTATGATTGAATTCTTCTTTATTTACCCAATATATTAAATCTCGTCCCCTTAGTTGTGGTTACTCGTATATCTCACATACGTTAATAAAATTAAGCAAGAATATTTCGTATAATGTCATTCCGTAGTAAAAGACTATGGCGGTTATACTTTTCCATAGCACTAAACGGATGAATATAAATAAATATATTGATTTTAATAATAAAACTAAGTGAGTCTTTGAACTGCAGTATATGTTAATATGATATCTAATAATGATTGAAAATATTCCAGGCTTTGATATTTGGCGATTGCGAGAGTATAAAAGTTCGGTTTGAAACGAAGCATAATATTTTGTTATGAAATATTTTTTAAGAATTTATAGTGTCTACATCAATGAAGCAGAAAACTTAGTAAATAATTTTTCAGATATGGACTTTAAAATTACCAATATTAGTAGTGGCGGATTTACCAACAGGTTAAGTAGGCTGAAGCCTAGGGCGGCAAATTTTGAAGTGCGGCAGATTTCGCTCATACAATTTTATGTTCAGAGAAGTAAAAGAAAAACCAACTGTTCCACCGAAGCAATAATACCCTTCACAAGTACAAAAGGTTCCTTAGAAGAACTTGATTCCGATCGTTCAGCGTGTATGACAGCAATATGCTATAATGATTTGATCTGAACAATTTCTTCAGAGATTCTATAATTGCCTTAGATAATGATCCTTTCCAAATTTCGTGAAGATATCTCGTCAAACGAAAAAGTTTTCCATGCAAGCACTTGATTTCGATCGGTCAGTTTGTATAGCAGCTATATGCTATACTGATCCGATATAGGCCATTTCGACCAATGAACAGCTTCATGGTGAGAAAAGGATATATGCTAAATTTAGGATCGATATCTCTAAAACCTAGTTCGCGTATATACCGACGGACGGACAGACAGACGGACATGGCTAAATCAACTCAGCACATCATACTGATCATTTATGTATATATTTGATAGGGTCTCCGACGTTTTCTTCTGGGAGTTACAAACTTCGTGGCACACTTAATATACCCTGTTCAGGGTATAACAAGAAAAAACGTTAACTGAAACATGCTTCAAATATACAAAAAATTCCATACAAGAACTTGGTTTTGATCGGTCCGTTTGTATGACAACTGCATGCCATAGTAGTGCGATATCTGGCATGATTGTGGACTAAAGTATCGAAATTTAGAGGCGGCAAAGTTGGTTAGCTTTCAGGCGGCAAATCTATAAATCCGCTACTGAATATTAGTAAATTTGGGAAACTGAGGCATTTAATGCATAGAATCTAGTAATTTCACGACGAACAAATTAACTCAAATGGACTAAACATTTATTTTTTAAAATTTTAAAAGTTCATCAACAAAAATTATCACAAAATTAATGTCGCTTGGGGATATCTAGATGGAGTTTTCTTTTCTATCTGTCTTGGCTATATTAAACATTGTGGTTTGCTGCCAAATAAAGCTATTCCACCGGAAACTATCAGTCATGGCGGACCGATACAGGTTATGTGTGAATTCCCCTTGTTAGCAGCTTTTTATCACCACAGTCATAAACCGATTTGAAAAAAACGCTTTAATGAAATATAAGATGCTGATTCTACTTTTAATATATTTTATTATGTTATGTGGTTTTATAGGGTAGATAATTATCTATTTGATCTTCGCACCACGTTTGGTTCAGTTTGACATATTTAATTAAATAAAGTGCAGTGAAACAATGTGTATTGAAATATATACATACATATACAGTGAAATTCCTCATAACCGAACGCTCACCGTCATATGTTTTTTATCCGGCTATGGGAGCTATCATGTGGGGTCGTGGTAAAAACTTTTGTTTGAAATGTATTCTTAGAGTTACAAAAATGAACAGAAAATGTAATTTATTAAATATTGTAAGTTTCACAAAATTGTTTATATATAAACATATGTGTATGTATACTACAATATATTCATACACTTATAATCGTATAGGTAAGTAGAATACATTTCCACGAAACGAGTTACCAAACTTTTGAAAAGAAGTGACCAAAAATTTTATCTCCGACAACAACATCAATAAACATTACAACATAATTCTCAGAATGACAAAAACTACTCCAACTACGTTTCCGTTGAGTCACCCCGAACCAGACGATACCAGCGCAAGTTAACTTGCTTGCTGTGATCATTTTGGTATTGTTCTTATGAAAACTGTCGCGAAACTTCACAAATTAATAAGAATTAAACGGAATAAAAACGGAAACTACAAATTGTACACAATTTTCATTCCACATTTTATGTACTCTTGTGTATTTATCAGAGATAATTTGAACGAAATATTGGCAAAATAGTGTCCGTGCCCGGTCATTAGAACGTTCGGTTATAGGAATTGGTTTTTTAGTTTTGTATGAAAATATTAATAAAAACGTTGTATTCATGAAATGTGTCCACTGTTTATGGGAGCTGTGTGATAATAATTAAATTTTTATTGAATTAAATATATTTTTTTATGCCCAAATTTTAAGTGCACTTATAGATTTTGAAAAAAATGATTATTGCATTTAAAAAAGTTAAAATTGAAGACTTTAAATATCTGTAGCATTCTTGAAATTTCAGTTTATAGTTTTATATATGTAATTTACTAAACAAAAATTAAAATAATGTTAGCTTTTTTGTCTTTTTCTAAGTATGTTTGGTTGCCACGATCGCAAAATATTTAATTTATGTATATAAAATATTCGCCGCATTAATAAAACTAAATTGAATATCATACACCCTGTTTTTAACTCGTAAATATATTCGTTGAAGTATAAGTTTTATGAATGCATGCAAGGGTGTCAGCAATACGTAGAGGGTTTATCACAAAAAGAAAACTAAAGGAGGATAAATACATGACCTAGGTGGCCGATGGACGGACCCGTATCTTGATACGATTAAGTAACCAAAGGGTGGAAAGCAAAAAGGTTACTCCATATTAAAACCAATTTTGGTTATATATTATACGTACCCGTTAAGTTCTGGAGCTAAAGTTCGACAGGTTTTAAACATTTGTTGGATGGTACCTCGTATAAGTAAACTGAACATAAATATTAGCTCTAAAAAACAGCCTATACATATTTCACTTAAATTCAGCATCTGTCTGAATTTGTTCACCTATCAGTTATTCATAACACTTAAAAATAATTAAAATAAATTTATGTTATATAATTTATATTTGTATTTATAACAGTGATAAGGATGGCGAGACGAGTTGAAGCGAATTTCTGTCTGTCCTCCGCATGGGCGAAATCGGACCTTTGATACGCCCGAAAAATGTCGTAAATATAAAGCTATAACATTGCATAACTAAGCCATAAATCAAGCTAGAATAATGAAATTTTATATAGAGCATGGTAGGTATCCTTGCCATCTGTAGTTTAAAATATTTTTTAGAAAGTGGACGTAACTCCTCTCCCTAATAGATTTAATGGACGTATATCAACCAAACTTGCTAGAAACAATTGCCTGTAGAATTTCATCATACAGTGTGAAATCGCATAAAAATCACACGTACTCCTCATATAACGGTTATGTTGAAAACTATTAAAAGTGCGATAACTCACTAAAGAAACACGTCAGAAGCATTCAATTTCACAGTAAAGATAATCCCCAATAGCTTAGGGACTTGTTGTCGAATAAAAAAGAAAATAAAATTAGCACAGACCTAGCCCTAGCCCCAATGTACCTATACAATATAGTGATTTTGCCTAATCTGCTTAGCTTGACACTGTTTATATTGATCAATAGGTTTAATATTGTAATGAATTTAAGTGGACATGAATGATATTTATTGTTCTAGTTCAGTTACACCCGAACTTGTTTAGTATAAAGTTTTGTTAGCACCTGAAAATGAACCCCTCTATAAGAATTGAAGCCATGTTTTGATGGGATTAATAAACATGTACTTAAGAGTATAGTATTGAATATGTGGAAGTATTTACAAAATATATACAATATCGCATATTCATATACCATATACCATATACAAGTAAGCACATATGTATGTAGAGGTTGGCCAGCGTCGGAGGCGCCATGAATACTTGTATATTATTTGCGCTCTTTGGAACACTGTGGATAAAATAGTAAAGAAACCGGCAAATTGTATTTACTCGATTGTTGGGAGCGGAGCACGATCGTGCGCTCTGTCTCGATCGCTTGTTCTCCCCTTTGTATACGTATTTATGTTTGTTTTGAGTAACCATACATACATAACTTTTTGAATGCTTTAAATTAGGCACTTCTGTCTATTTTAACTCAGTACGATATTGGATCCCGATGAAAATTATCGAGATTGGACGCAAGCGTCGTCGCGACGGTATAAATGAGAGTGACAGTGACAGTGACAGTGACCGTCGGTTAAAGCAATACAGAACTCAGTCATAAATTTTAAACTTTACACCGAATTATTTATTTTTCCTATCATTTGTGCATTAAATTGAAACTGAAATTTGCTGAAGCAATGTTAAATGTAATGCAATGCAAGCAATGTTAAATGTAATGTCCGGGAAGTAGAAGGCAAGAGCGTTGTTAGCGAAAATCCAAAGTGAATCAGTATAAACACGTCATATAAAAAATGTTGAGAAAGCCAAGTACATATATGAACACATTTTATATATTATTATAAGTATGTGTGCATGTAAGTATGCATGTGCGTACGACACTGTTTGAGCGTATTTTTTTGTGTCAGTATGTGACTGGGGTCAATCCCTTCTAAATAAAAAATATATTTGTATGTACATACATATGTACAAGTATTCATATAAATTCATCAAAGTAAGAAAAATGAGAACAAATTAAGAACTTTTCGTATAAAGTTTGGGAAATAACTAAAGTTTAAAAAATATTTAAAATTACCACACATTACATATAAAGGGGTGACAAGTCGTAGGAGTAGAATTGCGGCGGAAGGGTTTTTATTAATTTTTCTTTTATCTGAAGAAATCGGAGACAATCTGAACTAAGGCTGTTAAACCGAAATTTATTTAATTATTAGTATTACAACTCAAAAGCACTCCTTATTGGATAAGTTTAAAAAGGAATAGAGGTGATATGAAAAATATTCGGAAAGTAGGTATTGGTTTCTACTTCGACATGTTTTGTTTTTCAGTTTCAAGTTCGATACAGAATGATGAAGCAGGGCATGCAGATAAATATTATGTTGTATTTAATAACCATACTACAATATTAGTATTAAATCCAGTATGGATGGAACCTCCAAGTTTCATCGAGATATTTTGATTTTTATTTAATTTTTCCGGTTTGACATTCGGAAATCAATTTGTCTCATCATCCAAAACACAACAGACGGAAGATTTTATTTAGGTAAGGTTAAGATGTCGATCCTAACAGGGATCTCATTTGGACAGCTTGGAACGCTGGTCCGTTGTGGTACCTAAAAAAACTTCTATATACTAGAAAAAAGCGCTTTGAGCCTATCACAAATTTATTGAGATGGCTATTGCCAGTTTTGGCTATGTCACTTTGCCTACTTCGTACTAGTTCTGAATCAGAAAACATATACAAACTTTCAGTGCAAGGATATTACAATGTTAATTTCACCAGTTGATTGCAAGAAAAAAGAGCATGAAAACGAACTAATAAGTTTAGATCATTTTGTAATAGTGCATTTCCGCATGGGTATATTTAAAACGCACATGGTCGGTCCATATTGTTACATTACTATAGTACACTTTGTGTACTTCATTCACAAAATCTATTGAGCGTATGAATGAGCATATCAGTATATTTATAATACTTATATACCATACGTATGTACATAGTAAATACTATAGCTGCCTGAAGCATAACGAAAACGTAACGAAAGAGTGAATTAAAATTAAAAAGTTGTTTTTCGTCCGCAGTTAAACAATGTGGTATTGCATTACCTATATACACCCATACGTACATAAACTATGAATTAAAAACGAATAAAAAGACATATATATTATGAATTCATAACAATTCATTAATTTAGCGTCAACTAACGATTTTCGAGCGAAGCCTAAAAGGGTTATTGAAGATATTGTAGTGCGATCGCCTAAAAAATTATGATTTTTGGTTATTTTTTTTAAAGAAGACTGAATGCAATGTTTAAAAATTTCGAAAATATATGTATTTATATTATATACGATTATTAAATATATAGAAAATTTTAGCGAGTTATTCGCTATCTCCGAAGTATCTAAAGAAAGTGTTTCCCTGCTGCCGAGATTTTATTAAAATTAACCAAATGGCAGAATTTGATAAAATGTCAAATTTTGCTCAAAAATTACATTTTTCATACAAACGAAAGATTGTCAGAGAGAAACAAACTCAAAATAAGCAGAAAAACAAAAGCGATCAGATGATTTGTCTTCAAGTTACAACTTCTAATTTTAAAAATATGTATAGTTATGAGAAAAACGAGTTCAAAAATAAATTTATTGATTTTAATATACCATTTTAGACAGCTGTAACTCAAAAAATATTGGAAATATTCATTTTAAATGTTAGTATTTAAATTTTTTAGATATATACTATGGAAATATGCGAAAAAAAGTTTTTAAAAATTTCCACTAAATCTTCCCTTTAAATAATACCAATAATAAAAATAGATCTAAGCAGAGAAGAACTTATGTTTGGAAATTAGCTCTCCGCCATTAGTCGAAAATGATATCGCTTTAACTAATAAATATGATTTTGATTTAGCAAATCCAAATTTGCATCATCTTCAAATCGAATTTCTGGCCGGCTTAAGCATTAAAAACCAAAGCAGACAAAGATGATTGCAGCGCTCGTTCGAATATGCGGGGGCCAACAGAACTGAGCGTTGGCGTCAGACTTTAAGTGTATGTATACGGCAGGTGCCAAATGCAAATGTGGGAGCATTTACTGTGAAGCATTGCATGTCATAATATGAGGATTATTCTTTAAAGGTGATGTGCTTATTTGATGTATTACCCACTTTTACTGACGTTTGTTGACTATTCATTTTTAATTGTTTTATTGTATGATATATTCTAAACAAACATTGATATTATTCTCAAACTTAAATTATTAGTTGATGTCTGTTAAGGTAAGATCGAAAACTATTGATTTATATGCAATCTCGAAAAATAAGTATGAGAATGAGCAAGTTGAGCCTGTTTTCACGAGTTCGTTTGCTCAGTGTACTGTGGGAAACAATAAGCCCATGACGCGCTTGATATACATACATATGTACATACAGCTAACTATCAAAATTTGTTGAAATCAGTTATAAGTCTATACTCATATCCATCTGCCATATAACGGGTTGTAAGTTTAAACACGATAACAATAGATGAAATAGAGACACACATTTAAACATACTATGTCGTAGTTGAAACCCTTAAAAATGTTTAGACAGTTAGCTTCGTATGTATTGTTAAGACAAGAAGAATGAAACTCAAACTTTAATTTTCTGGTGCAGAAATACATACTAGTATATTGAAAAAATTCTCAATCATGCTGATGCTCATAAGCGATAATGCAACGGTTTTTTCCACATTTGCCCATATGTACATATGAATTAATTATACTCTCGCAACATGTTAAAACAGAAAGTATAATAGTTTTGTTTGCATCACCTAAAACTAATCGAAATAGATATGGGGTTATACTATATACATATATAAATATCAGGATGATGAGACGAGTTTAAGTCCGAGTGACTGTCTGTCTGTCCGCTGTGCAAACAATAAAAGTAAAAAAAGGACTAAAAGTTATGTTAAGATGTCTTAATGAAAATTGGTACATGTGTTACTTATTGCAAATGGGCGGAATCCGGTCCTTTGTCTACAAAGTGTCGTTAAGCGAAAACTTATAAACTGCCATAACTTAGCACTAAATTAAGACACAAAGCTGTAATTTGGTACAACAGATCATACTGTGAGCTAAAGATTGCTTAAAAGTAAGTGTGACCCCGCTTTCTAATGAGTTTTTAACCGTTCCATTTGTGGAGTTAGAGAGCATGCAGAAAATATCATGAACATATCACTTGGCATATCGCTTACACATACAAATGTACGGACGGATAGACAGATGGACCATAAATCAATTATGCCCGGCCTTATCATTTCAGTATATGATATTATGTATCTATCTCGATTGATTTTGTGTTTTACAAGCAACGGTTAAGAAAAAATAGAAACATGAAATTGTAATGTTATGGACATTGACATGGGTAAAGGAGTATTGACTTTATTTTGATATATAATATTTCAGTTGTATCCTCAGTGCTATTAAGAATTCTTAGAACATGTTGCAGTTGATGAAGTTTTAAGTGATGCACACATTGCCATGTTTAAGTTAATTAGCAAAGTTCAAGATTTTATTGATAACGGTTAAAGTGGTTGAAATAAATATCCATTTGTGTTAATAATAAGGAACCCTAACGTAAAAAACACTTATGTTCAATTGTCGTTATGAAATCGATGAACCGATAGACACAATTTTTCCACAATTAGAATGGAGCTGTTCATCTATATTGTACCTTCAATTCTACAATGGTTGTGTATTTACGGACCCGCGACAGCCGATCATTTATACGGTATGTATCCTTACATCTGAATGTATCTTGTTTTCGTTCTAATTATGTTGATTTAATGCCCTTCTTAATTTCTTCTTTGCGAATGTCACTAATACCTTGTAAATATTTACGTAATTTTTAATGCGATTAGGTCTGCATTCCGACGAGTTAAAATCGGGCACAATTGTTATTCCAAAACGAGTGAATGAAAACGGCAGTTTTTTAACTTTCGATTTGGCGTATCGACATGATCAGAATTATCATCATGAACATAGCCGACGCCGGCGAAATATTGCTAAAACTCTCAGTAAAATTCATTACCGGTTGGATATGGATAACGGAACCATGCATCTTGATTTAGAGTGAGAATTCAAATAATTAATTTATTCAATATTTAACTTGTTTTACATATAATACATTTATCGATATAATATATCTGCATAACATTGCATATTGGTGATTATCATCATAAATGTAGACCTCATACTTATTTTCTTGCACCGAGCTTGATAATCGAGAGGCATCGGCGCGATATTCGTACGCGTCAGACGGCTGTTCCAAACACTGACTGTCATTTTCATGGAAAAGTACGTGGACACGAGGACTCTAATGTGGCGATATCAACTTGTGAAGGATTGGTGAGTTTAACTCGACAATAAACAACATTACATATCATATTTGCATATATTATTGATCTCCTTTTCGCTGAAGAGTAAAGGCTATTCATAAATGTAGCTGCTTTTTTAAAAAGGACTTTTTTAGTTTTAATGGAGTCTAAATCTAAGTACTACTGATATAAGTTTGTCGAATATGTATTTTTGAAAAAGTGACAATTTTAAATCAAAAATTAAAATTAAAAATTTTCTTATATGAGACATGATTTAAAAACAGTCGAAAAAATTTCCGTGAAGAATACATTTCATTAAATTAATTGTATTTTATTTAAAATACTAGGTTGGTCATATAAAGACGAAACGTCATGAATACTATATTGAGCCTTCGAAGAACGATCCAGCTGACAATTCAAATGGGCATCCTCATGTTTTATTTCAAAGATCGTCTTTGAAACCAAAGGTAAAACGAAAAAAAGTGTGTAATGTATAAGTATACTCGTATGTACTACTTCATTATGAAATAAACCGCATCTGCTTAACAATGAATTTAATACAAGAGAGATTGTTGAGTAGTTAATTGCACTTTTCAGAAGCACTACGCAAACTATAAACAGCGAGAAGAATTGATTAGCAACTGCGGTACTAAGGAACCGAAAAGATATAGTGGGACACGTCTAGAATGGCAAGCGCATGGGAAAGTATGAACAATCCAATTGTAAACAATTATACATATGTATATATTTCATTTAAAGAACAATTCGATATTTAGGCTGAATTTATGTTTAAAACAATATTACTCCAATATAACATTGTTTTTAAATTTCTACCTAACAATAAACATAATTGTGAACCCCCTATATGAACGAATATATGTACATCTTCCAAGGTTAAAATTCAAGGCGGTCGAAAGTTAAGACACAAATATTCATTCCGCTCATACCATCGCCATCACCAACATTCAATACAATGCATACAAGGAAGATATCCTAGGAAGTTGAATCAGTCTTCACGAATTAAATTCAAATATGAGACAGCTTCAGATGACATTAATACAGTCGGTGGCACCAATTTTCCGTTTGATTCCACGTTGCAAAGTCGTACTGTTACCACAGACGATGAGAGAATCAATATTGACAAAAACATTGTAAATACGAAGGACGTGAATCGCAGAAAACGTTCCATTAGCAGTCCACGTCATGTAGAAGCGCTGATAGTGGCGGATGCAACCATGGTCGCATTTCATAGCAAACTGGAGACATATATACTCACTATAATGAATATGGTATCGGCGCTTTACAAAGACCCCAGCATAGGCAATTTAATTGAAATTGTTGTCGTCAAAATTATTTTGTTTGAGGAGCATGAAGCTCATCCCGATTTAAATCTTACGCAAAATGCGCAAAAGAATTTGGATAAATTTTGTAGGTGAGTCATTAGAAAACGATTGTTTGAATCGCACATGTACCACTTTAAAATCGTCAATGCCATCATATTCATGTAGTTCTAATTTCTATTGGTTTTTAATTGTTGTTTACGAACAAAATATTGTAATTTGGAATTAAAGGTTTCTTTACCTGATGGTTTTTTAAAGGAACCCAAATATATACTTATGAAGGCACACGTCTATATAGGTTTCCAGATGTACTTAGTGTATTGTTGTTGGTATTTGTAATAGTTTTATAATAATTTACTTATGCAATAAAAAAATGTTCGTTTACCACCACACCAGATGGCAGCACAAATTGAATACGGCCAATGAAAATGATCCATATCATCATGATGTTGCGATACTTATAACGCGCACGAATATTTGCGGCAACAACTGCATGTGAGTAAGATGTTAAAGTTGATTGGGTAACGTTTGCGTTTGGCTTGCTTACTAGATTTTGTTTATGTTTTTGTAAATTTCTAGGACCCTCGGTTTGGCCAATGTGGGTGGTATGTGTAAGCCGAAGCAATCGTGTAGCGTTAACGAAGACAATGGCATCATGCTTTCGCATACGATTGCACATGAATTGGGACACAAGTACGTTAAAGTTGATTTTGATAAAACTATTATTATTATTATTTTTTTGCAAACAGAATTATAGTTTTGTTCACCTCAACGGTTGTTTGTATCACCTAAAATGAATCGAGATAGATAAGTCACAAGATATATGTACATACATATGTATGTATGTATATATTGGTGCGCAACTATGTAAGTTTTAGCGGTTTTTTTTATGGAAATGCAATTTTATTGTAAGGAAATAGTTACAAATAAATTATTCGAAGTAATGCCCATCTTTCTGACAAATCTCGAACACCTTACGGTAAAACTGTTCATCTTGTGATGCTATCCAAGAATCAAGCTATTTTTGGTTCCGTCTTGTGAGTGGAACTGCTTCTGAGCCAGACCATCTGTTATCGAGTGGAACGAATAATAATCGGCAGCTTTGTTTTTTACAGCACATGCAGTCGCTTTGAAATGGCTTGGCGGGTGACTCCCAATGCTGAAACAAACTATTCTTGCGTTTGACATAGATCCTCATCGAGCAACGTCTCCGATTCACCGTCTTCGATGGTGTTTAAGATCGAAATCCCCGTCTTTGAAACGACAAAACCAATTACGTGGCAGCACATCCACATAAACAAAGTCACTAATGTAGAAACGCAGTTTCTTTTTCAAATGTCTAGGAAAAGTTTATCACATTTTGGATATATCAAAATAGATCACCACTAACTGATGGAGCCATCTATTGACAGACAGCGGGAACTTAGTGCGCACTAATAATACATAAATGATCAGGGTGGTGAGACGAGTTGAATTTCAGGTGACTGTCTGTCCGTCCGTCCGTGCAGCCGAAACTTGAGTAAACATTGAGATATCGCGATGAAACTTGGTACACGTATTCCTTGACACCCAAGGAGGTTGGTATTGAAGATGGGCGAATCAAACCATTGCCCCGCCCACATTTGCCGTTAAACGAAAACTTATAAACTGCTATAACTAAGCTCCAACTTAGTACACAACTCTGTAATTTAGTACAAGGGATCGTATTAGTCTGTGGGCTGAAAGTTTTCAAAATAATAGAGTTAATGTTCATATCTTACAAACCGTACGAGCTATATGGACCGATATGTAAATATGGGTGAAATCGGAACGAAATGCCCAAATAGCGGATATGTTGAAAACTGTTTAAAATGCAATACCTCTTTAGGTGAAATCCCATATCTTATTATTATTATTCCGACAGGATCAGTATGGTATAATTTTACTCTTATTCATTTATAAGACGGATAGAAAATTTATAACTTGAGTATAAGTAAAAAGTATTTGTACATATAAATTCTAATAAGACTTTATGCTTACCTGTTTACCATCTATCGTAGTTTCGGCATGTTCCACGATACAGCGAAAACTGGCTGCCATCCTCGAGTAGGTTCAATAGTTCACATAATGACACCGACTTTTGGCGCAGATACTTTACAAGTTTCCTGGTCGAATTGTAGCCGGAAGTATATTACACAATTCCTCGAGTACGTGTGTAGCCTTCGGATTTTATTCACTGTTCATTTATTCGTATTAATACCACTACATTTGGATTTACAGTCAAGGTTTCGGCGACTGTCTAGATGATGCACCCACTCCCAAACGAAAATATGTTTATCCAGCCTTACCTCCAGGAGTACTATTCGATGTCGAAACGCAATGTCGTCTACAGTTTAATCTAACGGAAGCCGACGTCAATGCATCGTCGTGCACATCTATGGATGAAATTTGCTCAACATTGTGGTGCAGAGTCAATGGCGAATGCATAACAAACTTGCGTCCTACAGCGCCGGGAACAAGTTGTGGTGATGGAAAGGTTATCCATTAATTGAAGATATTGTGTGTGTCTGTGATATTTTTTTATATTTATTTATTTTATTTTATAGGGATGTCATAACGGAAAGTGTATACCAAATGAACAAGCTCACCCTATTAATGGCAGTTGGGGGGCATGGTCTAAGTGGAGCGATTGTTCGAGAACATGTGGCGGAGGTGTGTCAACACAAAAACGTGAATGCAACAATCCGGTGCCCACGAATGGCGGTCTCTTTTGCATTGGTGAAAGAAAAAGGTTCGTCGTTTACTTGGACATTAGGTGTTCTATTGTACATATACAGTATTTGCAGGTATAAGATATGTAATCATCAACCATGTCCGGTGGGTGAAGTCAGTTTTCGGGCTCACCAATGTTCCAAATATGACAATGTGTACTACCAAGGCTCAATGTACAAATGGTTACCATTCTTCGATAATAGTAAGTAGTCGGAATTTAGAAAACTCCCTTCTCCTGTTTGTAGAAATGAATAGATAAATGTCTATTTTGGTGTTTGCAGAAAATCCTTGTAAGCTGCTGTGCACTGATGTTGACGATACCATCATTGCAAATTGGGGAGACACAGTGAAGGATGGGACGCCTTGTGGTGTTGGCACCAACAATATGTGCATCGATGGAATATGTAAGGTGAGGCAACATAATGGAACATATATTTTCAAAGGTCAATGAACAAAAACATATGAATTGATTTAGAAAGTCGGATGTGATTGGGTTTTGGACTCCAACATGCGAGAAGATCAATGTGGAGTGTGTGGTGGAAAGAGCGATCGATGTAAATTGATAAAAGTGAGTAAGTAATGAAATGGAAAGTATGAAGTCCCTTTGAAAAAATGCATTTGTAAAAATTAAAATATTTCAGGACGTATTTGAGCAGAACTTTAATATAACTGATGGGTACGTAGAGATTGTAACAATTCCCACGAAAGCCCGACAAATTATAATAAAAGAAATAAGCACTTCGAAAATATTTCTCGGCCTTTCAATGGCGAATAGTAGTTATTTTTACCTCAATGGTGATGGACTTATATCTATGCCAGGAGAGTTCAGAATCGCAGGAACGGAGAGTTTATATGATCGAGTAGATGGGCAAGAGATCATAAAAATACCTCAACCGATTGAAAATGCTATAACAGTACATGTAAGTTTCCGTAAAAAAAAACAAAATGTGTCATATTTGCTTTTAAAATCATAAATTAACGCGACAAACATGAAATAAGTTTAAAATTTCAAAAATGTTAAGGTCAAGAGACGAATTTATTAAGCAATACCTGTGTGACCATTGAAGATATAGCCTGTTTTTCAAAAAATACAGCGCTATAGCGCTATAACTCAATCGGCATTTAAATTAAAACTCAAAATTAGATAAACGCTCATAGTAAAAAGTAAGAAATGTCATTGAGTAAATTTTAGAATAACATCCCCCGAATTCGGTATTAAAATGGTGCGTATTTCTTCGATTTAAAATTAATTTTACACTTATATTTTTAACTTTTATATTCGCTAACACACAATAACAAAAGGGTTGCATTCTAACAAATAATCAGTGTTACCTTATCTACAGGCTGTAGTTCGATCTCTCAAATGAAATGCACCAGAGAGGACAATGATTTGTACCGAATTGGTCTAAATATCTGCGAGGTATGGAATTTTCACTAGACAGGCAGTGCTAAGCACATTTTCCAATTAATTAATTTTGTATGATTTTTTAACGGATTTAACATTTTAGTCGTTTTGTTTTACGGATTTATGATTATTCTGGTAGTTCTAAGGTTTATAAGGGAGAGTATGCTTCGCTTAATGCAGTATGATGTAGTACCAAGCTTCTATTATAATTACCGAATTCTTCGCATTAACATCGCTCAGATTATTGTTTGATTTACGGCGATCATTTGGTTCATTTTTCTTTTTAAAATTTTCTTATGTTCTTTATTTTTGTAAACAATTACTAATTACAATATTATAAATTGTCAGGCAATAATTCGTGGGGACGGATTGAATACCAGCATTTTTTATGAATTTGCCTTGCCCGCGCTAAATAACTCGCAAGGAGTACGGTATTCATGGAAGTTGAGTGATTGGACCGATTGTACCAGCAGTTGTGGAGGCGGAGTGCAATATAGAATAGCACAATGCTATGCAGATGGAGAATGTATGGAAGGTGTAGTTTTTTAAATAAATTTTTGAATTCATTGTCGCGCCTTATTCCATTTAGGGACACCTAGTGCCGAATATTGTTGGACTTTTGCGCAAAGCAAGAGGCCATCGCGCCGTATACGAGTTTGCAATAGACATCAATGTCCGGCCCATTGGTGGACGGGTCCGTGGCAATACTGTCCAGTTACTTGCAAATGGTCAGACGACTTGGCGCCTGCACGGCGTCGCACTGTCATGTGTTTGGATCAAAATGAAGTTGTTGTCGAGGATGACCGCTGCAATATTGCATTAAAACCTCCGAGCACAGAACCCTGCAGGCATAATTTACCGAAGTGTAAAGTAAGCAATAATATAGAAAATGTTGTTTTGCAAATGCAAAACCTATAAAGTATTAGTAAATTAGTATTCACAACTTCCGCCGAACAAGTTAATTACATGCAATTATATAAATATAGTAAATAGATTTATATTGTTTATAAAATTATTGATGTTTACTTTTAACAAAGATGTGTTTGTAGGTTTTCAAAAATCGTTGTAATAACTCGTGATAACTTTCTTGTACTTACATAATTTTTTTCACAACAATAAAATTGTATAGTAATTTATTGAACTCTATCATTTATACTTAAAATTTAAATTAAATACTGTAAGTTTACATCCAATTTATTGATAGACCAAATATGGATTTATGTAAGGAAGCTCAAGTTTATAGTGGAAATAACAAAATAATCTATTTGACTTTGTTATTATTTCTAGCGACGGTGGAAGATGGGATATATTTCCTTAGTTCAAAGAACATCTTAAGCGTGCAATGTGCTTGCGCGATATTATCTACTCGTACATGGTTGACTTGTTTTTTAAGGCACGTTTCCAACACGGAAGTGTTACTGCTAAGGCTTAGGAGTGTTATCGTATTGATACATTTGTGATTCAAAATCTTGTGTTGTCTGGCATTTTAACGAAATGGGCTATTTTATCTTTGGGCACTTTGTAATTGTGCATCCAACGACTGCCTTTCCGTAATGAACCGTCAATTCCGTCCTTCCATACACCTTGTGGTAAGTAAACTACAAATAGAAGTAAAAAAAATCTTAAAATATGAGCTTATACAAGTATGTATTATATAATAGAGAGCGTAAATGAAATGAGTTTTACCTTCTCGTTCATCCGAATTTTTTTCCAATATTGGAGCCACGATCAATTCCTCCCCTATTGAGAATTCGTCATTTACAAGTAAGCAAGCCGGGTCATGAGGATCTAACATCCAAAGTGGTCGGACTAATGGTAATCCTTCGTTCATTGACTCGCTTAAATATTTCTTCAATAACGGTATAACAGTTTTCTGTCGAATGGACATCAATTCCTTAGCCTGATCAGTTATGTAATCACTTTTATATTCGGATGGTAAATGGCTAAATTGCATCGACGGCATAAAAGTCATTAATTGCATCCAACGAATGAAAAGATCTCTGTCGACGAGTTCTGGTTGGCCCAGAGAGTAAAACGACGCCATTTTGTTTAAAGTGCGATTAAGATAATAGTCGCCACCAATAGCACCCGGTAAAACAAATGGATAGCCGTTTATACCATTGTTCAAAACAACGGTTAACAATTCACGCAAACCTTCCCACGAAGAATTTATGGGTGGCGTGCTGAGGAAGGTTGGTGGCTTCGGGACAGCACTTGCGCTGGATACACCAATAAAGCCAACACTTTCCAAGCTACTTGTAAAGATTTTGGCGTACATATCGGGGTTGTCCAGAGTCGTTCGACACTGATAATAATGGGGTAGATTATAGCTCGTACCAAGATCCAAGTAAAAATTGTCCACTTGGTACTCTTCCTTTAGCCTTTCCAATTTATTCCGCAACCATGGTATTGAAGCGTTGTTTGTTATATCCAATACTCCGGCACTGGATGAACTCTTATAACGTGTTAGCGCGGGTATACTTCTATCCGAGTGCCGCTCATAGATAAGCAATTTGTTTTTAACGGCGTCTTTGAAATTCGGACTATCTGTACTGATAAAGGGCTGAATTGTGAAAACAACTTTAAAACCTCGTCGATGGAGTACTTCAATAGTGTCCTTGAGTGTGGGAAAACGTTCTTGATCAACAACAAAATCTCCAATATTTCTTTGCCAGAATTCATTTACTAAAATATGACCCAAACGCATAAAACCCATCGCTATAACATCTTCTGAATAATTGTATATAGTTGTTTCGTTAATCGATGTCACTTCACTTTGAAACGGTATTTTCCATACGGGTTCTTCAATCATTGAATGCAGAGAGTAGATATCAGATTCCTTTAGACCATCCCACAGACTCTGTTGTGTCATCAGCATATGTAGACTACGCATGTCTTCGGTAGTGCAAATTTTATACGTAAGCTCTGGATATTCCGTTAGATGATTGACGAAGGTGAAATTATCATTTCGCGCACGAAAGCATAATCTATTTTCTGTTTGATTGACAGATATGTGCAGAGGTGTGCGATCGTCCACCTGCATTGCCACACCAATCGAATTTATGAAATAACGTTTTACTCCGTTACCGAACTGATGGACCTTACCGTCACCACTACCGAAAGGTGCATAGTCAAAGTTTGTTGAGCTTAAGGACCATTCCATGCCCTTTGTAAAGCTTCCACCAAACCATAATCCGTTATCTCTTTTCAACTCATAACAATCGGTTGGGTAAATTCCCGAACCCAACGCTTGCCACTGGATATTATAGCAACGGAATACATTCATATTTTGGAAACTCATATACAGCCGAGCTATGCCATTCCATTCCAGACAAACACTACCATCATGTTTACGTTGGTCTTCCAAGCAATAAAACGGAATGCTGTCGGAACTTATAGAGAGACCTAACTTTCCTGTTATCACCTCCTTGTCTTCGTGACTTAAAATACTGAAAGTACGATCCAACGAGCTGAATTTGATCTTTTCGAAATAGGAACGAGTTAAAATCTCCCGATGATAGGTTATATAAGAGTATCCAATCTGGTTTGATAAGAAATAAACATATTATTACGAATCCATTAATTAAAACTGTATTCCTTTAAAAGGAAAAACAAATATTTTCATATAATGAATCATAAACTCTTACCAAGAAGACAATGATGAAGAATAATATTGTGACAAAAATCTTAATTTTATAGTCCTTGGTTTCACGTTTCTTTTTGCGAATCATTTGGGGGAATGCCTTAAATGATATACGTAAACATATGTACATAAGTTTGTGATATATTTCGCTACTTTTCACTTAACATATTTGTATATATGTATTAACATACTGTGTATATATCACAACTTACATTCATTTTTTCCCGGAGTAAACTGGCCAATGAATTAACGCTAGTGATGGACGCTTGGTTGCTAGCCACACTGTGGGTGTCAAAGTCACTGGCAAGCATCTCCTTACTATTTAAACGCAAGGCGGGTAGAGGGGCAATAGATGCTCGGCGGCGGCTCCGAAATGGGTCACTGCAATGAAAATATGCTTGTTTCATATGTATCGTACTTATGGTCGTGGGTTTGTGAGTTAGAGTCCACTAGCTTGTAGTAGAAACATTGCCTTAAATTTATTAATAAGAAATATTACACAAAAATATATATTTATATAAGTATGTATGATTACTGAAACAAACCGGTTATTAAATAATCAAACTAATCAATTCATAATGTTAATTAAATTAATTCCATAATCTCTACACTCATATATACATAAGTATGTATGCAAGTGAAAATGCATTCTTAATTGAAATTAACAGACTTCTTTGCTTATACGGAAATGTACAGACATACATATATTTCGTACACATATGTACATATACATATTAATGTGTTTATAATTGGATCTTCTCATCTCTCGCACATTATCTCCAGAGTAAGCAGTGCGTTGCAACTATTTACTTCTATATGGTATACCACAGTACTTTGTGCGTTAATGCTTATGTTAGTATGTAAATAGGTATTCAATTTTCTAAATACATATGTAAATACATATAATGCAGTAAGCATTGTCTAAACTATCTATTTTGCCTCTTTTAACTGTATTTACACGAAAAATCAACTTCAGACTTAATAGGTTAGGAAGAACTTACATATGCTTTTCGTTGGTCTAGCCTTTTATCAGCCAATCTGGCGAAGATTTGCGTTCTTATCGCTAGTAAATTCAATCGAGTACTGAGTTGTTATATCTCTCCTAACTAAGCTAAACGCACCGTTTGCGCTGAGCACGAATCATTTCTTAAAGCATACACTCTAGACATATATGCACATAAATACACACATATACATATGTTCATATGGTCGTATATCCATTATCCACTTGTGGAAGAAAACACTCCCAAAGTCAAAATTAGCCTGAATTGTGATTTACAAGTATATTTAGGTATGACTTTTTCGATATGTGTACAAAGGCATAACGTGGAGTGACAATAAAAAGCCAATAACTTAAGATACAAACTTTATCTTGCAAATTTTTTCGGCAAAGAAACAACTCGGTGAAAAATCTCATTGGGAGTTCCAGTTCGATGTATTTACTTTTATAATAACAGTTTTGAAGTTTTTTTTTCAAGAATTATTTGCTCTATTCTGTCATTTTTCAATCTATCAAATATTTGGTTTGCTAACTTAGAATAATTTTTTGCTCCAGTCATAATACGTAAATTCTTCTACGAGCAAATAAATGCAAATCCATTTTGTACCGATTTAGTATGAAATAGAACTGCAATAGCATACAAAACAGCATACAAATCCTCTAATAGGAACCCGACTATATTTTTATGCTTAAGATCAGGTTGCAAATAATGTATTCAAAAAATAATTGACATTTTGAATTAACGTAATCTTTAATCCCGTATTTGGGATTATACATATCGGATTAAAAACTAAAATTACAATTTACAATCCCAACTACCAGATTGAAAAAAATAAAAATATTAATCTCAGCATATACCCTAGTGCTAAATGTAAAAATTTGCTCTAGAATTAACACTTTTTCGCCTTCGTTCAAATCAAAAAATAATATTTTAAATTGTTAATCCCAATATCGGGATTAAAAAATGGAAATTTAATTTTTGATCCAAAATTTGTTAAATAAAAATTTCGCAATCCTGGTTTAGATAATATTTTAGGTGTCGTGATTCTTATAGCAATATAGTACAATATAAATGAGCAGACAATTTTGCAAAAGTCGCCAATATTAGTTTGTACAGGAAAGGAGGCACCGAGAAGATTTTATTGCAGTCAATATACTATGCCAGGATGCTGAGTTGAAGGCTATTTTAACATCGTGGGTTACAATCATCCAGTATTGTATTTGATAGGCTCACCGCTTTGGTTGTGGATCTTGCCTTCCTGAATCCGAATTGTTTCGGTGATTGGCCATTTGCTTTGCTGATTGCTTAATATCTGAATGAATCTGTAAAAAGCTTGTTAGGCTTATGATTTTAACGATCGATGTTTGCGGCGTTATTATGAATGCCACCAGGGCTTGGGGCTTAGGATCGGTTTAACCGTTAACATGTTTGCACAGTCGAAATATTTTGGATTTATTGTGCTTCCGTAATCTCGGGATGAAGGTCAGATCGGAAGCAGGTGATATATGAATAAGTAAGTAATGATGGAAAATCATAAAACACACAATGTAATAAACTCGGTAACTTCACTATGTTGACATGTTTGTGATGTTTGGTATTCTAATTCTCACCCTTAGTCTATATACTATTTTTATTACCGTTTTTTCCAATTTCAATTATCTTTATTCTGTAGACATGCATGACTGATTGCTAGATAAATAATTAAGTATATATCTGCGTACATACGAGTACATACTTGTATATACAGCGTGGGCACTAAAAACTGTCGCACCTAATTTTCTCCAAAAAAGTTAAAGTTCGCATGAAAACTTGTTTTTTTATTAGTTAAACTATAGACCAGTTCTAATTCAAATCGTTCGCCTTGTACAGGCAGCACGCACAACTTCTTCTGGAATTTCGTTCCAAATTCTGTAATATAATGGCAATATATCTGCTGAAATGAAACGGCGTTTAAACTGGTACAGTTTTAATTTTTTTACATTTGTCAATTTACCCATCATATATCCCCATATATAAAAATTCAAAGGATTCAAATACGGAAAAGAAGGGGGCAATATATCTGCTGAAATGAAACCGGGAATGAATAATGTTTCTGATGGTTTTCGGCTCACGCTGTGGTTCTTAGCCAGTTTCCTTCCAGAAACTTCACACACAGACTTGAAGTTGTGACCGTGTAACTGCGATTAGGTTTTTTTTTTTGATCTTTTAACACCAGAATCTTAACGATTTCACCTATTGTTTTTCCTTAAAAATGTAACTTTTTTATCAGTTCTTTTTTTGATTCCATTGTTCACAAAAACTGAATACCAATTGATAAAACTTAAAATTATGTTGCGTATATTCAAAATATATGTGACTATAGAAATGTGTAACGGGAAAATGTTAAAACTTAGTTGGCTCAGCCTAATGAAGCTTCAAACAAGTGCGGCAGTTAAAAGAGCTCACGCTGTATTAGACATATGTTTGCATGTATGTATGGTATGTGTAGATACCATTGATAATACGAACCGATACTTTCGACGTGCGCCACCATACTCCTCATCGTCACTCTCTTCGTCATTCTGGTTTATTGATGATATACTCGTTTCCGGTACGTTCGGGGTGACTGAATCACAGCTGTCATCGTTTATCTGTCAAAGGGATTTGATTAATCGCACAGCAAAATAAAATTATTAATTAGGGTCACTTAGAAATCAATGTGAGGTGGTAAAGGTTTCGCGTACTCATACACCTGTCTTATCCAAATTATTGTACAAAGTTGTCAAAGTAGTCACAGGTTGAATCGGATAGTAGGAGTCGCAATTGGCTGTATAACCAATCGTGTTTGCAAAATAACTCGCCATTTTCGAAATTCATGAGAAGCAAATAACCGTTTGTCAATAACAGACTCTAAGTAAAAGTTTTAATATTCACATGTTTGTATACTTGTATATGGTATGTACAAAATATACGTATGTATAGAGTTGTTTTGAACTCATCAATTTTGAAAAATTAAATTCTAGTTAAAAGCACAATATTCTCTGTCAATTGCTGTTAATAAACTACTGTCGAAATTCAAAACGAACTTCCATATACTAAAGGGCGTGTTCACTATTGTATATTAAGCCAAGTAAATAGTCCAAACCATCTGGAGCACGAATGCGAGCGCGGAGTGTGAGAGCGAAATTAATTATTGGGAATATATATATAAATGAGTGCTATATAAAGTCACTAACAGTAAACGCGTATTGAGTATAAGCTATTGATGAGCTACAGGATTTAGATTGACATGATTACTATATATTGTACAAGTACTTACATATTTACGCATATATTAGATTTTATATTAAATCGGATCATTGCTATATGTATAGCTAAATCAAAAATGGTGTAATCATTATTTCGATATAAGCAAGTAAGTTAAAGAACAAAATATACAATTGCATGTATTTACGTGGGTTTTTGATATCAATTACTTCATTACCAATGATTTACATGCGGAAGTCTTTAAAACTGGTTGATTATTTATTTATTTAAAATATTTTCTTTAAAGTAAAGCGAAATGATATATCTACATTACGTCCCATAGTTTAGCATAGCATAGCATAGTTTTAGGCATGGCTCATAAAGTCTGCATATTAGGAACACAATGAATGAATGAAGTAATAAATTAGGCTTCTTAAACAGTTAATACTAGTTGTATTCGTTTTTCGAAATCTTACTGTTTCTGTTATGCAATGAATATAATACAATAATAGTTTCAAATAACCGTTTTTGTTTGTTTAAATCTGTGCGGTTTTAAGAAAAAGCGAACGCATGCGCATTGGCTCACAGAATTATTACATACATATATCGTTTCGAAATTCTGAAAAGTTGGTTTATAGACCTCTAAGAACGGTTCTCCAGATAGAAAATGCATATCTCGCTTCCAAGTATTTGGAAAAATTATTATAGGAAATTACAAAATACTCTACAAAATGATCTCTTGCTGTTTTTTTCGTAAAGCTGACCGTTTGAAAGATATTAAGGATTGAAGTGCAATTTTGTTTTTTTCTTTTGAATTTTATGACTCAATGAAAAAACATCATTTAAAATTGCAAAGCTCATAGTCTTGTAGGATATTGAATTCTCTACATACATATATACATATAGTACAAGAAACCTTTAACATTGCAAACAAATTCAACTAAAATTAAGAACGTAGGCTTAAACGTGGTAGAGGAAAGATATTAACTATTTAAGAAATTAACAGTTATTAACAGTAACCCAGGCAATTGAGTTGTGTTATGTAAATTAATACATTTGTAATTCACATATGTACATATTTACGTTCGTTCCCAATGCTACTTAACACTTTACAACTTTTAATTATAGGTTGTATTGGTTTTGGACAGCTAGACACGGTTTCCACATATCGAAACGGCGATCTTGGTATGCTATGTCATAAACCGTGTGCACACTCAATGCTAAATGAGAATTATTTGTATGCAAGCTTTGTAATCAAATGTTTATAACACTACAATTCTTATATGTATGTGCTAACAAACGATGAAGTGCTTGTCGCTGGGGTCGTGAACATATGATAGTGAGTAGGATACCAAAAAAACCATGAGTATTAAATTTATGTGATTATAAAAAATGTTGATGTCACACCCATTTTACTTGTAAGTTAATACCACTAAACACAATCGATTTGGCTAGGTACAACACTGTTTTAATGATAATGATTTATTCAACACATGGATATGCTTTATATCAATATAGTATACCCTGTAGGAGTTCTAGACCTACACGGGAAGATATTCGTTCTATAAGTCTGGAAGTTGTACCACAAATTAATGCTTAGTTATTTATCTTCAATTTAAACAATTTGATTGATATTGTTATCGACATATTTATTATTAAGTGTATTTATTAATGGATATAATACATAGACATATTTCAATAAAAATTAATGGGCGCCGTTTTTATAAATTAATTCTTATATACTTCACGTTTTTATCTCTCATGAGTATTTCAACCTATTTCAGACAACAATGGCACTATTCATGGACGGAAAATATGAGAAAGATCACACCTGTCGTGTGTAAAGGCACCTGCTTAAATATCTGCTATAAATAAGCACACGACCATTTGTATGTGTATGGTACAACAGGCCCAATGGAAAGATGAAACGTTTTAAAAATGCGAATAGTAACAGAGAGCTCCTCACTCTATAGCAATGACATACGAAAGTAATGTGTTTTTTCAAAAGATCAATACCTCAATATACTAAGCGAGAACTTAGAAGTTTTAACAATTATATCGTAAATGAAACTTTGTACTATGTTGACTTTAACAATTTAAAAAAATAAATTAAGTATTTTAAATTTAATGATTGATAAGATCGCTTTACTATTAGTAAAAGAGTCACTTTGTCCTGCATATCGTCTTTATCCTCACAAATTTCATTGATTTGCTTTCTTTTTATTAGGCGACCCAATGTCATTTGATATATACTTTTAATAAAAGACTATAAAAGCTCCAAATAAGAGGTAAAAGAAAATGGAATAGGTGCAGAGCAAACGTCAATCATACCTACTCCCAAAATTTATCTAACTGTGAGAAGGACGTAGTACATCTCATACTTCCCATTTGGATGTCTGATGTAAGTAATTAAATTAAAATATGATGCATCTAGTAGCATTATTTGCGTGTGTCCCGTATAGTTTATCGGTTTAAAATTTTGATGTTGTATATACATATCTGTATATACATATTTATTTGCGTATAAATGAATACTTACACTATCGCTCTTTTCCTCTTCGCTGAGGGCATCCTGTTCTTGCATTTGATACTTCAGTCGCATACTTTCGAGATCAATGGCATCGATCCCCATTGGTAAGGATATGGAGTTTCGTCGTAAATTCCTACCTATCGACTCGACATTGGGAAAAACTTCCGGCGACCCCCCTGCACCTTCAGCCCTCAATGTATTGCCCTTTTCATCTACCTGTATGACGATTGGCATATTGAGATTTCGCCTTGCAGCGATTCCACGCTTCATGTTACCTTCGCTTGATCGACTTTCATCAACATTGCCGCTATTGCTGGAAGTTGCACTGCAAATGTCGCTTATGCTGGAATCGATGAGTCTATCCATATAGGGAATACTGCTTTCACTTTCGGTGCTCGGTGGCCGTGCGCTTTGTCCATTTGGCAGCAGGGGCTTGCCTTGTTCTCTATTTTCATATTGTACTTTATTGTATTCTCTATCGTTCATTTTGAGAGCTTTACGGTGTGCTTAGTAAATTGCTATGCTAATTATATCGAATAGATGTTTTACACTAATTCGCACATTTACTCATGAATATTTAACTTTATTTGTATTTGTTAGTTTGTATGTGTGTATATCGATGATAGATATATTGAAAAGTTAATTCAAACTCGGATATTCGAAATTCTGAAAATTGTATTTGCTTTTAAGTTTAAAGGCGTAACTGTAACAAAGGTTTGATTTCGTGAAAGAACCTGAGTATACCTCTTATGGCAAAACAAACTTAATTTGATGTCTTCGGTCCATTAAATATAGTTGACTTAAGCAACTTAGCACACTGCGACGTATATATTTCACCAAATCATAATTCACTAAAATCTGATTTCAAAACTACTTTAAGAATGTCGAAATTCGATAAATTCGATAGAAGTCCTCCTTTTCCTTAAAATAAAAAGAAGCATATTCAACCAGTCGTATAAATCGGATTAGCATAATCTGGATGTTATTTCTAACCACAATAATTTATAAAAATAAACGCGTCTTGTGTTTCACATATTTCCAAATGCTTGCATATGCTTTCAGATATACTTGTAGAACATATCGAAGTAAAAGGGATTTTTTAGAAGCTTCTTTTAAAAACACGTTTTGTTCCTAACACGCTGTAGACCCGTTCGTACACCTTTCACAATGTACATATACATACATAGTATATAGATTATTTATGACTTGATTTGCTAAATGATATTTCATAATCTGATATTTTAGTACGGTATGACATTGATGTACACCTACATCTTATCAGCCACAAATTATTAAGTTGTATATATACTATTAAGTGTCAATCAACATAATAATTTAATAAATTGAAATTGATATGTATATAATTTATAGCATATTCACACAGTTTATAAATTTAATGTCTCGATATGGAAATTAAAATTTATTACGCACCATCAATAATCCTGGAATACAGATCATCTAAGTATTCTTAGGGATAAATTTTGAATTGCAACTAAAGCTCATAGGTGTTTCTCACCTGTTATGTAATAATACTTTGGTAGGATTAGGACAACCGGAGTTCCTCTACAAATTCTCTCATAGTATTGCAACTACAAAATTTATTATTAGATGAAGTTCTGAATCATCATATACAAGTAAAATCAAACATAGTGGCGAAGATCGTTATAATAGTTTTAATGAAATAAACTAAATTATGCTGCAAACAATATTTATCAATGAATTTCATTAAAATATTTCACTAAATTTATTTGGAATTATAATGAATGGTTTTGATGTTGTTCGTTAAACAGTTATAACGTTTTAATAAGCACTGATCAGGCAAATTACGTACTTTAAAAGACAAGTTCGGTTAATAGTAATTCGTTTTGTAACTTATATCACTTTAAGTGTTACGATTGATGGTGTTTTGTAGGCGTGGAAAATTTCCGATTCCACCCATTAGCCCCCAAGCATTATCCACCCCCTCACTTAAGTTTACTGAAAATATCACAATTTTTATTTAAGCTACCATTTGCCCATTTGCCCATTTGTCTATTAATTCATCTATCATCACTTGATAAGACTTGAAAGTAAAAATGGTAAATTATGGAAAGCATTAAATGCCAATCGTAGACACGCACCGTTAATGGAATTCAAACGAAACAAGTATAATGATCTCGTAATAGGCCGGTTGATATTGCATTGACATTGTGAGTGATGTGTTTATGGTTCGGGAAAAGTATTGACGGCACATTCGCGAAATTCGCTCTAAACTGCAGCTTTAAAATCGATATACATACGTTCATGCATAAGAAAATAAATGTAAACCGGTGCTATTTTACAGCGTGTGCGAATAGTACATCGCCCGCTGTGATGCAGATTCCACAGGAAATATGTATGCAGCAGGGCAGGTCTATTCCTTGTCCTCCTGGTGCTTTCAGACGTCGGGCCAAAGTTATATATCCAGTATTTCCTTAAAATACTTACTGAAAATCATCAATAAATAAAATAACGTAAGCTGCAGCAGCCGACAGCAATGAGCAATGATGTCAATTGGTGTAATATCATCGATGACACCATTCGCAATCTTTGTTAAGGAATGAGAATGTTTTGATTCCAGGAGTTCCTTTCATCTCAATATTGTCAAAGTGTTTAACTATTGGCGTACAATTTAAAGCTTTTAAGGCGTGTTATTGAACATTTACCTCGTACACATACATATGTAACTACATCCATTTGTATATAAATATGTATTTGTGTATATGTGTATAAAAAATGCAAACGTTTGTTTAAATAGTATGTGTGCTTCTTTTTGCGTCATGAATAATTAATATTCTAAATGAATGCAAATAGGTATGACTACCAAGTGTTTAAGTAGGACCGTCAAAGTTTCCAACCTGTGGAAACATTTTACGGTTAAGATAAGGCCCCTTAGATCGCTATACAACGGATATAGCACAAAGTTCTTTCATACAATATGGACATGTGTGTTTTCATGTCACAATAAAAGAACCATTGAATGGCCATTGGCTTTACGGAAACTCGCATTCTAAAGGTATATATTTGGATACGATTACGACATTCAAATAGATTGTACATATATTCTTAAGCATTATAATATTTTCAGAGCTTTAAATAAGAGAGAAGAGAAAGCCTTGTCAAGACCGATACTGTTTAGTTATTTTTTTTTTTAATTATGTCAATACTAGATAGTCCAACATAAGCCCGGCTTTATTTTAAATTTTTTCATTTTTGTTCTATATAAGTTCCCCTGACATCAATATACAACACAATTGTCTTGTGGTGGAGTATAGCAGTAAGATTATAATGAGATCCGCTAAAAGTTCATTGGGCAACAAGCAAGGACTCAAAATGAAGTTCAAGTGAGATAAACTCTGGATCTTGTATCGGTCTCTGGCGCCTAAGTTTGAAATCTACATCCGCAAAAGGATATACTTAAAAGATGGGCATAAGAAATTAAAAAATATTCGATACTCATTTTTTGAAGTTATTCATAGGGGGATTTTTATAGGGAGATTTTTGCGTAATTTCGAAATGGTATGTATTCGGACTTGTTTTGCTTACTCATATATACATACTAAAGTTAATACAAATCATTCTCAATATACGCCAAAACTGGCTAAATCAATATGTAGTCGAATTTATTTGAACTCTTAAACAAAGTAAGTCACATAAATAATTCAGTTCCCAAATAAAATAGGGTACATACTACATTAGAGCCAAATGTGTAATTACATAAATAATTTACACTCTATGGGTCAGTGGTTGTAACTAACATATATGAACGATGATTAAATGGTAAGGATCAAATTACACGTTATTCTTATAGAAACTGCACTAATTAATTGCACTCAACATGAAGTCAGTCCTTTGATTCCTGGCATAATTCGAAATTTGTATTACTTTTTTATCTTGATTATTAATAAAAATCATAGAGAACAACAAATGTTTCACATAGTACATAAATATATTTATTTATTAACTCTTCTAATCGCTGTAAAGCAAACTTTTTCGAACCGAAACTGTTCACTGCGAGCTTTGTGATCGTTTCCGTGCAGTTCTATTTGCGAGTGCGAACGGTGTAGAACTCGAAACCACTATGAGACGTTAACGTTGTTTTGCATCTATACAAAGATTACAAAGCCGACAAGCGTAGCGATTCTGAGCGCATTCTCCATGGCACCGGCTCACCAACACATTCGCAGCAATTGATACGGGCGATAAAATCGCGCAATACCCGCGCATATGTAGCTGCACAGCAAACGTATTCAATCTTCTGTGACGGACATTCCAATTATAAGTGGGTAAACATTGGTAAGTGAAGAAGTTATCCGCCTCTCGGATTCACAGCTTACTTGCATAAACCTGTGTATGTGTGTCCCAAAAGTTTGGCAATAGCTTCGCATTTTGCTAATTAAAAGCTGATACTGACGTATATATGTGTGTGTTGGTGTGTATATGCACACACGCACACAATTTTCACGAGTCGCTGATAATTGGCACTGTAAAGATTCGGTTGAGATAATATTTGTTGTCCCTTTACGTTCCCCTCTTATCAGCGGGATGAAGCCGCTCGATAACGTTTTATAGAGACACATGACTACATTCATAGTTGTGTTTTACGATTCGTACTCAATACATACGTATGTGCTCAGCAATATTTTAAGAACGAATTATGACACCAAGAGCTTGTTTAGGTCCCTGCTATGTACGCTACGAAGCCCTATGAACTTTGGGTATTTGGTAATAATTCACATACAATCGGTAAACCCCGTCAGCCCTGGGTCCCAAAGTAAATAACTCAATTAATCCAATCTACAAATTTTCTTTCTTAAAATAGTTATGTACAATAAACCAAGATCAGCTTTGCTCTTTAAATACACGTACATGTATACGTATTTATGAATCGTACATATGATTGTAGAAATGCTACAAAGCGGCAGTCACTTTGAATTATTATTGATTCTACTAATTAACCGCATTAAGAGCAGCTTAAATGGCAAACACATTTTGTATTTACTTCGTCAACAATAACTTAAACATCTCATAGCCTCTTAACACTTTAATTATCAATATCTTTAGTCAATATTTGTATAGGCTTGACTATAAACTGATAACGTTAATTAAGAAATTGAAAAACGCTCATTACGCTCTACAATACAAATACAAATAAATATATTATAAACACGTACACAGTGCTTGAATTCGCAAGTATAAAATCAGACGATTGCCACTCGATGTTTGCACGTCGTTCTCCAAGAAACCTGTCTAACATTTGAAAGATCCTAAAAATTTTGTTTAAATATAAATAGATGTTTAAGGTAGAATAAAAATGCAACGCTCCATAAAAATAGCAACGGTAATATAGACACTAGACCAGGGGTAGTATGATCGCTTTTGAATTTTAGTTACTATTAGTAAAGACACATCCAACCCACAAGCCACATGTATTTTACACGTAATTGATTTAGACGCAGTTTATTTTATTGGCAATAATAATAAAATATAATAATAATTTAAATGATCACAATATATGTTCATGACGTAAATCTAAAAAAATGTGATAGTGAAGTTTTAAATTTAAGACAGCAACTGCCTGTAATATAAAATAAATGTCTGTAAATTCATTTATGCAAGAGATCTAAACATTTTAGTTTCGAATTATGTTTTTAAAGTTTTGTAATATATTTTCGTAGCCAACTCCTTAATCAAGTTGATTGTAATAAGCTGTGAATATTTATTCTTTCAAATAGTGGAAACATAATTTTGAAAGGTCTAAATATTGAAACAAAAACCTTCTATCGCTCTATGGTTTATAGTTTCATACTAGTTGTAGTTGATATACATGAATATATTAATGAAATATTATCTGATTTAAGCAAAATGTATTGACAAGCTATAAATGTTTATAATAAAAATAATATAATCAAATTCATGTTAATATGAGAGTTGTAACAATCTATTTTATACTTAAGTTAAATAATTATATATGCTCTTATTTTTCATTAGAGTCTTGATGCATCAGCAGAGCTTAGAGTAGCTATAGGAATATGCTGGATTTAAGCAAATGTTTTTGACAGGATTGACAATTTCTGTACATTTCTAATTATATTTAGTACATGTATTCAGCCACCTGGCCGTTACCGTTAGACTCATATACACTCGTCTGATGCTTGGATACTCATTTTACCTACATAAGGAATGTCAGAGCCAGAACTAGTTTGCTAGTATATCGTAATTATTGTAATGTAATGGCCACATTTATGCTTTTTAAAGAACGATTTGTAAGTATCATGAACCTAAGGAATATCACTATATTTTGTAATCAAAATAGTTTGTAAGCATACTTTAAAATAATATGATAGTTCTTTCGTACATATATGCAAACCAATTTCTGGAAACGTGTGGTAACATGAGTCAACAATTTTCATATATGTGCTTAAAAAGTGTACAATGCGAGTTAGTTCATGTTTGAAAATTTCTTGCCCTCATTTCTAAAGCTTAGAATTAGGTTTATTTAAAATAAAATAGTATGAATATAACTGCAGGTTTTTACATTAATAAGGGGTATGTATTTAATTGTTCTATATTGCCGATATCTTAGGCTCACAATATGTTTTAACTTAGAAATATAGAGAAAAAATATGTTTCTTCTAAAGGCGAAAGCACATACATACATACTTCTACACAACATCTTCAAAGTGTTTAGACGAATATATAAAACATTTCAAGGAAAAAGAAAAAACTCCAAAAAATATACCGCGGACATCGGCTTTGTTGAAAAAAAAATATATAAATGAAGTATTCTCATTTCGGATGTTCTCTGAGTTACTGAATACGCTTTGTTTGTACTGATAATATAGAATTACTATATACATACAAATAGATTTTTATGAGTCTATTTTTATATACTTGCAAAAAAATACAGCTCCTTTTATTTATGTTTGTTCGTTTTACGATTTTTGTTAAATTTACATGAGAAATTGTAGTAGAATGTTCCTGGTTCTCCACAATTATATTTCATATTGTAACTATCATTTACTTTAGGTCAATGCGTATGGTTTTCACTTTATAGCTATTTTCAACGGTTATTAGAGTTTGCATTCATAAATCATTTGTTTTTATTTGATTTTCACCCATATTCAATGAATTATTTATATTTTTGTTATTTGCATGTCAATTAAATTTTCTATATATTTTTGTTCTACTATGGAGTACGTTAACCTTCTTCCTTAGAAATTGACAACAATTTTCATATTAATTTCTTTAAACATCTTAGATTAATTTGAATGTATTTACGTTAAAAGCAAATTGATCTTAGTGCGAAAATGCAAATTTGTTCACATTTGAAAGTGTTATGGTGCATTAATGGTAAATACATGTATACATATGTATTTACATTTTACTTAATTTTAAAAACTGTCATTTCTGAGTTATATGTAATTAAGTTGTATGATATAATGCATGCAAAGCTCGTTAACTTATTATTGTTATTGATTTAACAATTTTGGTTGATTTGATCAGTTTAATTAATATTTCAATTATTATATATTCAGGATGTTATGGCCATTCATTTAATAAAAAAAATTAAGTTATAACAATTTATCAGACCCACTTTCTACTAAGTACACGAAATAATTCATTCGACGGAGTAGACGAGTTGTGTGAGTGGAAATGACAAGAGTAGAAAATGTTGTAGCTTTCAGATGTTGATTATCAACTGGTGTAAATAGTGAAATGCTAAGAGATAATGAATTGATTCTATGAAATGCCTAAATGGTTGTAAAACTAGAATAAATTGAATCCCACGCTCAAGCGTTGTGAACACGTTTCTGTTAATCACCAGTGTCTTCCCACTTTCGTTCCTCCACTATTCGATCGAAACAATCAGCTAAAAATGAATGCTGTAGTTTTGGAAAACCAATAAAAAATTTGATTGTTTGAATGAAATAACAAAGCATACTTACATATGGCGTATATACTTTTACCCAACGCGCCGGTTTATCCGGACGATTGTATTGAAAGCAAAAAGACATGGACTCTTCGTCGCTCTCCCACCGTGTTATACTTTCCCAAGTTAGCTCGACCATTTGCGCCTCCATTGAACCATCTTCCCGACAAGCATGCAAACGGAAACTCTTTATACCTGATGAAAAGCAGATTGACAACGTGATAAATTAGGATTTACCAGAAAACTACTTGAAACCTTAGGAAATTATAATATATATTAATATTATTCAACGTGCATATGGATTTTTATTATTTTCGACCTGTATATTTGTAATCACTAAGTTCGAGCATATATTTTAGAATTTTTGCCAATGTATTTAATATTTTAAAACAAATACATATTTATGTATTCGGGATATTTCGGCAGTTGATAAAAAAATGTATAAGTGTTTTCATACAGAAATATATGTGTCCAATATTTTACTTTAGATTTGTAAATTAAAGCAACCCTTCATGCTTAATGAGATGTATAAGCAAAACATATACTATTCTGAACTTAGCATTTCATTTATTAACGAATTTAATAGTCGTATCTACTTACCGACAGCTGGTATGACATGCCCTTCCTTGCGGCTATCACAGGCACAATGCGGAAATACAACATCACCATATCCTGGTAGTGTGCGCGCCAATGCCAAATATTCCGATGCTTTCTTCGCATCTTGCAAGGCTTTTAACTCGTAAAGGCGCCCTTCGGCGCGTATATACCCACGATTAACTTCATCGACCGCCTACGACATACCAAATGATTATTATTATTTTGGAATATTTTAAAACTTGTTTACCTGATAGAAAATAAATTTTGCTGCTTGCTCACCATCCGGTAGTCCAAGTTCCCTATTAACTGAAAACAACCACCGGCGTACACAAAGGCAAGTGCTTGATGCAGTACTGTAGTTTTGCACGTACAGCTGATGTGGAATTTCATGTGGCTGAAGTTTTCGTTCAAAATTATATTCAACAATCTCAAAAAGGTAAAAATATTGCTGTGTATATGATGTAAGATTGGCACGTTGGACCAGTAGCTCCCATACAGCCTGCGCGTTAGCAGATTTTCGGACAGAGACAGTCGATACTTCATGATCAGGCAGCATTACTTTGATATCCACTGGAGAAGCGGATATATCATCTTCAGAGTCAGTCAGAAAATCTTGAACAGCATCACTTTCAGCAATCACGCGCACTGCGCACACCTTTTCTAAATACTGTTCAAGGCCTCGCCGCCGTGTATCCAATTGCTGCTCACTCAATTGGAATGGCCATTTTCCTGGAAGCTTTGGGAAATTGAAACCGGCGAATTCTTTTCGTAATATTGAGTGAAGATTGGCAAACTCCCGATAACGACGGGAACACAGCTGACGCCCGGCCATATGAATATTGAATACGATGTAGCGCTCTCCATTGCGATTTACAATACTATAATCTGGAATACTAAAAAACGGGAATTATTCTAAAAGAATGATCTATTAAAATATAATCTTAAATTACCTAATGGGTAACGAGCGTTTATCTGAATAGTCAATATATGAGTAACCACTTTGATCTTCCTGAGGTTCAAGCCTCTCAGCTTCCTTTAAAATAAATTTTATACCAAATCAAAAGAGAAATATGTATAATTTTGAGTACTACTCACTTGCTGTGTCACTGAAATTACCGTTAAAGTTAAGCAATCTCCTCCCGACTTAATCAAATCAACGACTTGTTTATGTGTAGCTCCTTCTACGCTAACACCATTCCTGAAAAATAAAAATACTTTATTTAATATAGTACTAGGAATCCACAATGTTATGTTATCAAATTTAATCTAATCTTTTATTTCATACATCGAACATTCAATACAAAATATATTCATATAAGCTCTCTACTATTTTTTAACACACGTACAATTTCGTTCACAGAATAGCTTTTATACGCCATTGAGTTGTTTTCCTGAAAAATGCTAACATTGCAAAGGTTCAAGGACTTTTTAAAAATACAATGATAGGCTTAATCAGCTTTTATATAAGTTAGGTTTCTAATTTCTACAAAAGCACTATACGTTCAATTGCCATGGTAATCAAAAATTGGTTTCTAGCACTCTTACGTCATTGTGTAGAAATTTAATTCTTTTCATATATGCGAAATATAATTAAATAAATCAATAGATCTCCGCCAACCAAATTTCCCAAATTCTTCTGGGATTCCATTGCAGTTAAAAATATCAATTCTTCAGTACAACTGATCCTGTTCCTAACTCATCGATTAAAAAGTGGAAAATGTCTGAAGCTACTGTTGGGTTGAAAATGCGTATTGTTCCGTTTTCGTATTATCTCCCAAATACTTAAATAATTGGGATGCACAAGTAAGAATAAATACTTGCAATTAAAAATAAATACAACATTTAATATATTTGCACGTCTTATCTATGCCGAAATTGACTATCATGTACATACTATGTTTTTGTTTATAAATAACTGATAAGCTACTCCGTATATTCATCCCAAATTGTGATCAATTATGGCAAGAAATAATTAATCTTACTATTACAATACACACATATATTTTTAATATATTTAAATTTTCCTTAGTGGGTGTTGACTTGATCGCATTTCAAATCGAAAACAATACAATTTAAATGGTTCTGTAAAAGAGGTTAAACAGAACGATAAGAAATAAATTGTTCGTTTTGTATGAGAAGTTATCCAATTATAAGGCTGCACATAATTATATAAAGCTTTAGGTGTTATGTTTGTCTTACTGTCCTTTAATTAATTTCTTTATGTAAAAAAGTAACTATTCGGAACTATTCCTATCCTACGTAGTACTTGAAACTAAATAAAATTATATATGTAAAATATTATTACATTTGCCTAGCATAAACCTTCAACAAATAATATAACCCTGTTAAAGGTTTAGTAGTTGATTAGTCGTATCATATGCGAATACATTAAGTGGGCGTAATGAAGCTAATCGTACTATTGTATATGATTTACCCCCAAATACCATACTACCAATCCAAAAATTTAATTGTTACAGTTAAAGAAAAGAGTATACTGATAGGGAGAGATACAGATAAAAATTAATTTATGTTTTAATTCATACATAAATAGTTATTAAGCTTCTATTATTCGTCATGAATACTTACACCTCTAGAATACGATCCCCTTTTTTTATTCCAGCCTTCTCTGCCGCCCCATTTTCCAGAACAGCACTTACATGTTGCAAGGGAGCATACAATTCCCCATTTATCGAACGAAGTTGCCCACCTTCAGAAACTTGTCCACGTACATTGAAACCAAAACCTAATATTAAAAAAATCAATACATTACGTTTCTTTTACGTTTAGGTGTATGTGTTTTTAAGACTATCAGTATAGTATTGCACTTGAAAGTTCGAAATCGTAAGACAACTGCTAACTTTGATGCAGATAAATATAAAATCAAAGTAATTTTATTTTTCTTGCCGTAATTACCTGTTTCCGTCTTGTAAATATGTACGACTCGCGGACCACTCGGCGCAGCAGAGTCACTCCCAACTCCACCGCCGCTCATATTAAACACTTAAAACTGCGTTATTCTTCTGGCTTTAATAAAAGAAAACGTTCGATAGCTTAGTAGAGGATTTTTAGGGCTTGAATAAAAAAATATTAGTTTTAGTGAATTCCTACTTCTTAGACTACGGCCTAATTGGTTGCTTCCTTCTTATGATAACAAAAACAAATAATTGATTTCCTAGATTTTTCACTATAAGAACTAGTTTATTTCTAAAATGCAAATATATATATACTTTTCAAAAGTTTTAATTACTGAAAAGTGTTTTTAATTTTCACTTAGATACGAACGACACTATAACAAAAAATAAAGTACGAGGAAACAAATATAGTGATTGCCACCTGATACGATGAAGACGCCCTGCCGGATTTTCGCAAAGGAAAGGATATTTTATAGTGTACGAAAGAGCTGACGTACAATATAAGTCGCTGACTAAGAAGCAACTCAAAGGCATAACAAAAACTAACATTACCGCGACTACTAAATCCGGTACTAATAGCAACTGTAAAGAAAAAATGATGGCATCATGGTCTAAACATTTATGTGATAAAGACTCTTAAGGCCCAACTTTACTGTCAAAGCAAATGTCTGACGCAAATCGGCAAAAGTTCTAAGTGAATTAAGCATTAAAAGAATAACGGCAAAACTGTCGTATTCAATATTCTTTTTTTTTTTTATAATGCACAAGAATATGAACCAAGTGGCAATATTAACAACAATGGTGATTCATTAAAAGTGTTGCACTAGAGATAATTCGCAGGCTAGCAAAATGTAATAGATTTAGGAATTGATTGTTTTTGTTGATGTTTGCTTTCAATTAGGATTCTTGTTGAGCGTTTTCAGAGAAAGTCAATCGGTTTTATGTTAAAAATAAATAAAATAACAATAAAGTACACCATTAACCAATAAACATATATAAAACACATACGAAATATGTTAAGTGAACAGATAATTTACGAATTTGTTAGTAAAATACATAATATAAAATTATTAAACATTTGTGGGAGCAACCCTGTTTGGACTACAAAGCGCGATTAGAAGAACTGGAGTCATGTCAGAATTACACTCACTCAAAATGGCGTCGGAAGATGTAAATTTTGTAAGTAAAATTTATGTTCCAATTACATTTTTTACGTTTCACAATATACTTATGAAGAAATATATAGTATTAAATATCTTGCTAGTGAAAGTGTTATTTAAATAATAAATGTGACAAATCGTTATACTACCGCCGAACTTCTATAGATGGAAATTTAAAAGAGCTGAATCAGTGGATTTAAGTTCTCTGATTTTCGGTTAAAAATTCCATCACATATCGTCATAATTGAACGGAAATAAGGTGCTATTTAATGTTATAACGAACTTTGCCATTTGAATATTTCATGTAATTATGTGGATTTAAATGCAGAAATTGATGTACTTCATGTACATATTGTTCTTAGAAATTGTTTTGGAATTAGTGTGCTTTGAATAATGATAAATTAATTGCATATGCACGTGTGTATGTTGTATGTTTACAAGTGGTCTTATCCGCGTTTGTATACACAAATGTACGGTTGCTGAATATTGCTTTTCATTTTCTATCTTCTTTTTTGTTTTCATTATGTTTCGCCATACCTTTTCTGATTTCTAATAGGATAACAGCTGACAGCTGGAAAAATACAAAGGTACAATTATTTTTTTCATTGTAAATGGGGCTTACATATGTGTGTGTGTGTTTTAAAACAATTATTTGCTAAAAAAAACTAGGAAGAACAAGAGAGAAGTGCGATTAATAACATTTTATGCAACTTGTCTGGAGAAGAGTGTGAAATGAGGGCTAGTAACACATTTTCTCAATGTACGGTTAGCACACTTCTATGGATTAAAGTCTGATTTAGTTTATGAGAAGATAGAATGCTAGTTACTTGATAAACCAAACAAAATGTTGACAACTGAGAAGGGCAAAGTAGTAACAAAATGTACCAATTGGATACCTTTCGGTTTCTCTTTCGTAAATCTCTGTGCCCAATTCAAGTACCGTGGCTTCATTTGTATTAATTGAACTACAATCGAAAACAACACTTTCCAGAGAGTAAGTAGAGTAAATTATTGCAGTTGCTTGATTACACAAATATGTACATATTTGTATTTATAAATATATTATGTATTTCATTATTATTATCATCTTCATCCCCACATTTGAATAACGTAGAAGCAGCTATGGAATTTTTATTCCTCAACTAATTACAATATACACATGTAGTTAATTATACGGTATTATTTTGGTGATAACCCAAGCTTTTCGGCAGTCCATTTATATAAAAAATGTATTGTTTATATGTATGTGCAGATGCATATATAATTTTAAACAAACAGAAAATTACGTTACGAAAATATCAATAAAAGTGATATACATATGTACATTTATATGGGTAACAGAATGACTCAAGGGGAAAGTATTCAGAGCAACGCCGACAATCAAGTAATGACTGTAGTTTTACTTCCATACGTCACCAAGGTCTGATCGGCAACACTCGTCTTATATTAAACCAGTACAATGGAAGTGGTTGCATCGAGAAGCTACAAATGTAACATCCCACTAGTCAAAAAATTATTTGCGTTTTGTAAACTCCTTATATACGAATTCTTTTTCAAATTATATAGTTTTTGATCACTGAGCTAATCTTGAAAAAACAAAACACATATTACAATGTTAAGTTTGTTGATAAAAAATATCACCCACGATAAGTTTTGCAGGTATTAGGTGGTCAATTCTTTATTATAAAATTTCCTAAAGTTGTGCTTTGCACTTATTATTACTTTTTTCCAAATCAGAAATGTTTGAGTGTAAAAAAGTGAAGGTGAAAAAGAGCCTTAGGACTTTAATAGAAAGTCTCATACCCATTGTGACTTATGGAGGGTACCGGGATGATTTTTTTTTTTTTTTTTTTAATTCTAATTATATTCTGCCGCTACAACAACAACAACATTAAATCAACTTAAAATATAAATGTAATACAAAATTGCCTAGTTTTCCATCTTAACCAATATTTTACAAAAGGAAATGTTGACATGTGTAGAAGAGAGCATCTCTCAAGATGGATGGCCACAGGCATTATAGAGTCCTCAGATTTTTTTAAAATTTGTCAATCAAGAAGTGATTATTGCAACGATTTAATATAGAAACCGAAAATTATATTCATAAGGGTTTCAAATGAGTAGTAGGGCATTGATTATTCTTTCTGGTTTCTGTAAAGTTTTTTAAATTATGATTAAACAAAATTGTGTTGCTAGTACTCATGTATGACCGGCTCTTTGATTCGACTATAAAAAAATTTATTTTTATTTTTTTAGGCCGTCAAACAATTTATTGAACTTTGTAATGGATCCTCATCAAATGTTAGACGAAATATATCATGTACCACAGCGATAAAATTTCTCTACGCACGAAAATTTGATGTACATAGAGCTGTATCACTTTACGAACAACATGAACAAATCCGGCTACGAGAAAGCTTGTACAACATAAATCCAGATTTGGAACCACTGTATTCAGAGTTAAAAACTGGAAAATTCACGATATTGGTTAGTGATTATTCATACAATTTTTAATAAATAAATTTTTCAAAAACACAAAATTTCTCTCATAACAGCCTTCCCGTGATGCTAATGGAGCAGCTATTGCTCTTTTCACTGCAAATAAACACAGTCCTCTAAGTGTTACGCATACGATAACATTACAGGGAATCGTATATCAACTTGATTGTGCACTGCAAGACACAGAAACTCAGAGGGCGGGTCTAATCTTCATATATGATATGAGTGGTTCGAAGTACTCAAACTTTGACTATGACTTGTCACAAAAGATTTTAACATTGCTTAAGGTAAGTTTTATAAAACACCCTTGTTTGTCCTGTAAAAATGAAATTTTTTTTTCAAGATGTATACCATTTGCCTTGGATATATGTATGTTTGTAGTGACTAATATAACGTTTTGGTAAAGATAACGTTGTAACTCTGGTTTCTTACCACATGGCCAATGTGTAAAATTAAGATCGATGTGTGAGATTGACGGATAACCGGATATCCGGTGTTTGGTGTCAAGAGGGGTTATGGTCTGATTTCGCTAATACGGTTATAGCTAGTTGTTCCGAGATAAACACTAATTTCAACATTACATACAATACCTGGCCATCGAATTAGGAACGGGCAATATTTTCGAAAGGTTTCAAGTTTGATCAGTAATAAAAACTAAATTATCGCTGGCAATTTAACTTATTTCGGCTTTAGTGATGCAACAATGATATTTAATTGTCTTCGTGACGATAATTGCAAATATATTTAATATTTGGTAACCCTACCCTTATTCGCTAATACGGCCGCGATCCTATCAGGCATACTACGAATGTAATTTTCCCATATGAGCTTGATGTTTTCTTTACGATCGCCAATTGTTGTGTTTTTCGTTGGTATACCTTGCGATTTAGATATGCCCAACAATGTTCAATTGGGTTTAAGTCGGGGGAATTCCCTGGCTATGGCAGCACATCCAAATTCAACGAATTAATGCAATTCGTGCTAGCTCTTGAGGTATGGCAAGGACCACCATCAAGCATGAACATATAGTCTCTTATCGGATACCTTAGCCTTTCCAAATATGGCAAAAACATTTTCAAAACAGTTATGTATTGGTTAGAACGCATCGTACCTTCAACAAAGTGAATTGGGCCGGGTCCTTCGTCTGAAATGCAGCTCCAAACCACCACTGAAGGATAATGCCTTACTCTCGGAACAATGCAAGCTTCAGAAAATCGTTCTCCTCTCCTCTTCCGCACATAATTTTCCACTTGGATGACGGCGGCCACACCGTATTCATTGTTAAAAATTACCTATAAAAAGCGTAAAAACAAAAAAATTAGATATGTCTGGGGTTATATACAAGGCCGAAAATAAGTGAATTTTTCAGAAATATTTCTGAGAAAACTTTTAAATTTATTGATCCAAAAACTTATGCACATATTATGGTATCTTTCAACTATATTTTAAGACTTAGTACTAGTAAAAAATATTAATTTGAAAAAGAAATACAGCTGTTCTCCGGGAGCTCCTCTCAAAAAAGACGTTTTGCGGTGACCACCATATCTCTGAACTGGATGATCTTAAATTAAAAAACCAAACAGATTTCGCTTAAGTAATGTTAAATCTAGCAATTAATCGAAGGAATAAACAAAATGGCGGTTTCTCAAAAAACGAAAAATATATTTTTCAACGAAATTTCGGTCTTAAATTGTTTATAAAAACAAAAATATTTATCGAAAAGAAAAAATCTTCGATTAATTACTAAAAATATATTTAAGAAGCTCGTGTTAATCGGTTTAGCCGTTTTTGAGTAATGTTGGTCACCGATTTTGAAAACACCATTTTGAGAAAAACGTGTTTGTACTTCTAAGCACTCTGAAACGCCTTTTCAAATTTGCGTGTAACTTCGAAAATATTCACCGGAACGAATTGAAATTTTCTGTGTGTATTTTAAATATAATATATATACATTAAGAAAAAATAATAATAAAATCGATTTTTTGAAAATTCTAACTGTATGTAACCCCTTCAGTAAGAAAAAATTAAGATTGTAATAAAATGTGTGAATTACCTTACTCCAATAGGTGGTGCAGCTTAGCCAATAAAACAAGTCTTTTCTACATCGCTGTGTAAATTTTGGCTGTTTAGATGGCCTCTTGCACTAAAGTCCATTTTCGTAAAAACGTCTACGCAAAGTACGGTTCGAAATTTCCACAGCACAGTCCCTAACTGCTTTTAAAATGCTTTCAGAAGCGAACTTGCAAAGCTTCTCTAACAATCTGCTCTGTCTGTAGTCTTCGGAAGCCCTTGCAGTTGTTCCTGTTATTTCCGAAAATTGCTGTGTCATCAAACCCCGCACTTAGTTTTTTTTGCCACTTCAATCGATGTCTTAGAAATTCCAAGATTTTTGCCTATTGTGGATTAACTAAAATTTCAAGCTTTCAGAAAAGCTACAGCTTGCACTTTTTTCTCCTTTAGTATGTCGTGATTTTTACCCATTCTCTATAAAAGAACATCAATTGTTGAGTGAATTAGTTATTAAACCCTTTTTTACTTACCTTTCTTTAATCTTTAAATAATCCCAAAAACCTGAATTTTTCACCAAAATCTAAATAAATTTTCAAGTACACCATTCACTCAGAGGGAATCTGTGAAGGTGTTAATGGCTTCACTGTGAATAGCGGTCAGTGCATGTCTGAAGTTTGTTGCGTCCGAAGTCTGGTCGGCGTACTGTTCAGTGTCGTCGACTTAGTCAAGGAAGGACCTCTTGATGTTCCTAGGAGGCGGTTCCGCTTCAAGCAGACGACTGCAGGGGTGGTTTCTGCGAAAACTTTCCAGCAAAAACTGCTTGGAGAGGGGTTTGTTGTGTTCCTTAAGCGGAAGCATACGGGTCTCGCTGTGTAAGTGTTCGACCAGAGACATCAAGAGGCACAGGTTGTGGTATGATTTTGTGAGGGAGAGTGTTAAGCTCCTTCCAGAGAAGAAGCGAGAAAGCGTTTGCTTTATGATCAAAGAGTAATATCAGTTTGTCCCTATTTGTACCATAGTTTAATTAGTTTGGGCTAATGATTTGAGAGATATAAAAATTTCATTTAATTTTTAGCAAACTGATTATATCCTTGAAGAAAAGGATGTACTTCTAACAGCATGAAAAACAAATAACGTGAGGAAAGATTTTCTCTGATAATATGCAATGTTAAAGGAATTAAAAAGCTGGCGACCAAGAAATAGATAACCCTACAACTGTTGCAGCGTTGTCTTCAAACAAAATTTTGCTATATTAATTTTTATTGTTGTGTTTTTTTATTATTTGCTTTATTAATTTTTGTTTATTCAAAAGTAATTGTTTGCTGTCTCATCTATACCTAGTATATTATTTTTATGTGGAATTCTAGTAGATATTCGTGATGGAAAAAACATTAAATGTTATTTGAATACTCTAAATACTCGAAAAATATCAAAAGATCTGAAGCCAACATTTTATAAGTACCAAATATATATATAAAAGTTCCAGAAGCATAAAAAACGGATTTTGTGTTTATTTACATTAGGGAACTATTTTTTTCGAAATCTCTACAAAATCATGTGCAGATTAATTTTTTCGTGATATAATCATTTATTCTCAGAACTAATGAAACACTTATCAAGTATCAACCTTAAGCTGATGAAAAAATATTCGTTTCGGGTAATTTTGTTGACTATAGTAAACAAATCGCCGGCGCAAGGCATTTAGCATTAACAATTGTTGTCCTGGGACAAAATAAATAAACGTCGTTAATCTACATGAGAATACCTAATAATTTCGTAATAAACCGGCTATAAAAAAAAGGTTTTGATTCAATCGAAATTTCCCTATGTACTTCTATACAAAATCAATTTCTGAAGATAAACTCCAAATTTAAAGCCGATCAAATAAAAATTGACAAAGTTAACTCGCCAATTGGAAAAAAGTAGTTTGAGAAAAACGCACTTAAAATTTCACATATACATAGCTGAGCCGGAGGTAAGCCTACCTCTTATACGCTTAAAGTGTTTTGAAAAAATTGTCCTCGCTACAAATCAACTTGAAACTTATTTGTATGGCTGACTATAAAGCATAGTTTAAGCGAAAAAAAGAAAAAACGAATTTTTGAAAATTCTACAGTGGCCCTTAACAATTTTTTTTAAATCTTTCACTTATTCATTTCCAATTGATAGTTTGGATTGGTTGCCGAAAACACCTCTGACTTGTTTGTTTATTTGCTCTTTGTGAGAGCAGTTTATTTTTTTTACTCTTATTCTTCCTAATAGCTGGTACAGAAACAAACACCATTATCGCTTGCATCCAAGACGGTGTTCAGACAGGAACAGTTTTGTTGTTCATTACGGCAATTTTCAAATATTTTAGCATATTTGAATATATTTACTGATGGTATAATACTTAATTTTACTCTTATATTATTGGTTATAATCTCAGTTCATTTATTTTCACACTGTATCAACATCCGCGAGAGAGCCAGTGAATGATAGTTAGAAGTTGTAAAAAGAACTGTACAACCAGAAAAATTTTCAAATTGAAAAGAAATGCCAAATTTTCTGGCAGCGAACACTTAAAGCGTGTTCCCCGAGCAGAAACAACTCGGTGCGCTTTCTTTATCCTCGTTGCTTCATTTCTTAATCACTTCGAGTCGTCGCGTCTGACCGCAGTCTTGCCAAATAAATAAATTCCTGTACGCGCGAAATTTTGTTTCCGTTTTTAAGAAGAGACATTACCCTCTCTCTATTTACACATCTAATAGCTACGTGCACAGTAAAGTGCAGAAAAACATATAGTTTTAATATTATATTTGGATTTGCTCCTTGTAGATATACGGTTTTGACGCAAATAAAAAATGAAATTACGCTTATGGCCAATATTATAAATGCATGTGCACATAAATATTTAAATATGATAATTCGCACACGTTGTTATAACATACCAAAGGGGCAATTTCTGACGATTGTCAAGAGAATGGAAGCTATAAGCGAGTCGTGAGCGAAGATGTGCTCACCAAACAGCCGGTTACACTCATATTATATATACATATGTAGGTATAGGTTAGATATAGTATAGTTTGCCAAAGTAATCTCTCTCAAGCTTTTTTTGGCGATCGCAAATATTTACATATGTATGCATGTAGATATTTATGATCAGGTAACCATTAACACCATAATTATAATGATATGCAAAATACATACCATATGTATATATGCTGTATGCAAATGTATATATACATATATGTGCATATATATCTATTTTTTTAAATTCATTTGTGGCTGACTGTTCAAATAGGTAAAGTTCCAAGTGGTGGGAGAGTAATTACATACATATTTACGACTATACGAAGGCAGTACCAAAAGTATCCGACCTGCCACTGAATATATTAAATAATATATGTGATCAGAGTATGCTCTTAACTACAAAATATAGCAAAAAGAACGTAGATTAAATACATTTAATAAGTATATAAAGAAGGTAAGCATAATTTTTTCTACTGTTTTCATTTTTCACACATATTTTGTCAGCGAAGTTGAAATTGTGGAAAATTTGCCTTCATAAAAGTTTTATTGGACATTGACTAAGACCATTGTTTTTCGATCCAACTTGATCAGCATTTTAAACTTCCCAGTTCCAAGGTGAGAATGTGCACATTGAGTAGTTTTCTAAAAAGCTTCCGTTGGAGAATTGCATTTAAAACGACAATGTTATTAAATAAAGTAGTATTTTTAAGTCGATTCTAATGCTTCTGGGACCACCCTCACGTGTATAAATTTATATATTATACATATGTACATATATGTATACATAAATATCCACGTATGTATGTATTTAAATACCTAATACAAATAAAAACATTCGTGTGCGGAGGGAGATTTCAATGATAATAACAACAACGTCAACGCGAGATTACGTGTGCGCGTGCGTCATATTAAACTCACTTTTCATTTGTTGCTTCTGCCGCCAAAGTTAGCTAAAACTGTTGTTGCTATTGCCACTTTTGTTGCTTTCTCATTATAATATATGAATATTATACGTATATACGTACACGCATACTCAATACTTTCGGGCTATCTCTTATTTTATTAAGTAATTCGCTATTTAGTGTACTTGTTCTAGTCGTTCGCTTAGCTTGGCTTAATTAATGTTACACGAGTGCAAAACAACTCTTCATATACAATATAAATAAATAAATAACTCAGTTTTCTGGTGTGCTCGATATTTTTAGTCAAACTACACACTTGTTTTAAAAAGATATTTTACATAATTTCGCGAAATTCAGTCGAGCTGCACTGAAAAGGCAACTGTCAATGAAAAAGTAAAAAAAAAAAATATTGAAAAACACATATAGTATATGTATGTACATAAGTATGTATTTACGTGTAGAAAATTTCTTTCGTGTTGTCATTTGTTAAGGCGTAGAAATTGACGTTTGTGCATTTGGATTTGTAACTTTCATCTAAAATTCTACGTAATCGGTTTTAAAATTGTCTGTGTTTTTTGGTGTAGTTAAATTTGAGTTCATAATTTAAATCTGGTGGCATAAATATATAAACAATTCTAAATCACACAAGTTGGCAAAAAGAATTACAGAGAAGCTAAAAAGTTCATATTGAGATTGGGTTAGGTGTGCTATTAAGAATTGGCCCAATTTTATACGATTCAATTCGCTGGATTGGTTGGTATGTCTTATAAAAAGACTTTCAGAATTTTTTCGGCAATAGACAAAGTAATAAATAGGCGGATATGAAGCATGTATGTTTGTTGACGATCCATATAAACAAATGTGGTCATCCACACACATATGTGGACATCCACACGTATGGTAACAACAGTTAGCCAAGCGCGGCAAAAAGGTATTTTCAGAAACAAGTTAAAAGCTTAAACAAGAAACCGGAAGTAGGGAACTCCATATTTGCTTAAGATTCTCTATTAAAATACAATGATAATGAGTACACATACATACATGCATGTGTACACACATACATAAGTTTATATGCATATACTGAATATAATAGTGCATGCAGTTACGTTGAAAAGTATATATGTAGTTCTTTTTTCATAATGATCTACTTTCCCTCTGTTCCCACAATGATTTTGTTTTCGCTACGTCAAAAGCGGACACAAGTAAATGTTGAAGTGAGTTATCCTGGTAATCAACTGACCGAATGCACATTTTTGCTCACTTTCATTGCGCTCGAAAAAGCGAAAACTGAGTAGATCAATTTATCCTATGGCTTTGCGACGAGGCAATATTTGAATCGTTGCAGCGGAGGCAACTGTATCTGCGGCGAGAAGAGTTCGAGAACGCGAAAAGAGGAAAGCTAAATGACCTATCAACCCCTGAATTGCAACAACGCTCTAACCCTCAAATATTGTAAGCGAATTGTACGAATGTACGAGTCTCTTTTAGGCGCTCGCGCAATGTGCTGTCGATATTGAGAGGAATGTGGCAATTTTTGGGGTTGCTGTTGTCCAATACAAGAGGATGGGCTGAGAAAAGTCAGACTGAACTAAAGTAAGGGCGAATATAGCGAAATTTCGAAACTGACGAGCATATTTTTTCTTGGGCAACTGTTTATCATCAAGTTTTTTCTATTTAGCCATTGCAAATAGGTGCGAATTTCTAGGAATTAATTGTTTATAACAATTCACCAAAACAATTCTTGTGAAGAATCCATATATACATACATACTTACATACCTACACATGAATTGTGTATATACAATCGTGAAAATAAAATTGTGCAAAGTGAAATAGTTTTGGCGAAAGCCTGCTGGAAATTCAAC